GAGATTCAGACCAGGGCGTGCAAAAACGGCAACAATAGCAGCAACACCACCAACAACGACTACAACGCCTAACAAACAGCTGCGCTAATCGAATCAAAAGTTTTGGGCACATTTGTCATGTCGCAGAACTCGAAGTCCTTTGTGCAATTAACGCGCTACCAAAATATATGCACATGCATTAGAATACAAATTTGCAGAGCTCGGATAATCGCTGTGGCATACTTAACGCTTAACGAGCCATAAGCTCAAACTTTCACTTTTCCCTATTCTCTTGTTGCGCAAAATGAAAATTAACAAAAAACAAAAAAAAAACACAATAACCATGGCCCCAAAAATAATAAAATACAGAAAGGAAATTGAAGTTGATGTTGGCAAAGCGCATGGAATTTAAATGTAAAATTATGTACAATGAAATTGTGGAAATTTCTCTGCTCGCCTCGCTGACTCTTGCACCTTGAAAGCGTGTATAAGAAACGTAAAATAAATAAATAAATAAAGAAAACAAAAACAAACAAACAAAAACTTTATTTTAACTTTAAAACAATCAGCAACTGCCTCGACTGCAGTCCGTTTGCTATTTTAAATGGGCAGCTCGTTAACAGTCAAGGCATTCGTATTACACACTCCTTCTGTGCTGCCTGCTGCTGCTGCAATATCGAATGAAATACACGTACAAACATTCAGTTAGTAACGCACTGGCATTCAAAGGTCCTGTTGCCGAGCAGGCGAATGAACTGAAGCAACTAAAAAAAGGGTCAAGAAGCGCCTCGGTGTGTGCGCAAAGCTTTTGTTTTTTTTTTTTTTTTTTGCCTGGGTGCGTGAAACAGAATGGTGCGTTACGGCGTAACCCCCTTGACTTGTCACACCCATAAAATCGATAAATGTATTATCTTTAGATCAGTTTTAAAAGCAATTAATTAAGCCCGGTTCTAAGCCAAATAAAACACAAGATAAAAGCCAACATAACAAATCCAATTTGTTGGCAGATAAAGCACATTGCTCCGTACTACGAACATTTCCATCAGCATAGACTTCTATATTTGTAGTACGATAATAAATATTTGAATAAAAATTTTAATTATTTATTAAAATTGCAAACCTTTCACTTGAATATTGCTTTTATATGTTGCTTTTAAATAGAAAAATGCAGGCACAGATTATCCCGCATAGGCAATTAAATAGTTTTGCTAACTTTTCCCACATCCACACACACACACAGCCACACACGCTGTTCTATGTTTAGATCATTGTTTGGTTACAACGATTGCACCCTTGGGTCACAAAAACGGTTCCATGTGCCAGCTCCTCCTCGAGGCTTGACCTGCACCGACAGCTCTCTAAATTTGTTTTCAATTAACAAAATTGTTTGCTCTCAGAAAAACAACATTTGCAACAACTACAACAAAATCAATACACGCATACAGTAGTTGGAGCAACACCTACGCTGCTTTGAGTGGTTGAGTAACAGGCTCAAATTTAGTTTCGATACAGCTCAAGTGGAAAAAAATCAATAGATAACTAAATGTTGCACGAAATTGTTGCCTTTCCCAAAAAATTTTAATTAACTTCCAAATATTCTATTAAACTTAACTTAAGCGTTGGCTCTATTGATAAAAGTGATGCCAACCAAAGCTGAAGTGAGAAAGGTAACCATTTGATGACTATATACTAAATACTCAGTCGGTTCAGAGACACCTGTATATGTCCCTCTTCTTTTAATAGCAGACCAAATTCGAGTTATTTTTGAAATAAAAAGTCATGAATCAATTGGATGCATGCAGTCAATCCAAAGAAAAGCGTTCCGTTCCCAGGGCCCCAAGTACATGACTCATCAGCTGGGAAAGGGCGGCGTGGAAAAGAAAAAATGCCCAACGTTTAACGCAGTAAAGTAGAAAATAGAAATAGCCAGACAGAAAGAGTTGGGTGTTTAGTGAATTAGCAAAAATCGCTTGCCATGGTCTTGGCCAACAAGCACACATTCACACTCACGCGCACACACACACAAAGTCCACTAAGCGTACAGATGGCCAAAGGCAATGGAAAAAAAAAGCAAAAAATATCGGAGCAAACAACAGAAAAGCTAAATACATACATAAATTGATTTCCTGACTCGATGCGGGTTGCTGCTGACGAGCACGTTGAGGCAGCCTGTGGGTGGGGTAGGGCTTTGAAGGTAAGACACCGTGTTGCATTGCGGCAGTCATCAAACTCAAGCATGGAGAGCAAAAACAAAAACTAACAAGAAATATGTCCGTGATTTTTCAACTGAGAATGAACGCAAAGATACCCTTTAAAGGGCATTTCATATAATGTACGCATCGTATTTATATCGATATATATATGTTTTGTACAGGTATTGAAAAATCAGTGTTGCACAACGCAAAGATATTTAGACACTGCTATTTTTAAACACATTTAACCTTTTAACCCATAATTGAGCACATAAACGACTCTCCCCAGTGACTAGAGTAAAACAAAAAGCAAACAATGAGTGACGAATGCCAAACAGAGAGATAGAACATCGCACACAGAGAAATAGAGGCGAAACAGACAATTGAACTGAGGTACCGTGTAAAAGTTAAGAGCTTCACAGTTCAGCTCTTTAATTGAAAGAGCACAAATTAGGGAAAAAGTGAATAAATTTTGCTTTATTATCTCAACAATTCATAAAACGTCCAACTTCAAGACGAACACTTGAAATTATAAAACTAAATTTTGTTTCTGTTTTAGCCACACAATCTGGCAAAAAAACAAAAAAGAATTCTTATCAGTAATTTTTGTTTCACTTTGCCTATCGCATGATTCACTCATTCATTTGGATGTTTTTTTTTTTTATTATTATTTCAATAAGCTTTTAATTACTAATAAACACAGAATGTAAATAGTTTTCTCTCTTTTACATTTATCGCTGGTTGTGTCCGTTTATGATGGGCAGTTCGAGCGCGTGGATGACTCAACGATTCAATTTGAGGCACTCGTTAATGTGGGTGATGCATGTCTAAGGCACATTAGGGTCAGTCCCACTATTTGGGAACAGGAAGTCGGGAGTAAGTAAATGATGCATGTGAAAGAATGAACGAGCTTTATAGATTAGTGTAAACGTAGATAAAACGAACCCATATAAAACAGTACGGCGAGAGCTGTGAAAGATGACGATGATGACTGTCAAAATGTTGAGCAAGATCTATAAATACGAAATGAACATTCAATGATACTCCAAACCCCAAAGAGAAATATATATAAATGACACGATAACATGAGATCATCTCATCAAACAGATTTTAACACCCAATATATATATATACTATACTATATATATATATAGCTGACAAAATGTGCTAACTTTTTGCGAGTGTGGGTTGAAGTTCACAGAATGACAAATCGATTACAAATAACACTTTTTAGAAAAAACTTTGACATCTGGAAAGGTTTTCTGCTTTAGGAGCATTGCTGCTCATGGAGTTCTCTCTTTGCTATATATATATATATGATTATTTAGTTCTTGCTTTAAGTTCCTCATTAATCTCAAATTGATAAGACATACAATTTATTGACATTGATATTATATACTTTGTGTACGCCCAATTGATTCCATTAGTTGCAATTTTTTATGAATCGTAATTCTATAATTTGTATAGTTTTCACATTATATTCACATATATATTTAAATAATGTATAGTTTTTTCCCATTTAAATTGCTCAATTGAATTTATTTACAATCTAATCATTGGCATATTAACTCTCACGAACCCAATTAATTTTGCGCTCCGTTCAATTGCGTTCATAATATAATTGACATTCAATTTCCGACATGTATAAAACATTTGTATACCCTAAAAACTATAATTCAGAGTATACTATTTGTGCTAAAATTTATGTAACTGGCTGAACTGCTGATAATGATAGTGATAGAAATCTAGCCCTGCCCAACTGTCTGTCTGTCTGTCTGTAGGAAGTAGACTTAGGCAGTATATAAACTATGTACAAGTATATATATTATATTCTTGAATACAATCAACAGCTGACTCAGTCAAGCCCTGTCTAAAGAAGCTCAAGTATATGAGAAGTTGATAATTTTATACCATGTGCAATCGTAATCATTCTTCAAATCTATCGATAACTATTTCCATTGTCATTAAGTAGATTGCTAGCGATAACGTCAACATATATCTCGCATATGTATATATATATATATATATATATATATTTTCTTTATTCACAGCTAATAAGCATTCCTTTCTCTAACTCCCAACCAACTCAGAACTCATTAGGGTATCTTCTAGTCAAACACTCTTGCTTGTTTATAGATAATTATAGCGCTGGAAGTGCGCGTTAGACAGAAAATAAACTAGGCGTTACAGATATTCCTACATGGCGAACACAATGTGAAGGCATTCATGTAGTGTATGTATAAATGTTTATGACTAAATATTCATCTGAACAGAAATCTTTAAACGAAAGCTCCAGTGGCGGGGGTGACGAGACTTTGTCGATGCTTAAATAGGTAAACACAAAAAAAAAAACCAAAAACAATTACTCACCTGTGTTGGGGAATGGCGATTTGCAGCTGCATATGGGTAGAGGCGTTGGAGACGTTGGCGCTAAGGCTGGGAATCCCGCGTGGCAAACACTTTGGGTTTATACGTAACTTTTGATTTTGTTTTTTACATTTTTCGTTGCTTTAGGTTTTTCGTTTTTGTTTTTGTGGCGAGGCTGGACGGCGGAGTCGCGTTTAATGCATTTATGGTTTTTTTGTAAAATATTATTTTGTTGTTGTTAATTGGGCATGACAAAACACATTGAATGCGGCTAAAGGCTGACGCAGCTTGATTGACTGCCATAATACGAAGTTGTTGTTGTTGTTGGTTGTCGGTGGTTGTTGTTATTGTTGGGTGACAGTTGTTGCATATATACTCTCGTTTAAGGTGTTATCAAAGAAACGTGCAACGTGCTTGCAGTTGCATTCACAGTGGACTAGAAATTAAGTTGTCTCTGGTTCATTCGCCTTGTTGTCTTTGTTTGGATTCTGTTTTTGTTATTTGTATTGAAAGTGCTTTCTGGGTGCAATTCGTACTTAGGCTTAAGCATTGCTCATTGTCAAACATTTTAGGTGTTTTTTTGTGGTTGTTTTGTTTGTTTTTAGTGAAAATACAATGTTTGTTTATGCATGCTACTTGCTTGCTTTGATACTGGGACCGTAAATGTTGTTTATAACGCAAAAATATAAATAAATGTATATAAATAAAAGTTAGCAGATTTATTTTTGAACGATTTGGCATGCAGTTGGGTTAAAAATAATATAAATTCCGATTGAGGTTGTTGTTTTTTTGTGGTTGGCGTTGTAGTTAGTCATAAGGTTTGCGATTCAAAAAAAAAAAAAGGAACAATCAAAAAAGAAAGAGAAATAAAAAATAAGTGGGTTAATATTGCAAGGCAAAATGTGTTAGGTGTATCAAGTGCGTGGGTGGGTGAGCGTGTGCATATATGCATGAGTGTGTGTGTGCTACTGCGAATGTGTGCGAACTGAGCGAATTGCAGTGACTAAAAACTAATTTTTTCACACAGTTTCATAATTATTTTGTTAACAATTCTGTATTTTTTATGTTTTTTTTTATAGCCAGCAATTTGGTTTTGCAATAGAGATAAAAAATGCTCTTAAACGGAAATGCTTAAACACAAAAACTAAGGAAAAGAGAGAAAAAATAAACCCGTTTTGATTGAGATAAATGTTGAACATTTATTTGCGCAACAAACTAAACAGAAATAAATGAGCTTTAACTTTACAGTTTGCCGATTCATTGGGCGTCTATGTCTGCATCTGTGGCATATACATATACATATAGTGTTTCATCGAAATATACTTTATGTGCTTCCTCAATTGATATTTATTTATATATATATATATATATATATATATACATATATATATATACATATATATATATATACATATATATATATATATACATATATATATACATACATACATACATATACATATGTATATATATACGCGTTGGGTAAATCTCTATATGTATAATTTTATGTAATGTGCATTCAATACATATGAACACGATTGGGTAAATAGCATAAGTAAATAGTCACTATAATAATTATATATATATATATATACATATACATATATATGGTATATATATATATATATATTTGCATATATCATTAATAATTGTTTAATAAATATTATTCAAGAAGTTAACTAGAGTTTAATATACATAGCATTTGCATGAGATTTGCGTACTGAGAGTTTTTTTGAGTGAGTTTCATTAAATTTTCTTTGCTTTTCTTTTAATTTTTTTTTAAAATTTTATTTTTTGCTTTTGAAAGAGAGAATCTACAAATACGTGTATCTAAGCAATTGAGATTTTTGTAAGAATTTTGTTTAGGGCAAAATAAGAATTTAAATGCATATTTTAATAAACTGAAACAATAAGTTGTACAAAAATTAACAATGAATCAACAAGATGCATTTCTTTTAAATGTCTTAAATGTATGCAAAGCAAAAACTACTAAAAAAGTGATATATATTTATATATAGTATTAATATTATTATTTTTTGTTTGTTTTTTTTTCTCTTTTTGTTGCAATTTTGAGTTTGCTTCGCATTATAACAATAATCAATAAAATTTCATGTTTGCTTTTGCAATTACTTTTGCTTGTTTGTTTGTTTGTTTTTTACTGCATATATATTTTCAATAGCAATTTTGATCATATATATGTATAAATATATATGCTTGTATGTTCGTCTATATATTATTTAGGCTATATTTAATTGCTTTTTGTTTGGTTTGTTCGGTTCTGTTTTAATCGGCATTTGTTTTCGGCTGGCTAATTAAACGATTTGAAATGTGATTGGGCCAGTTAGGCGTATATCTATATGTATGCATGTATGTATATATACGTATATATTAATCCTTATATTTGTGTGTATGTGTATGTGGGAGTTGAGCATTGGGACAAGCATATCCCTCGCCCAGGCGGCCGTCTGCGTATTATGACAAATATTCGCACTTTGCCGCTAGACTCTCAAGGGTTCTAAACTAATCATACAAATTAGCTATATAATGCATATATGTATATATTTTTTATCGCTTTTTGTTTTTTTTTGTTAATTGTAGAGCCTAAAGTATCAAGTGTGTGTGTGTGTATGTTTCTATGTTAACTCACTGGCAAGGGCCGCTTAAATTGTTTTATGTATTTCAATTATAACATATACTGAATCATATCGGGGTGGGTTGCACAACATCCTAAACAGACATCGATAGTGTGTGTGTGTGAGTATATATGTTGTGTGTGTGTGTGTGTCAGTGTGTTCTTGTGTTCATGTATAAATGTTGGGTGTGTGTGTGTAAGTTAAGTAATTGCATCAATTTACATGAAATAACTGCTAACATATGCAGCCGCTAAGATACCCAACACAGTCAAGCATATCAGTATCATGATCTTCTTTCGTCGCGCTTTGCTTTGATATTTGAGCGCCTTTTTAGTGTCCTGAGTTGCTGTCTGCACATAGTCCATAGCGTGCTCCACATGATACTCAATGCGATCGATCATCTCGCCCTGCGACTCCACCAGCATTGCCATATCCATGAACATGTCGTGCAGCTCCTTGATGGATGTCTCCAGCTTCATGATGTCCGCGTGTCTGGCCTCGATATCGGCCAGTGTTTGCTTGGCCTGCTGCGTTTCCATGATGATGCCCTGAGTGAAAACAGCTGGATTTCCTTGCTCCAACATATCCTCCAGCTCCTCGTTTGTGGTCGCACGTCCCGTTATCTCCAGTTGACGCTGTATTCTGCCCTTGCAGCGCTCTCGATAATCGGTCTGGGTCCGATTATATTCGGTCATGACCTCGACAAATTTTCGCGACAGCGTCGAGTGTTGCGTTTTGCGTATACGTAAATCGGCCGATGATTTATTCTGTTGCTCTTCTTGTTCAATATTCTGCTCGATGCCCTTGAGTTTGCCACGCACACGATTCGCGTTCTTCTTGATATCGGCCATTAGGTCCTCCAGCTCCTGTTTGGTTTTCTCATCCGATTGTGGTGCTGACAATATGGCCGAATGTTTCTTTTTCACCTCCTCTACATTGTCCTGGACCTTATCAATCATGCCTCGTATCTCCTCGACCTGGGCAAAGAAATCATCCATATAGGAATCATGGCCATCCACATTGACGGCCACATCCTCCGACTCCTCATCGTCCGACTGGGCGGCGTGCAAGGCGGCTAATCTGTCTTTCGTCATTGCGTTTTTGACAGAGCTTCAAGCGGGAAGCAAAACTAGTTGATTTTTATTTTTTGTTTATTTTCAATTTGTTTTACGGCCTAATTCGTTGATATTTTAGTTTGTGTTTTTGTGTTTTTCGTATATTTAGCTAATGGCAGATTGAAAATTGCGATTGCAGTGGCAATTGCATTTATAGTTTCACTTGAGCTTTTACGTAAGCTTTGTTATATTCGTGTGTTCGTTTAGCAGTTAACTGTCAACTTTTGTAGCGTCGCTCGTTTGTTGCTTAACTTGTTTGCACGCGTTTTGCTAATTCTATTTTTTTGCTGCTTACAAAGTGACGACTATTGATTTTTCGTAGATTTTTGTGGCCGCTAAATGGTATTTCGCATGCCCTAAATAAATACGACTTCTTCTTTTAACATTTGTCCTTAGTTTGTTTGTTTGCTGCTTTCTGGTATTTTGTTTGTTACACGCACCTCACTTTTTGCTTAATAATACAAGCAGACACACATATCTATATAGATGTATGTATGTATATATAAATATATGCTCCAACATATATATGTATATATTTTATATATCGTTTTCCTTTTTGCCTTTTTCGTTAACGGCGCGCGTGTTTAGCGCTCAAGAGAGTCCGCAAAGAGAGCGTCTAGCGACTACAGTGGCAGTAGCAGAGCAGAGCCAGCAAGCACCTCAATGCCAGGCAGCCAAGTCAAGTGGTGAGCAGCAACAACAAAAACGTTAAATTATGACTCACGGCGATTGCTTAAACAACGGCAACAAGAAATTACGTTTATGTATGTATATAAATAAATATATATTTTAGCTGCTGCCTGTGCACAGATATTTATTTTTTAACAATGCGTAGGATTTATACCCGAAAAACTTTTTCTTAGCACTTTTTTTTATTATTTGCTTTTCGCTTTATTCATTTTATTTTGGGCTGTTTATGGTGCACTTGTCGATAAACAGCTTGCGTTTACCACCGATCGCCGTTGCTTTTGCGCACACATTAACATTCACATTTACACAGGACGCGAGGGTGGGTGGGGCAGCGACAGCGTGAGTATCGTTTTCGTTTTCGGCATCGGTATCGCCGATCGATCGCGTTGCAGTTAACCTGTTCGGTTTTAGCTATTCACATGAATTCGCAATTGCAGTGCATTTGCAGCGCTTAGGCCTCGTTTGCATACATTTGGACACAATGTGTCTGTGTTTTAAACGAATTATGGTTGAGGTTGACTTCGTAAGCGAAGCACGTACGAAAATTGCCAAAAAAAATCGATTTCTGCGCAGGGCTCCAACGGAGGCTCTCTTCTTCAGCCGCTTAGGGGACTGTGACGTGATGGTTGCTTCTGGCAACGGTAACACAAGTTAGCAGCGAACGGAGGGGGAAGGGCTACACGGTGGGCGTTTTTTCTCTTCACGTTCCGTTTTGTTGTGTTTCGCGTGCGAGAGTTTCTGTATGTTGGTCGATTGTGGTTGTGTGAGTGTGTATGTTTATATGTGTGAGTGAGTTAGTCGGCGGGCACTTCACACATTCGCTATGGTTTGCTCAGCGCTAGTGCTGTGGGTGGCAAACATCCATTTACTCTCTCTCACTCTTTCCACTTCTATCTATTTGCTTACGTTCGTTACTTTGTTGTAGCTATGTATGTCTCTGTCGCCTATTGTTTTACGCGCACGTTGCTAAAAAGCATACTTGACGCGTTGCTGGCTATCGTCAATCTGAAACACGCGTCGCCTTCCGGTGCTGGCAAGACCGAAGCGACAATTCGCTCTGCTCTGCTTTAGTCTGTGGAATATGTGCTGAGTGCGATTGCGCCGTTGCTCACAACACACTTGGGAGAATTCGTTCGTTTTACTATTACGTTTGGCTGTAGTATTTCGCGTTTGTTGACAGCTTCTCTCAATCTGTAGCGCTCTCTCTTTATAGGAATGACACACAGACGCTGATGCGGCAAAGTTTAGATTGCTATAATTTCAATTTCGCGTTGTTTATTTCATACGTTCACTTTTCTTTAAAATTTTGTATGTATATATATGCCAACGTTGATTGCACACTTAGTAGATCGCTGCAAAACTTAACTATTTCGGGTTTTTTCGTTTTCTTTGGTTTTTATTTTCGTGTTTTCACTTTTGTTGCGACACGACGCCTAAAAAATACCAACAATATCGGCATAAATGTACCAAAAAATACCCAAGTATTGGCGTTACGTCATTGTGCAAATGCCGCTACATAAAACAACAACAACAACTACGAACACGAGACCAGCATACCGGTTTGTTTGTGGAACTTAATTTCTGCACTGTTTACATTGCATGCTCATTCGGAGATGACCGACGTGCGCACTTTTATGAATGGAAACCGGCATAAATAATGTAATTAAAGACTGCAGCTGAAAGAGAACATTAACATTTCGCGAAAAACGAAGCTTGTTGTCGCTTTTACTAAGTAAACAAATATAAACAAACGACACCGCAAGTAAATATGCACGAATATATATATATATATATATGTATATATATATCGATAATATATCGATATGTATATTGTGGCGTTGCGCAGCACTGATAGCGTCAAATTCGCCACAATTGAATCGATCGTTTCTCTCATATAGTATGGCTTTCAGGCTTTTATCCGAACATATTTAAGGAAAATGAAAGTTGTGCACTTACCGGATACTTCGTTTGCAGCACAATACCACATATTTCGTCGCCAACCAGAAATTGCTCACCCAGCATAGCCATACAGACATTCTCCCAGGCACGCTCAATTTTGTTCTTTCGCAAACGTATGACCCATTGGCCGCCTTTACTGTTCGCCGGATCCTCCCACATTGGCTTGATGCCCTGTTTGAAGAGACTCAACTCCCGATAGGGTTTCAGCGCCGTTGGCCTTATGAGATGCGAGTATAGTGACCACCATTGCTGCACACTGGCACACCGCCCGACCACATGCAGCGATTTGCTATAGTCGGTGGCCGCTCGCTGTGTCCCCTTGCGCGAGAACCACAGGCAATATGTGTGCTGCAGGCGATTCTCGTTGGGCCCCACCTCTAGTGGTGGCAATTTGTCAACATCTATTTCGTTCTCCACATCGCTGTCATCGCTATCGACAAGATCTGGCCAGATTTTCCTGCAACGCAACGGTGATGGCATATCACTTTTGATTAGTATGTCGTATGAGTCTGTTTTATTTTCTTAAATCTTTCCAGCCAAAAACAAAAACTGAAGTTCAACGCCAAAGCTATCCAAGCACACCAAAATCCAAAATTTCAGCTCACATATATACTTATGTGTATGCATATGTATATACATATATATACATATATATGTATATATTTATACATATATATATATGGATATGTATATATGAATTTCTCTTTAACACAACATGAAGATCTCCATACGCACGCTGGACCAGAAGACAATCTCCCTGGAGTTGAAGGACGACAAACAAAATGTTTTGCAGCTGAAGCAGCGGTTGGTCGAATTGCCAGAGATATCGCATCCGGTAGAGAGTTTGCAGCTAATATATAGCGGTCGCATTATGCAGGATGATCGGCCGATATCTGAATACAATTTAAGTGAGGACAGATTTATAGTGCTAATGACTAAAAAGAGCGTCAACGCTGTTGTACCGGAGACGGAAAAGCAGAATGAGAAGAGGGAAGCTGAGCACAAGGAACCAGAACCGGAACGGAAAGAATCTCAGCAATCGCATCGAAACAATGAACTATTGCGCCCCGTGGAACCGCCGCGACCCGCAGGACCACCGCGACCCTCCGTTACGCCTGATGAGCAGCGCGTACGCGATCTTATGATAATGGGCTACGATGAACAAGATGTACGTTCTGCATTACGCGCCAGCTTCAATCATCCGGAGCGCGCCATAGAATATCTAATCACTGGCATACCTAACGATGCGTCTCTAGCTAGCCAGGCAGCAAGTAACACGATCGCAACCGATTCGAGCTCGATTGGCGAGACAGCCGAGCGTCTCAACTATTTGGCTACAGATCCACATTTTGCGCATGTCCGCGATTTGATTCGACAAAATCCGGAGCTCCTGGAACTGGTGCTGACGCATCTGCGAGATAGTGATCCCACGGCCTTTGAAGCTATACGCAACAATCAAGAGGAATTTATTTCAATGCTGAACGACCCGATGCCCACCCTAACGGCCTCCCTCAGCACCGAGGAGGAGGCAGCTGTGGAACGTCTAATGGCACTCGGTTTTGACAGGGATGTGGTTTTGCCGGTTTATCTGGCCTGCGACAAGAATGAAGAGCTAGCAGCTGATATACTCTTTCGCGAGACCGACGAGGAGGATAACTAATTGTAGTGGGCTTACAAATGTTTTTAGTTAATGGATCTTTTTAAATATTTATTGAATAAATTTAGTGGATTGCCGTTAAAACCAGTTTAAGTGCCATATGCGTGACATTAGGAACTGAACCTTAAGTTCTCTTACACGAAATGCCAAGCGAAGCTTAGCCGTGCCGGCTTTAAGAGGTAAGAGAGGAAGTTAAAAAATAATTTAGAAAACTACTTCATTCAAAGCACCGGAAAATGTGTAGCATACGCAACGTTGCTTGGTAAACCATGATCACAGATTAAGCCTGGGCTTCATATGAACCTTAAGTTCACGATGGGAACCAAACTTCCAAATGTTTTTCTTGTTTTCCCGTAATTTTTTGGGCTTTGCTGCCATGATAAGAACATAACCTAACAAACGCTAGCCAAGATGTTGCCCCAATTTTGGTTTCCACTTACGATTCGTATTGTTTGCTCGCGACCTTCTCCATGATAATGCTGTGGCTCGACTGCGGCAGTTCCCTGGACGTCAGATTGTTTGTTATTGTTATTGTTATGCCTCTTGACTGTTGCTGCAATCTTTGTTGTTGCTGTTGCTGCTGCTGCTGTTCTTATTGTTGTTGTTGTTGGATTTGCGGCTAGCTGGGCTATTCGTACGGCTGCCTGGCCTTTGGCGCTGTTTGCATAGAATTCTTATTGTACTTTTGTTGGCGTGCACGTTGCAGTTGTTCTCCGTTGTTGTTGCTGTTTTTGTTGTATTTGTCTGGTTGCCAAATCGAAATTATTTGCTGTTGTTGTAGTGTTTTAAAATTCAGCTCCTTTTGCTTCTTGCGTGGTCGTTGATATTGTTTGTGGGTGTGCGTGTGTTTGTCTGTGCTGTCCACAACACGAATATGTCGCGTTTGGCAAATTGGCCGCCTGTTTGAAGCGGATGGTTTACGTTCTTAGTTGCGTTGCCAGTTGTTGTCGGTTAATGCGTCCAGTTGGTAAACAGTCGACAAGATGTTTGGCTCTTTTTTGATTTTAATGGTTTTTATCGGCGTGCTACGTAAATTATTTAGTGCTGCAAAATGTGTTTACACCGATGGCATTTTGCAACACCAAGTCAATTTTCGGGGTGAATGGTACTTCAGAGCTAGAATTATTGCATGGGATCTTATTAGCTTTTAACATCAAAATGTTGGCTTGCATCTATAATTCAACATTTCTTTTAGTAGGGGATTTATTAAGATTATTGCTTTACTTGTAAATTATCGATAGAACATCAGGTGTTCCATACATAATCAAAGCACAAGTTCAAATTAACCAGCTCAATTTGAATTAAAATATTAAGCTCAATAAGAATTTTTGTAATTGATTATAAACTTGGTTTAGCTTGCGAAATAAACTCACAACAGTTTTTTATACTATTTTGTATTTCTAGAACATGATACATATATTTCCCTTCCTTCTTAAAGATTGAAAAATATATAAATAAAAACATTAAGTAAAGTGTGATGAATTTTTCACTTTTGAGTTGCAAAAAGTTTTTTCAAATCATTCATTCAAAATCTGCAGTTGCATTACTTTAGTTTTGGCAAATAAACAAATCAGCAACAGCTGCTTTTACATTAAATAGTAAATAGTGTTAACAACACGTAAGAAAAATGTTAATTTGCTGTTAAGCAGCAGAGTGAAGGGTTGTGGATTTTGTATGTTGATATTTTTATTTAATGTGTAAACAGTTTGGTAAAGCAAAATACCAAAATGGGTAAAAGCGAGAAGAAATCTAAGAAAAAGCACAAGAGCAAGCGCAAAGAGCACAAAGAGAAGCATAAAGATAAACCAAAGAAATCCAAGAGGCAAGAAAAAATAAAACAAGCAAAGACAGATACGCCACCTCCACAAGAGATTCCAGCTCAAGTGGCTACGGTGGACAGTGGAAGCGAGGATGACTTCGCCATACCAATAGGTCGGTCATAGCCATCACTAGGTTTTTAACAACAGCTACTCAAATATGTTTACATTTCGCTCATATTTAAGCGCTAATGAATAGTAAATCACATGCGCCGGAAACGCCGGAGGAGTACCAGCGCCGTCAAAGCCAAATACGCCGTGAAGTAGACCCAGTGACTGGGCGTACGCGCCTCATCAAAGGCGACAGCGAGATCCTGGAGGAAATTGTGAGTAAGGAGCGACATTGCAATATCAACAAGAAGGCAACCAGCACCGATGGCGACTACTTTGAGTCGCAATCCTTTGCAGCCGCCAAACGTCGCACGGCCAAGTAGTTCCCTTTTTTTCATTTAATACAATAGGTATATATTTAAAAATTAATAACTCTTAAACTAAATAAACATTTGTGCAGCATTGCGAGAAATGCCAGCTTAAGCTATTTACACATAGACAGACAGATTAATAGTTTCAATAATTAGTTAAAAAGTTCAATTGATTTGCACTTAGTAAAGCTGATGGAAAAACGTTGTGGTGCCATCCTGCCAGGCAGGGTCATCACTGACCTTAGCGCGGCACATTGGACATGTTTGCTCGCGCTTGAACCACGTCTGGACGCACTCATCACAGAATATATGTCCGCACTCAAGTATAATTGGCGAGTTATACATGTCATGGCAAATGGGACAGACGGAGCCAGCGGCATCGAGTTCATCCTTTGTAGGAGGCCGCTCCGAGTCCTATCGCAGTAACATATTCAAGAATTTTAGACAAACGGTTTTAGATGCATAGATAAATAAGACTTACAATATTGCGCCTAAATGTTGAGACGGATTTCTTAAGAGCTTTGCCCCGTTCCAGCAGCTCAAAGATTTTAGCGCCAATATACAAAGATGAGAAGAGACCGCCCGAAATAACTTCCAGGCCCGAATAAGACTCGTAGAGAAAGAAGAACCACTGCGTGATAGGAGCCAATGCGCGATAGAACTGCGATATGTATTCTACCAATACATAAAGACGTGCCTGCAAAATAAAAGGTTTAAGTGGGTAATGTGAATGCAAAGTGAAGTGGCGTTGACTCAATGCAATGCTCAACTAATTAGCCGTTTGTAAGGTCTGCTTGTGATAGAACCTAAAGGTGCTTAAAATACCTGTACAAACAACAACGAGTTGACTGTTTGTGTGTGGTTGTACCTTGGTAGTGATTCAACAAATTATGATGAGATAAGAGACCTCGAATTGAACTTTTTACTTACGCGCACTTTCAGTCGAATTATATGCATGGGTAGCATGGTTATGAGGATCTTGATGAGAATTGTGATTAGCTTTAGTAGCAAGTCGCTGACAGCGACATAGTAGAGCAGCATGCCCAGCGGAATGACTTTCGATACAGTTGTATCGTCGAGTATGTTCTTGGGCGTCTCGGCGCTTGACTGGAACGTGGTTGATGGACTTTCATTTAGTCCATTGTTGTGGCTGTTCTCAATTTTGTAATTTGAAGTGGAGACATCAAAGTTTTGATAGATCTTGGGGGGCGGTACCAATAAGCCCAAAGGATCCGGTGGTGCCGTGGCCAAGAAGAGACGTAGTGCAACCACCACGATCACCATGGATGCATCTCGCATCAACACAGCATAGTTCTTTTGTGCCAGTCGTGCGACTTGATTGCGCACCGATCGATTAATATTGTACATGATAGTCTGTAGCAGGAGTAGATCGAGTATGCCCAGCAGGTGGTCGTGGACGAACTTGATCAGTAGTATGCAAATTATGGGCAAATAGCGAACAAAGTGACTCAGCACCTGAACTACCATGTCTGTTATAATGTGATCATCGTCTGCATTGTTCTCGTTCGCCGCATCACCATTGCCATTGCCATTGGGACTGCCTGCTCCACTCGACGTCGCAGCATTTGTGGCGGCGGAGGCGGCGGCATCAGTGGTGGCGACTGCATCAGAATGTGTGGTATCATAGGGAGGTGGATTTATGCTCGCCGTTGCTGGCGTTGTCAAGCCAATTACACTGGCATTGTGGCGACCTGTTAAGCTATGACGCGCCTGTTGCATTTCGCCCTCGCGCAGCGAAATGCTTCTACCCATGCCAGCGCTGTTGTAGGCACTTATGCGAGTGGGTATGGACGCACTAGTGCTAGCCTCCGGCTCGTTCTGGTTTGGTTGTTGATTCTGGTTTAGCAATATATGCGAATTGTCACCGGGAACAGGAGCACTTGCTGGTGGCACAGCATTGCCAGTTGTAGGTTGCTGATAGCGAAAATTGGAATGTGCAATGAAGGAACGCAGTGCTTCAGTTGAGGGTGCCGTGGACAGTGAGAACATTTCGTTGAAATTGACACGCCAGAAGCCCAGCTGACGCACATTCGGCGGCGATGCAGCGCCAGCTGCAGGCATTGGTGGCTCCTCGAGGCTACCGCTATTGGCACCCACGCTGCGTGACTGCTGCAAACGGCGGTTCATCTGTGATGTCACGCGCATAGGTGTGCTGCTGACGGGTGTAAATGAGCGCTGCCTGGCCAGGAGTGTGGACAGTATATTGCTCCCATTGGCACGGCCACCACTGAGACTACTGCTACGAGCCGGCTGCTGGTTGGCTTGCTCCAAATTAATGGTAGTATTTGTACTTGGACCTATCAACGGCTGGGCCGAGGTCACCAGCGACAAGGGTGGCGTCGGCAGCAGGTAATCATGCTCAGCTGTGGTTGACTCATTGTCGTCGTTGTCGCTGTCAATGTTTATTGCCACGCCAGTTGTGCCTCTTTCTAGATGACCAGCACCGCGACCACGGTGCGAGGAAGAAGCATCGTTTGGTCCGTTGTTCATTGCGTGGCAAAAAACCGTATTTCAACTATTTACTTTGCAAAATGTTGAAATTTTTTTGTTTTGTACGTACGCGAGCCGATTGTTCTAGTATTCGCTTGTGAACGTAGCCAATCACGTGTGAACGTTGCAATTAACAGGGATCAAAACGTCCATCACAACTAACCGTTGAAATTTTTTTGAATTTTATAAATAAATTGATAATTAACTTATATATTTAAATGTATAGAAAAAATTTGTTTATAATTAGTTGAAAGTCACAAGTATATATATATATATATATATATATATATATATATATATATAATAAGCATATTGCCTTTTCCCTTCTTGGCTTTTATTGTGCAGTGTTATACCCCTCTTTTTGGGGGTTAGTCTGATAAGGATAATGGAAATGGCTCAGTTACCGCCAGCTCTAGCCGCAATTAAACTGACCTAAAGCCGTTACCAAGCAACCGGCTTACAAAGTGTAAACGTAAACGAAAACGAAACTGAAACTTGGAAAAACGTGGCCAAATCAACCACCGACAACAGGAATAAGCCAGTGGGATAACAGTGGTGGTCAGTTAGTCGACCGATTCAGTTTTTTTTATTATTTCAAATGTGCTCTGAAAAATAAAAACATTATGGGTAATTCATAAATTATAAACTTTATTATATTGCAAAGTCAATAAACTAAAGAGCCTATGGGCCTCTGTGTGTGTATGTGTATGTGTGCGTGATAATGCCAGATCCAAGTGTTTCTGCACATAAACATATATGTATATATGTACATAATGTACTTTATGCTTGCCTAATCTTCTTAGATAGATGTTGAACCCCATTGGATGTGTGCGCATCAAGTAAACAAAATAAAGTATATATATAAACAGATCTATATGTATGTGTGTACATATAAGTATTTGCCCATATGTAAGTATGTGTATATGTATGTATGTATGTATGTCTGTTTGCTTATGTATGTATTACGAGTATGTACATATTGTTATTGTTGTTCTTGTTGTTGTTGTTATTATTGTTCAGTCTGTGCAATCTCTCTCGCTGTCGCAGCTGCTGTCGCTATTGCTGTTGCTGTTGCTGTTGCTGTTGCTGTTGCTAGCCCTGTTTCTAGCTGCCCGGCCGGCTATTGGTGCACTGCGTCGTTCAATGAACCGGCGCCGTGATGCGCGGCGATAAACTTTTGGTCTCGCTGCGATTCCGTCGCTGCAAAAACAGCTTTACAGATTCCAGCGGTAGCTGAAAGTGATAGTAGGCGCAATAGGGCAGCGGATCCCAATAGGCGAATAGCGCTTCGCGCTTATCCAGTGGCACCGTTGACGTGTTGCGCTCCAGCGTCGACCAGCTCCAGCTCCAGCTGGCCGCATCCTCCTCGGCCATGCCGCTACGGCCATGTATGCACATGCACTTGATGGCCCGGCACAGCAGCTGAGCATGCGAGCGATTGTGACAGATATAGGGCAGAGCCACGCCCAGTCGCACGCCCAACGGCACAAACTGACCGCCATGGGTCGGCGACTTGACCAGGCGAAAGCTGACATGACCATTGATGCTGCGCTGAAAGCGCACCTTGGCAAAGAAGCTGCGCAGCCAAAGCTCAATCTGCGCCTCATCTTCCCGTCGCACTGGTATCAGATTCTTGGTATTGTGCTCCACTCGGCAGCTGACATTGGCCACGACGCGCGAGTCCTTGACCGTTGTGCACGTGACATAATGATGATAGCCAGGCTGATCACGCACCACCAGCCAGGGCTGATGTTCGCTGATCTCGTGCTGATTGAATTTTAGCAATTCGACTCGTCGCGTTGGCAATATGTACTTGTGTCGCTCCATGACTCCTTGCATGCCACAGGCCATGAATATGTTGCGATAGCCAGCCACGAAGCCGCCCTCGTACAGTTGGTGCAGTTGGTCCGGAGTCGTAATGACCGTATGCGGGGGCAGCGTTATCTGCTGCGCCTCGCAGCGCTGGAACAGCTGCAGACAGTCGTCCAGCTGCTGGGTCTCTCGGACACCGGGCACAAAGCTGGCGCAACCCAATAGCTCCAAGTGTGGCTTGGCCAGCGCATCGTAGTAGGCTGGGCTGGTGGCGCAGACGGGCACATATACAGTTGGCCGCTCCTTGCGCACGATGTGGCACAGCGCTGCTATATACTGCTCCGCATTGGCGGTGCTCGGCCGTGGCACCACATAGAACTTGTCCACACAGCTCGAGAAACGCGCCAATCCAAAGAGACCCTCAAACTCAAAGACCACAACTCGTGCTCCGGATCCATAGAAGTTGCGCGCCAGATGCAGCGTCTGAATGGTGCTGCCGCCGCTAAGGAGCACCGTTCGTTGACGATGCCGCTGCGGAGCGCCCGGCTGCTCCTCATCGCTGCTAAGCAGCCACTTAAATAGGCCAATCGGCACGCGCAGCAACTTCCAAAAGATCCAGAGCACAGCCGATAGCCAAAAGCTGGGCGCCGCTATGGACAATGGTATATAGAGCATGTAACGCAGTAGCATTAGCAAAATGCGCATCAGCAGCTGTGGCACAAGCAACAACAGATTGCTCGATGATGGCTTCTGCTTGACGCTGGGCGTTTGGACGTGGGCGCGCAGCAAGCTGCCATCGGCCGTGCGTTGGCGCCGCAGCGTTATGAAATGGCGATGCTGCGTATGATCCTCGTTCTCGGATTCATCCTGACTGGGGTGTTCCGGGATGCGATCCAATGAATTGAAACGCCGGAACTTGGGCCGTGTGGCCAGGCGCAGCTGGCGAGCGTGCTCCTGTCGCTGGAGCAGATCATCCAGTGTCTGCGACATCTTTAACGATCTCTCACTCTCTCTCTCTCTCTCTCTCTGGTTGCTTCTCTTTCGTTCACTCACGCGCGTAAGCACACACACAAACAGTTATTCGTCTTCCGTTTTATTTATTCAGTTTTTTTTTTGTAATCTTTGCGCTCTGCCTGCCGTGCAATGCTGGCAAAATTCGAAATCTGACTAAAGTGCCGCTTAGACAGGAGCTCTACTTAAAACCTATGATTGTCACATGTATGTCTGGGCACTGCAAGCGACGGACGCACAGACGGCCAGACGAACGGACGGACCTTCGGACGATTCACGTAGATAGCGCCTGAGACACATTAACAGATACGGCCGCACCTATAGTCATATATAGAAGGTACCGCAGTAGACGCATTCGGATTTGTATTATTATTAATTTTTGTTCTTGTTCTTGTTGTTGTTGTCTGGCCCGCAGACTGTAAGATTTTGCATTGTATCTACACTGCAAAAAAAGGTTAACTATATTAATTATATATAGTACAAATTATGGCACCAATATTACATCTAGAGTTAAATTACAGTCGAAGAGCAATAATTCAAAGTGGCAAGGGAAGAGCATTACTTAAGAACTCCTTGGGTTCCAGATTTGTCGAGATTTCAGTTAACTAGATGAGAATCTTTTGCAGAACAAATTCTTTTGGAATTCAATTCTTGTTGATCCATTATCAATGGCTGAATTTATGCTCTGTTTTGTTTGACAATTTTGTAGGTCGAGTTAACACTTGGAAAAAAGGAGTTCAAATTTTATATGTATAATAAAAAATACGAGGTATTAAAGAAGGTATTTTTACGAATTAAAGAATCTTTTTCAAGGGAACAGGTTTTACCAATTTTAGACATTTTTGGCTTGGTTTCTTCACATTTCAATAATAAGAGAACCCAGCAATTTTTCTATTCCAAGCAAATCAGTAAAGTAAATTATTTACTATTGTAGAAGAATTAATGAAAGTTTCGGAAGTAATATAAAAGCTCAATATATATATATATATAAATTACTATATTTAATATAATACTTAAGTCATTTACTAGTAAATTTATACCGATTGAAATACATTAAATTTTCAAAAAACTCGACAAGTTAAAGTTAATTAATTCTTCTACTTCTTATAAAATAAATCTACGATTTAAATGTTAAAAAAAAATTAGAAGTAATATTAAAAAATTTTAAAAAAATCAGATTATTTTTTATAATTTAAATAATGATGACAACTATTTCTCTCAGTGCATGGAAATTGGCAAATTGGCATAAATCATGCACGTTGTCTAGAGCATGGGCTTTCATCAGAATGTTTGGCATTGTTGCCAGCGGCGTGCTGGACCAGCCAAATAAAGAAGAAAAGGAAAAGCATTGAAACTATTATCAATGGAGTTTGTGCTTAGCGAAATCAATTAGACCTGGCAGTCAATCAGTCAGTCAGTCAGTCAGTCAGTCAGTCAGCCAGCTGCAGTTGTACTTTGACCCAGTCGCTCGAAATTTAATCCGCTTATATTTGTACATATCAGCTAATAGGTACTCGATTCCAATTCAATCAGCCTATTGCGGCATTACGACTGGTTCCGACAGCGACTGCGACTGATAAGGCGCTGACTATGAACCCAACACTCATTAAGCAAGCCAACAACAACAACAGCAACTAAATATAATGAAAATCAGAGAACAAAAATCCATGTTCTATTGTGATTGATAGAAAATAATCACACACCTACTCTATATGTAGGTAGACTAAATATGATTGTTCCATAGACTGGCTCATAATTGTTTAGCATGCACAGAGATTAAATAAACGGAAAGTGAAAAATACCTTAACCTTGCCAAATGGAGCGGACTTTAAACAGCCAATGCACGTATATAGCGGCCGGTTGTTTATAGTTCTATTCCCATATAATTAACAATTATATTATTGTTCCTGCAGTTGCACCTTGAAATCTGCACAAGGTTCTGCACAGGTTAAGAGTGCTGCAAAACACAAAACACTCTTCAAAAACACCGTCGCGCATTGATAAGCTCTATATATGTACACATTTATGAAGAATTTATTTATATTGCTATATTTATTTTATATTGAAATTATTTTTATTTCTGTTTTGTTTGCAATTTCGAGCTCTTGTTGTTGTTGGTTGTTGGGCGGCGTTTGGCACAGCTACACACACACACACACCTACACGCACCCACCTTGCTACGTGTTGTGTAACTGAGTGTACTAGAGTGTGTATATGCATGTGTGTGTGTGAGTGTGTGTGTGCAGCCTCTGACAGGCATGCATTTGACCCTTGTGTCTTGATAACCTTCGTAGCTCGTGCCCAGCTCTGGCATTGCAAAAAATATATATATTAAGAATATATATATATATTTATAATATATACAAATGCCAGGAAACATTTGACATTTTGGTTTGCCAAGCGATCTTAATTGAATATGCTTCCAGCACGATCTGTACATTTTTTAAATATTTGTCTAAACAAATAGACCATTTCATATTACTTTAATAGCTGCATAAAACTGAAAATTTATAAATATTAAGAAGTAGACAAACAGAACTAATTGCATGTCTTGGAAACTGAAGATATGGGCATTCCCTTGGCTAATAGGCTCATCGCCAATGCCTAACTTGGACCTTCTTCTCTTTCACAATAAACATTCTGCATCCATTTTATGCAATTCCTTTGATAAAATAATATATTTAAGCTCGTTATATAAGCAGGCTCCTTAATGGTTCCCATTCTCCAAACGGACAAATAAATAAATAAATGATTAACATAATGTGGTTTGGTGGTTACATTTTTATACAACGAAAACAAAAAACAAAACTGCAATAGTCAGGTGTGACCGACTAGTAGATACTCTGATATTTGTGCTGGGCCTGTTCTAGGGATTAGATCAAACCAAACGAAATTTGTTAAATTTATTCAAATAACTGAAACTTGATACCGATTTAAATCGATTTGATATAACAGAAAATAGAAGTTATCGATTATTTGAAAGACCGATTTGTAACTCTTATAGGAACCAAGATAGACGCAACAGAGATTGACGCTACGGACAGATGGATTTCGAACAAACGCCACGGCTATTGAAGCTGATCGAGAACATATATATCTAATGAGGTCGGCCAAGGCTTCTTTTGTCCTTTACACACATTTAACGTAACCAACATACCCCAAATAACCACTTCCATAAGAATTCAGAGTATAAAAAGTGAAGCAAGAAAGGGGTAAACCCCATTGGCATAGCTCAAAATTTATTGCTCTGCACTGTTTGACTTATTAAACGCAGCTAGGCATGAATATTGTGACCAATATTGTGAGATGCTCTATCACACACACACACACACACACACACTCACACACAGGTAGGCAGGTGGGCTGGCACATTGGAAATATGCTTTGAGCCACAATTTGCATTTGTTGCTCGCTCGCACGCCAAACATAATTGTGACTTCTCTTCTGGCCAGGGCAAAGGGCTTCGATGAGTCGCAAACCCAATCAATTTTTCGGTTGCCACTGGCAACGTGGAATTTGTTAATTCAATGTTTATTTTACATCCACCTAACGCCCCCAGGAGCCGGGTAAACTCCAAGCTGCAGTCGATCAGCGGGCGTGGACTGTCTGTCTGTGCCTCGAAAGCGAATCCACTGGCTTCCTTATGTAAATGGGCGCGCACAGCCGTTGGGGCTCAGTTGCTTCTGTTCCACGAACCTCGACAGTTCTAAGGACATTCTAACCATTCCGGTAAGGTTTTCCTCTACTATCAGCTCGAAGCGCACGTGATTTAGTTGCGTATTTCCGCATTTTTGCCAATTTGTGTCAATTGTTTGGGACTGTGAAGTGGAAGTGGAAGTGGAAGTGGAAGTGGGTGTGGCAGAAGCTACTCAGGGCGAGCGTAGTATCGCCCACTTGGAGTGTTCGGTGTATTCCCAACGATAATTTCATGAGTATTCAATTGAAGCTCAATCAGTTAACAAGTACATTTTCATATTGTGGCCCTCAACGACGAGTTTTGGATAGCTTTGAAGAGAAGTGAGTGCAAATTATATCCCTATATGAGTGGTTCGTGTCTGCGTGTTTGTTTTTCTTCTTCTTACGTTTCTTTTTTTGGTCTGTTGAAAAGATTTATGGGATTATTAAAGAAGCCCTTGACTACCCTCAAAAAAAAGCTCTGCAAAATACTAAGTCACGTTGCTTGAGATTTAGTAATTGAATTGGTGAAAATATATTAGTCACAACTTAACTGACGCCTATCTAAACTGTTTTAGTTGCCAAACATATTTTCCCAAGTTACAAATTACAATTATTATTAACAACACTTATATTAACAACAATAACAAGTGATTGATATAAGTAATCTTAACTTTTGTTTGAATTAAACTTTCAAGAAATATGAATTGATATCAAATACTGTTTACCCAACTTCTGTTGGGTTTTATTAAGCAATATTAATATTTTGTCTGTTGCCCAAGCAAGTGATGAAAAGGTATAGAACTATTTATCATTTGGTGGAATAGAAAATGCTTGTTTTTAATATGTCATCAATTTCAAATTTGATATAGTCAATTGATTTAGCTCCATGATAAAAATCAATTTTAAATTTAGTTTCTTATAAGATGAGAAGAGAAGAAAATATAATAATAATAATAATAATAATAATAATAATAATAATAATAATAATAATAATAATAATAATAATAGTAAAAATAATAACAATAATAATAATAATAATAATAATAAAAAAAAATAATAATAAAAATAATAATAATAATAATAAAAATATTTTTTAATATAAAATTGTTTTTTTTTTAAAGATACTTCTTAAAAAGCAGAACAATTATCTAACAAAACTTTTTTTTAACAGAAATATCTAAGATATTCAATATGGAGAGACTTGTGTCTATAAACGTTAAAGTCGGTCTACACCAACTGCAGAATACTAAGAGCTAAATTGATAGAAGTAATCAATGTTGTGTTGACCTCCTCAGCACCTGCTAAGCTTGCTATCTCGAACATATAGATATACATATATATATATATAAGAAATGAAAATGAAAAGTATAAAGCTAGAAAGTGATATACCCTTCTTTAACTTCTTCAATGAGTATATAAAAATGGACAATTGTATGAAGTCGGGCTTGCGAGGGTTTCTTAAAAGTTATGTAGGAACAAGTCTAATATGGAAGGCAATCTATAATTGCCTAAGCAGGACAATTGATAGTTATATTATATATAAACATAGAATATAGTCTGATAAGACAAGATTCATTAGCAGATTGAATTATTCTCCTCATACTCCTCCTCCTCCTCCTCCAAATATTCAGATCATTATCATATTTGTTCGCATTACGTTTGACAGTCGAAAGAAGTTTGGACGCTACATAAAATCCGTCTATTTATGACAGCTTTATGATTATGTCTTTATGTCGACCCCAATCTGAGCGAAGCAGTCGCACTAGGCATGGCCAAAATAGAGAAAGTAGAATCGCATGGGCACAAGAACTCGGGACAGATTGCATGCTAAGCCACAGTCGTGACATCGTAGTCCTCGGCACATGTAAAAAAATCTATTAAATTTTGTTATTGTATCTATAAATGAAGTCCACAGAGCATAAGGAGCTCAAAATTAGAAGACGACCCAAAGACGAACAAAAAAAACAAGACTTCATTCGTGTCAAAAGAAGTTTCAACAACGAGCCACATAAAACGCAAGAAAAGAGTCCAAAAACGAAAAACAACTATTTTTGTTTATTAATATAAATACGCCGAAGACAAGGGAATTATAATGCATATTGTTGCTGGGCAAATCAGAAAAAAACTGCAATGGGGCAAAGGGGCGTGAGGCATGCGACATGGGGCATGGGTAACACACAAAGTTTGCTGTCCTGGTGACAAACGGTGTCAGCCCAGCTGTGGAGGGGGCGGCGGGCGAGAATTGTATTGTCAAGTGGGCGATGTTTCGCATAGGAATATCATTGACTAGATGATAAAAAGGGGAGCTTGTTTATTTATGAGCGCTAAGCATAAAAAAATAGCTTCGCTTGGCGCAGCTGTCATGACGACCGGATATGGCAAAATAGTCGGCCGTCAGCCCGGGCAGAGTTAATAAATCAATTTGGACAAAGTTATCGAGCATTTAGGCGTAGGCGGCAAAGTTCTGCAAAAGTTTTGCTCACACGCAAACCGCAAACAATTTCACGAGCCGACTTTAACATCCTCTGCCACTACTCTCGCTGTCTGTCCCCCTTTCAGATGCAAGCGTATCGCGATAACTTTAAGCAAACGCCTTGCCCATCGGCCGTCGACCTGCCGGTGCCATCAGCGGCAACAGCCACAACCACGCGTTTACCCTTCTCTCGCAATCGTGGGCGTGGCGAGCCAGCGACCAGCAATCCAATCAACAGCAGCAACATCAGCAACGGCTCCGGTGCCATCACGCCCAGAATGCTGAGCCCAGCACCGGGTGGACCGGGCGGGTCAGCGGCGGACTGCTCTACCAATGCGCTGCTGCGCCAGAATCAGGAGCTGCGCCAGCGACTGGCCGACGAGTCGCACAGCTATCGCAAGCGCTTGGACACGTACAAGCAGGCCCAGCACAATCAGGCCAATCTGGTTAGCCGCCTGCAGTCCAAAATACAGCAGTACAGGCAGCGCTGCAGCGATCTCGAGGACCGCATGCACGACACCATCAAGCCGACGACTACAATGCCCTGTCCGCCCAAGCTGACAACGGGTCCAACTGCAAACCAGGTGCTGGTGAGTAGGCGTCCAATAAGAAGAGCAGCTTTTAGCTAAGATGACTCATATATATAATATAATATATAAATATATATGTAATATATATTTGGGATAGGGTATACGTAGTCGGGCAAGCACTTTTGCTTGTTTACATTTATTGTTTTGCATAATTTTGAATGCTTGTCTCGATTATCATTGTTAACAGTGCTCGACCTCGCTGACTTTAGGTCAGAGCAGCCTGCCGTGCAGCTCATCGCTAGACTCGCCACCGCCAAGCTGTGGACGCGATTACTTGCATGACGACGTCAGCAGCAGCGAGCTGTGCCGCAAGCTGGAGGAGGAGCACAATCGCTGCGAGCAGATTGTGGCGCAGAACAATGCTTTGCGTCAGCAGCTGGAGGAATCGAATCGCACCAACGAGGCGCTGACGAATGATTTGCAAAAGTTGACCAATGATTGGGGCAACATGCGCGACGAGCTGCTCATCAAGGAAGATGAGTTCAAGGAGGAGGAGCAGGCCTTCAAGGACTACTACAACAGCGAGCACAATCGTCTGCTGAAGATGTGGCGCGAGGTGGTTGCGGTCAAGCGCGCCTTCAAGGACATGCAGAGCGCCATGAAGGCCGAGGTGGCCAAGATGGGCCAGGAGATCAATGGCGTTAGCAAGGACATCAACTGCTCCAACTCATCGGTGGCATTTGCCCTGCAACAGGCCAAGCGTGCCGCCGACGATGAGCTGAAGCAATCGCGTCGCAGCAACGATGAGCTGCAGGCGCAGCTGGCCACGCTCAAGGTGCAGTACGAGAGTGCACGGCATGAAATTATGGAACGGGATCAGCGATTGCTGGAGCTGATGAATCAGCTCAAAAAGCTGGAAGACCGCTGCGCTCAGGCCGAGTCGCATGCGGCATTGGCTAATCGCTACAATGATGAAATCGAGAGATTGAACAATTCCATGCGCGAGATCGCACAAGCTGTCGTACAAGATGCCGAGATCGCTGATCGCGAAGCAGACGCCGAGGTCAACAGTGCCATGCAGCACATGCATCTGACGCGTGATGCCGCCTCCGTAGCGGGTGGCGCTGCCAATACCGCCGGCGCCGCTGGTGGCAAATCGCCAAGACGCAATTCGACTCGCGCCTCCCAGGCCTTTGCCGAGGGCACCATTTCGGCTGTGCAGGCGGCGCTCCACAAATACCAGCTGGCTCTGCATGACATGCAGGTCAAGTTCCAGCAGAGCAGCGAAACACTGCGCAGCACTCGCACCCAGTTGGACACCAGCGAGGGCACCAAGCAGCTGCTGACCAGCAAAATGCAGCAGCTGACCGAAAAGCTGGACGCCAGCAATTCGAAGCTCTCCGAGCTGCTGCAGGAGCGCGAGAGTCTGCAGAAGTCCTTGGATGAAGTGCGTGTCCAAAAGCAGCAATCCGAAATGGGTCGTGCGGATCTAAACAATGCGGTGAGTGGGTGTCAGAGTTGATAACAGGTGTTGATAAGAGCAACAAACAGTTCTCGCCCAGACGTACTTATTAGAAAAAAAAAACAGCTCACAAAACATTAACTGAGCTTAAGCTCTGAGCTGTAGCAGAGATATACTATATAGTAGGATGTCATTGATATATCTTATTTATATATTATTGTCTTATTTATATTATCTTATTTATATATAGAATATACTAAATTATGGCTTAGCAAAAAAATTGATTTCGTGTCTTTTTTTGAGTTCTATAAAGTTTTTGTTCATATTTAGGTATAAGATTTAAGAAGCTACTAGAAACTAAGAATTCCGAGACTTGACTTAATTAAGTTATATAAAAAATTATATATAATATATACATATATATATATATATTTTTTTTTTTAATTCATAATATTGAATTATTCGATTTCAACTGAGTAAAACACGTGTCCAAGCGTATTTTTTATAAAGTGTTAGGATTTCTTATAAATAAATTTTTCTAACTTTCGAACTGATCTATATATATTGAATACTACATAAGTTACTTATATAAAAAAAATATTTATATATATTTAAAATTCATATATAAAATTCAATGCAGATATTTTAATTTTTTCTAAAATGTTAGGATTTTTTATAAATTTACTTATGTTACTTTCGAACTGATCTACATATATGAAATACTAGAGCTATGCCGATAATCTATATGCATTTGCCGGGTACAGTCGGCAGACTAGATTATATATTTTGCCGTCTCGACAGAAATCAATTATACATGCTATATATGTAACGTTGTGGATGGGTTTTTGAGCTGAGCCGTGACTCGATGACAACTGAATAATGAGAATCCGGGTTCGAGTCCCTAGGCTAGCCCAAGCCTTTCATAATGTCTGGCAGACAAACTTTATGACTAATCTATATAAATATATATTGTAAATAATCATAATCATATTTCAGTTTGAGAATCTCAGCGGAGACTTTGAGAAGTTACAGTTGAACTATGGCAAGCTGCAAAAGCGAATCGATTCCATGGAGGAAGATAAGAAGGCAGTCGAGCTGGAGATACAGCGTATACTCAAGGACAAGAATATAACTGAGCTGAATTTGAGGTAAGCTTCAACCATATATAGCTATATAAAAGACAGTTAGATATGTGCTCTACGTAGATCCGAGGAGGATCGCAGCAGTCGCTTGCGGGAGGAGACGATTTCGTTGCGCGAGGAGCTAAATCGCGTTAGTCTTAATCGGGATCTGCTGGAACAGCAGCGCATCGAGTCGGACAATTTGATCAATTTGCTGGAGAAGCAGAAATGCGATCTGGAATACGACTTGGACAAGCTGCTGCTGGACAAATGTGATCTGCAGGAAAAGCACGAGAAATTGTCCAACAACAATTGCTCCACAAGCGACGAGCTGAAGTCCGTGCAGAACTGTCTGCTGGAGGCCCAAGAGGAGCGTAAAAAGCTGCGCGTGCAGGCCGCGGACCAGGCCAGTGAAATTGGCGAGCTGAAGAAGGAGCTGGCTGTCCTGGACAAGGCGCGTCTGGAACTGGAGACCGACAATCTCTCGTACAGCGAGAAGCTGAAGTGCTTGCAGCTAGAGAAGGAGAAGATCCTGCAGGACCTGGCTTGCATGACACGTGAGAAATGCGATGTGCATAACCAGCTGACCGCCATGTGCCGCAAGAAGGAGACGATCAACGAGGAGCTAATGCGCACGCGCCAGCGCCTGGAGCAAACGACAGAAACCAACAGTCGGCTGAATCGCAACATCGAGGACATGGTCAAGGACGTGGAGGAGAAGCAAGTGGTCATTGACTTGCACGAGAAGGACACGCATCGCCTCAACGAGCTGCTGGCCGCACTGCGCTCCGAGAAGGAATCTCTGGAGACGGTGCTATTCGATACCAATACGACACTAGAGGCCGTCGAAGAGAAACGCAGCCAGCTGGAACGTGATCTACAGGAGGCGCTGGTCCGAGAGGAATCCCTCAAAAATCACGTGGCACGTTTGCAAAAAGAGCTGGAGGTGTGTCAGCGTAAAGCCCAGGAGACCAAGACGCAACTGCTGAATGCAGCTCGTGCTGCCGAAAGTGACTTCAACCAGAAGATTGCCAATCTTCAGACAGCCGCCGAGGATGCAGCTAAACGCCATGGAGACGAGGTGCTGCAGCTACGCAATGCTCTTGAGAAGCGCATGCAGCAGGCATTGCAGGCACTGCAAACCGCCAAGGATGATGAGATCGAGAAGTTGCAGGAGCGCATAGCCGCCTTGCAGGCGCACATCGAGAGCGTGGTGCAGCAGCACGAGGAGACGCTGATTCGCGCAGAGAACGAGAAACAGCAGGCGCTGCTCATGGCCCATCGCGACAAGCAGGCGGTGGCCGAACGCCTCGAAGCGGTCTCTCGGGAGCTGAAGACCGAGCAGGAGTCACTGGATCGCAACAAGCGCGAGGCCAATGCTCGCGACGAGAAACAGCGCGCGGCCATAGCTCAGCTCAAGGATGAGATGGTGCACATGCGCACCAGAGAGGAGGAGCACAAGTAAGACTGTCCAGTCCCTCCTTTCACTCATCTTTCTAAATATTTATTCTCTCCCAGAATCAAGCTCGAGGAGTGTATACGTAAGCAAGAGCTGCAATTGAACAGCATGCGCGAGGAACGCGACACTCTGTGCCGACTAAGCGAGGAGTTCAAAATGGACATACGACTAAAGGAGGACAAAATGGAGGCAACCAACAATGAGCTGCAGGATGCGCTACGCAAGACCAAAGAAGGTGGGATCTATAAGAGAATTGACTTTACATTTTTACAGACAAGATGAGTTTTTCCGATCTTGAGGTCTTACCCCGAATCGAAAAGAAAAGGAAGAGGGTTATAGAGTAAGATCAGGAGTAAATAATATAAAGCACAGGCCTTTGACGTACTGCAGCCAAATCTGATATTAGAATGGACTTTTCATTTTAGGGCTTAGGATACTTAGTTCACCTGCTAAATAAGCCAAAATATTTTGCCTGTCCTTTCAGGTGAGGGCTACATTGACAGCCTGCGCAAGGAGCTGACCGACAGCCGACGTCAGCTGGCGGATAGCAACATTGAGCGCGACAAGTACTCCAGTAGCAACAAGGAGCTGCGCGATCATGTCAAGCGTGTTGAGAGCGCCAAGCGTGAGCAGGCGCGTGCAATCGAGGAGGCGCTTCAGAAGATTAACAATCTTGAGGAAGCCAAGAACTCATTGGAGATAGAGCGCACACGTGTGAGCACCATACTCAAGGAGACGGAGAACAATTTCACAAAGACCACACAGGAGCTGAATGCCACAAAGTCGGCATTGCAAAAGACGCAAATGGAGTTCGCCCAGAAGGACGAGGGTGGCAAAGAGCTGCAGACTAAGCTGGCGGCTGAAATTGAGCTGAAAGAGCGTGCGCAGCAGGAGCTGTGCCAGATCAAAAAGCAGCTGGCCGATCTGGAGGCAAATCTGTGCGCTACGCGCCAGGAATTGGGTCGTGCACGCTGTCACAACAACCAGGAGGAGCATCGGTTCCATGCACGCGAACAGGAGTTGGTCACGCGCATGGAGGAGGCGCGTGGTCGCGAGAAGCGTTTGGAGGATCAGAAACACAATCTAGAGGTTTGCTTGGCGGATGCCACGCAGCAAATACAGGAGCTGAAGGCGCGTCTGGGTGGCGCCGAGGGTCGCATCAGGGCATTGGATGAGCAGCTGGCCTGTGTGGAACTGCATAAGCGCAACACAGAGCACAAACTGAGCTCCGTGGTGCACACGCTGCGCCGCATTGCGGGTATCCAAGTGGATGGCAGTGTCAATTTGTCGCATCGCTTGCTAAGTCCTTCGCGCCGGTTTAGTCCTTCACGTAGCGTTGGCGAATATGACACACGCAGCACATCACAATGTCCCGATGCGCCCGTCGATGTTGATCCCGATCTGGTCCGAAAGGGCGTGCGCAATCTGATGCATCAAGTGGCCCAGCTGGAGCGCGAGAAGGACGACTACAAGTCCCAGCTGGGGGCGGCCAAGAAACAGCTGCAAGATGCCGCCGATCAGCAACTGCGTTGCGATGCCAAGCTGGGCAAACTTCAGGCCATTCTGCGCAACTTGCAGGAGGAGAAGAGCAATCTGGAAACCGATCGGAAAATGAAAATCTCGGCTATGAATGCGCTCGAGGAGAAGCTGAAGCAGCGCACCGATGAGTGCCAAGTGCTGCGCGAGCGCGTTGCCCAAACCGAGATGCAGCTGTCCGCCACATCCGAGGAGAACGCCCAAAACGAAGATCGTCTGGAGAAGAGCCGTCAAATGTGCGGCAAGCTGGACAATGAGAAACGCATGCTGCAGGAGGAGCTGGCCAAGGTGGAGGGACGCGCCAGTAAGCTAGACTTGCAGCGTGTCGCCATGGAAGGGGATCTAACGCGGCTGCAAATGGCGCTGCAGGAGAAGGACTGCAACATTAGGCAAGTGTCTGAACGGCTGGATACCCAAAATCGTGCTATGGCTCAACTGGAGGATCGTTGCACCTCCCTCAAGTCCACAGTGGATCAGCTCAAGGAGCGTCTGCAAAAGAGCGCTGTCAGTGAGACTCAACTGCGCGGCGAGATCAAGACGTTGCAGAAGGAGCTGTCCGAGCAGGGTCATTGCTCGCAGGCCAATGAGGACAAGGTTAAGCTGCTCCAGAAATCACTGCAAACGACGGAGAACGAGAAGCGCATATTAACGGAGCGTCTGGACAGCGCTCAAACCAATCTGAACGAGCTGCGGCGCAGCCAGCAAGCGCAGCTCGATGGCAACCAGCGGCTACAGGAGCAGGTTACGGATCTCGAAGTGCAACGCTCGGCGCTCGAGTCACAGCTACGCATTGCCAAGTGGAATCAGGAAAACGGCGACAAGGACGCCGTCAACGGGAATGGAGGCGGCGGTGGCAGTCGCGAGGAAGAGGAACTAAGCCGCCAGCTGAAGTCATCGCAGCGAGAGAAATCCGAGCTGCGCAGCAAGCTGCAAACACTGCAGGACAAGGTGAAGCAGCTGGAATGTGACAGAAAGAGTAAATTTGCTGGTGGCAACGCCTATGATCGGGCTGAGAAATCGAGCTCCTATTATGGAGGAGGCGGCGCTGGCGATGCCGGAGAGTATGATTCCAATCGTTATGACGCCGGCACTGGGGGCTCCTATAGTTGTGGCCTTGATCACAGCGTCATTGAGCAGGAGACGCGCGACTTGCGCTTAAAAGTGCGTCGTCTGGAGACGTTGCTGGCGGAAAAGGAGTCCGAGTTGGCGCGCTGCAAGGCACGTATGCATGACAGCTCCAAGTGCATGGATGGCATGGACGCGGATCGCTATCGCAGCGCCCAAATGCATGCTGAGAAGTTGCTAGATGCTCGCGAACAATCCCACAAGCAGCAGGTCCTACGACTCGAGAACCAGGTGAGCCCATGCCCAGTTCCATGAGTACAATCAATTTGCAATTGCAATCTCCATTCCTCCCACAGATCTCAATGCTGAGAGAGCAACTGGCACAAGAGGCTAAACGGCGACAGCAGTACATTCTGCGTAGCTCCAAAGCTAATCGAGAGATGCAGCATCTGCGCAGCACATTAGGCGATTCCCTGCGGAATGTCTCCCAGCATCCAGTGGATACCCATTTGCTGGAAAGCGAAAGTAGACGGTTGGTAGAAACATGAAAATCTCATTGAAAGATAATCGAATTGGTTGGCTTTTTCAGCTTGGATTCTGCAGTGTCCATGAGTCTGCCACCGTCGACGTGCCGTGATTACGATCGTGATTAATGGATAGTGCAATCGCGTTGTCATCTGGTAACTTGATCCCGCCAAGACGTAACGTTCACTGCCAGCGTAAGGCAAAGTACGTGCATTTATTTTGAGGCAAACGCTTTAGATTACTAAAGATATCGTAATTAAATAATATTTAGTTCACCAGCATCTGCATTCATAAACCTTGAAGTGCTTCAAGTACAATTCTAGCTGTTCATTGTCTGCCTTGTAGACAATCGAATATAGTGCGTTCCATTATCTCGCATCCTGAATTGGATATTCATTTATGACACAAAAAAACATATTTTACAATATTATACATTAAAGGGTCACAAGTTCCGCTACTCCTCGAAAGGTAGGAGAGCAAAGAACTGCATTAATATCATATATGAGCTAAAAACCAATCACATAATAATTTCAATAACATTGTATGCATTGATATTGACATGGACACATAGTCGGCACAACAACACATTCAACTTTTAACATACATACATTTTAAATACAGTTTGTGTTCAACAACTTACAGCATATTTTATAAACTATATACAAAAATAAACACGTCCAATAACACTTTAAAAGTGCGTTTTATTTATTTTTTTAACAGTCTCTCCAAGCACTCAACGACGATTTTCATATTCGCCTTTTGTTCGGACAGCTTAGCCACTTCACCGACAATGGCATAAAGGGCTTTCGATTTGCCTTTTTGGTATTGCTGCACAGTTTTTGGCTGATTTGCGATTGCCTCGCGGCAATAAGCCTCAATGGTGTTCAGATCTGAAATCTGTTCCAAATTGTGTTGTCTAATAAGCTGCAAAGCAAAGCGTAACAATATATATTTAAGGCTTTGTATTCTTTAACTTTTAAGTTTTCTTACTTGGCTGACATCAGCGTCTGGATTCGTGTGTAAAAGTGGAATAAGTTGGCGAGCTGCTTGCAAATTGATGTGCTCAGCATGTAACGATTTTAAGATGTCCTTCAAGGCGTTGGCATTGATGGCGCTGAAATTAAAACATTTACATAAACTGAAAACATATATGTACATAGATTACATACCAATCTGCTATGTCCAAACTAAGCTTGTTGCAGTACGACATTAAATCGTTAATAAGAAAATTGGTTACAACTTTGGTTGGCATATCAGGTAGACTTTTGGTGATGTTTACAAAATGTTCCAGCAGGATAGGTTCGTTCTTACAAAATAAACATTAATAACAATATTTGCTAAAATAACTCCCACTCGATAGAGCTTACCACCAAAATTATAGCTGCCTCCGCATTAAGTTTATAATATTCCATAAGGCGTTGACGTGTATGTTCAGGCAATTCTGGTAATTCTTCACTTAGGGCTGCTACCGATATTAAGTGTTCGGTTGACCTTGCACCTGGCTTGAGATTAACATGTAATGGTGGCAAATTGGGCTCCGGCATAAAGCGATAGTCCTGTAGCACTTCTTTATCTCGCATTGCAATTGTGCGTCTGTTCTCTGCATCCCATGAGCGCGTTTCATTTGTTACCACACCGCCCTCGGCAACGAGCTCCAACTGACGATTGATTTCATATGATATTGCCTGGGATATGCTGCGCACGGAGCCAATGTTTTTGACCTCTGTGCGTACCCCGAAAGGATCGCCCTCCTGGTGTATTGATATATTGGCATCTACACGCAGTGCGCCCTCTGCAAAAGCAAACTTAAACAAGTGTTTCGGCAGTTGTATTAGGCACTTACCCTCCATTTTACAGCTACAGGTCTGTAGTCGTCTCAATATAAGCATCAACTCTTTCACTAATGAAGCAGCCTCCTCGCCAGTCTCCAAATCTGGGCCAAAGACCAGCTCCATTAACGGCAGACCAGCTCGATTCAAGTCCACTAAGCTTCTCTTGAGCTGCTCGTCGTGCAACGATTTGCCACTGTCCTGTTCCAATTGTAATTGTAACAAGTTGACAGATTTATAGTAAATCTTTTTGCCCGGCGTTATGACTGGAAATGTCATTACACCATTATTTGCCAGCGCGGCGCGTTGTTGTGTAATTTGGTATCCATTCTAAGAAAGTTCAAAGGATTTACATTGCATTTGATGTGATTACGCTGACTGCTCACTGGTAAATCTGCATAAAAGTAGTGCTTCCGATCAAACATGGACACCTCGTTCACCCGGCAGCCTAGTGCCAACGCAGTTTTTATACCAGACTCTACGCATTTTCTATTGAGAACCTTAAATAGATTGTGCTCCTTATTAGTATCCGCTAAGAATTAACTGCAAATCTCACCGGTAGAGTTCCTGGTATAGACGCATCAAAGTATGCAACTGCTGTATTAAGAGGTGCTCCAAAGCTGGTGGCACTGCCGGAGAATAGTTTTGAAGCACTTGCAATCTGTGCGTGCACCTCCAAGCCAACGACACTTTTCCATTTCCTGCATGAAGCATAAACGTATTCAAATAAGAGATGTGGGAATTTCTAAGCAATCAAATATTTTTATTTTACTTCTTTGCCGCATTGGCCAATTTGGGTTGCGTTGACAGTCGACGCACAATAATATAACTTCCCATTGTTAGATTTCTTGACCGGCTGAGATTTGATAATAGCAACAGCTGAGCTCCAGGTGTACTGCTTAACACCAATAATAGATATTCCCTCTACTCTATTGACTTAATCAAAAAATCGATAGAAGATGAAACAGCTGTTTTTTTTTAAGGAATCGAATTTTTGCCTGTAGACCGAATCTATAGCAATACTCGCTTAACATCTGATTATATGTTTATTGCTGCATCAATAATAGCGCGATTTTCCTTGAAAAGAAAATTTCAATCATGCTTTCTATGTCAGATCTTCATACTCATTTTGTATTCCATCAACAGAAAGAATATCCTCAATGCAAAGACAGACTGTTAAAAACAGCTGACATTGGTTAGCGTGTCACGAATCAGCCGTTTAGTATCGATAATTAGCATTTACTTCCGATATTTGTGGTACTTACGATAAATCAAAATATCACGAAGGCGAAGTGGGCTCCACTGGAAGAACATGGAAAAGTTGAACATTACTGCTAAACCAAGGTAGAAAAACACGAAATAACCTTTTTAATAAAACATGTGAAAAAGATGAAACTAGAGGTAAGTTCAACTTTCGCATTGGCCAACGCAACAGGCAGTTTAAATACACTTGCGAAAAATGTGATGCAAATTTTTGTATATCACAGTTGACAACAACGACGACGAAGAAGAGAGAAAAAAGCACACGCAGCGCAGCAAAAGCAAAAAACACGACCAAGAGACCACGACAACTTCGACAACTACGACGACGACGGCTACAAAATACTTGGAGTTGTGACCACTACCAGGTCGCTACGCCAACGTGCAGCTATAGGTTAAAGGCAGAAAAACAAAGGCGACAGATGCAAGTAAGGAGCTAATGCTGAAAAATCAATCAAACAACCAACACACCACATGCTGTCCGTTGTTACCACTCCAAATAACTAAAGCACCAAAATGGACTTCGATAGGATTATCTGCGGCTTGGAGTCAAACCAAACACTTGAGAATGAGGAAGCAAAAAAGAAACTTGTTGAAATTTTCACCCAAAGTAAGTAAACGCCAATTTACAAATATCCTAATACTATTTGAATTTCCTACATCTACATAATAGATAGGGAACAATGGCCAGTGCGCTATATGCTCGACTACTACATAAACACTGGCTCAATGCGCATTATGGAAGTGCTGGTGAAGGCACAGCCGCCACACGATAGCTACATATTCGATCGCTTAGACGACTGGCTCAAGCAACAACAATTTCGCGTACAGGCGCTGAACGTATTTTGTTTTATTGTGCGACGCCATCCCACTTGGTTGCACAAAATCGAGAAGCATCGCCTTATAAAAAGTATATTCAAGTTGTTGATGGTAAGTGTATTTGATAAAGATTTTTATTATCGTTATATATGTGTGTCATGTTTATAATCCTTGCAGCACGAAAAGGATATTGTGCCATTAATGAGCGCTCTTCTGTGCATAATTACGCTGTTACCCATAATCCCGAATTCAGTGCCGAATTTTTTGAACGATTTGTTTGAAGTATTTGGGCATTTGGCTTCGTGGAAATTTCAAAACCTGAATAAGTTACCAGACGAAAAGGTCGTGCATCTACAGTTGGGCTTGCAAATGCTTTTCCATCGGCTATATGGCATGTATCCGAGTAGTTTCCTTAATTATCTGTCGGAGTTCATCAAGAAGGACAAGGGTAGTATTTTCCAGCATACGATCAAACCGTTACTGAACACTGTGCGCTTGCATCCGATGCTATTGACGGCTACCAGTGAAACGGAGGTAAGCAACCAGCGATGGAAGGAAATGGAGCCGCATGATGTGGTCATGGAATGTGCACATTTGTCGCTACCCGTGCTGCATCCCGACTCCACATGCGAGGATATTACTTCCACTTATCCATGTAGCACGCCCAGCTTTAGTCGCATGACCTCGACCACATCCTACAGCGAACAGCATAACAACGTTAGCAATCAGTCCAACCACCAGCATCTAACTGGGGCACCAGTTAGACGCTTCGAGTCAAATATAGCGGATACCAACAATACCCCAATCTGGAGTCCACATAACGAAATAGCACCTGCTACCGCCAGCTCTGCTATGCCGCTGACCCCTACGCCGTTTATAGTGCCGCCCAGCAGCACTGCTCAGCTGCTTGTTGCCACAGGTTCCTCGCCGCCAGAGGCGGCTGTTGAGGCTACTCCGGAGACAACGCCATTGAAGGATTTGCGCGACTTTAAGCAACAACAAAAACAGCAGCAGGTGCCCAACTCACATACGGTACGCGCTATCTTTGCTAATAGTCAACCTTCCTCTCCCATGCGTAAGGATCACCAAAGCCAATTCCACTTTCCTGACTTAAGCAAGATTCAGCCGACGGCCGAACCTCCTCAGCTTTCAGATGCATTGCTCACGGGTGGTCCGAATACTGCAACGATGATAAACTCTGAGACCAAGGATCTAAATGTCAGTGTCTGTGGCGAATGCAGCGAAACAGATCGTAATCTTTGTAGCGATGGTGGCCTTCATATGCCTACCAACCGTAGCATTCATCAACTGGCCAAGGGCGTTAAGCGAAGAAATCGAATGGCAAGTTATTGCTGCAATGAGAGCAGCTTTACCAGCGGCTGGCCAAGTACGACGTCCACGAAGTGGACAACAATACCGAGACAAACGGAAAACGAAATGCGTCGTACTAAGTCGTGCTCAGCTTTGCCAGGTCTACAGCAACTGCACGATGATGACGATGAGGCCGATTGTCTGACTCTGCAACAAAATAATGGCAATGGGAATGGAGTGCATAATGACGTGCAAACACAAAAGACTGTGCTGGCTGGTACCCGACTGCAACGCAGCGGTCGAGTGCTGGCCATGGGAACATCCAAAATCGTGACCGGCAATGCGTACAAGACGAAGGAGGTGCAAACAGTGGAAGTGGTGCCGTTACACTATGAAGATTTACTCTTTGAATTGTTGCGTGAGTGCAAGGAGCAGCGCAATAAGTACGATAGAAGTCAATTGTATCCGCAGGACATACTCGATCAGTACATAATGCGCTCCATACACGCCAAGGAGAGCTGCGATCCGTCAAGCAATCTCGTTCCGCTGCAGGAGCAATGGCAGCTGATGTGCTTACAGTTGCTATACGAACGTTATCGTCGTAGCATTCATGCCGAGCGTAATCGTCGCTTGATGGGACGAAGCCGCGATAAGCGTAGCCTGGAAATGGAGCGAGATCGTTTGCAGGAACAACTGAAAAACTTTGATGTAAAGAACCAAGCTCTTGCTGCTAGAATTGACTTGGGCATTCGGCAATCTAATGAGCAGCTAAGCAGCTACATCCAACAGCTGGCCGACCTGAAGTCAAAATATCAATACGAGCTGGACCAAAATAAGTGTCTACGGCAGGCGAATGACGATTTGCAGACTCGTCTTAATGCCGAGATGTTGCAGCGCAAGGAGATGAACTACGAAGTGGAGTCGCTTCGCGGTAAAATCTTTACCATGACCACAGAATTGCAACATGCTCAACAGCAAGCGGATCTTGGACAACAGTACAAACAGGAGCTAGCGCGCCTGGAGGCAGAGTTTATTATCATGGGCGAGGTGCAGGTGCGTTGTCGGAATCGACTGGCTGAAATCGATAGCTATCGTTCACGCGATGAGGAGCTAAAATTGCTGCAAGAGAGTTTTAATGCTGAACTAAAAGGTGAGCTTTAGGTATATAGAAGGTACGCCAAACTGATCACAATTTTCTCAATAGATCTGAAGCATAACCTAGACGAAAAGACTTCTCTACTCGAAAGCACCAAGCACAAAATCAGCGAACAACTGGTTAAGTTGGATAACAACGATAAGGTTATTGTGGAGCAGAAGCGCTTGCTGCACACCGTCAAGGAAGAATATGAGGAAAAGTTTAAGGTAAGCATCTCAACTCATAACTCACGGTCAGTGCCATAATGCAATCTGTGCTCTTGCAGTCGGTAAACAAAAAATATGACATTCAAAAGAAGATCATCATACAAATGGAGGAAAAGCTCATGTTGTCACTGCAACATCCGCAGAGTGTTGTCGGACACACAACGTGCTCGCCAGATACTGACCGAACTGGTAAGCCTTTATATAGACCCGATGAATTTTATTTTGTTCACGAACTTATATTATGCCTCGATTCACAGATATTGCCTCATCCATGGAACGCAATTCACCGCTTTCGACGTCGCTGGCATCTAGTGAAAGTCTTTCGGCAAGTCTGCGGTCCACGGAGCTAAAAAATCTGCAACAGCTGCTTGATTCGCCTTCGATTCCCGAAGTATCAACCCTAAGGGTCGGCGGGACTGGCACGAGCTCAGGCACGGGCGTGCCATACGAAGACAATGCGCGCATGCCGGCAATTGACTTGGCCACATCAGCGGGCACTGCTAGTGCCATAAATATAATGCAAACGACAACGACGGCAGCACTGTCGCAAGAATTGGACATGCCAACGACATCTAATCACACACACACCCACCCACATTTACACTTGCAACAGCAACAAGGGCAGCAGCCGAAGCAGCAGCAGCCACCGCACAGTCAGCAGTAACAACTGCAGCAAACAATACGTTTGCAACAGAAAGTACACAAGGCTGTCAATTATATATATAAAAAAAACAACAGAAATGGTCGTCGGAAAAGGCAAGCTTCAACAACTACAAATTAAACATGTATCAAAAATAGCTGCAAATATCTCTTTTTTGTCTCCACTACCAAAAATAATGAATATCGGATTATGAAACGAATTGTTCAGGGTTTTCGCATTCAGTTTAAAAAACTGTAACTAAAGTTAAATAAAACGCAGACTCCGCGCAATAATTATAACGATTATAAACGTTTGAAATTTTAACTTGTTGGCACATTGCAATGTGTTTTGTCGTATAAAATTGTATAAAAACAGAATAAAACGAAAATAGGTTTTGATATGATGAAACATTAAATGAAAATAATTCTTGAGCATATTGATTTCACATTTGTTTGACTGTTGTCGGGCAACGAAGGTACACATACTTTACAAAACACTCAGATATTGTACACTTATTGTTTTGGCGCACAATTTGAAAATTTAAATTTATCTTCTATGCGATACTGCCAACATAAATATATTAAGCTTTGTACACAGCTGGCAGTGCTAAAATTTAAAAAATAGTTTTGGCGCAATAGTTTGTTATTGTTGGTATTGCCAACAGTGAAAGTGTAATCTGTGGATAAAGTTGGCAGCGCCAACAGCTGTTTTCTGAACTAAAGCTAGCAAGAAGAAGAACACTGTAACCATCAGTAGAAAACGCCTCAAAAACAAAACGTTATGTTGTCACAATATATGGAAGAATTTGAACAGGTGTGTACAGATTAATTGAATGTATTTAATGCATACCACAAAGATTACAATGCCATAATTTAGGAGCCCTTTGAAGTGGGTGAATTCATCGAACGTCTGACCTGGCGTACCAACAATGAGTTGCAAAATAGCGAAGACTTCAATCCGGTGGCATTGCACGACACATTCATACAGACTATTAAGGATCTGAAAATACTGCAGGAGAAGCAGCAAAGCAAATGCGAACGTTTGGAGGAGTCCCTGCGACAAGAGCAGGATTCACATGCCAAGAAAATATCGAAGCTACAAGAGCGGCACCAAACGGCCATCGATTGGTTTGGTCAGCTGGATGAAAAGATCAACTCGGTGGCTGGCAAGATAATGCATCTGGGGGAGCAGTTGGAAAATGTGAATACTCCGCGCAGTCGGTCAGTGGAGGCACAAAAGCTACTTAGCTACATGTCTGAATTTTTAATGGCCGGGCCCGTGATAGTAAATGATATATTTAGCGATCCGTTGCGCTTGAACGAAGCAGCCGATGTAATACAGAAGCTATACGCAATATCACAGGACTTACCGCCCGGGAATTTTGCCGAGTCGAAGCGTAAGATTGAAAAGAAATACGATGAAGTGGAACGTAGACTTATCGAAGAGTTTGCAACGGCACAAAAGAGCGAGGACATTGAGCGTATGAAGAACCTAGCTCAAATCCTCTCTCAATTCAAGGGTTACACACAGTGCGTCGATGCCTACATCGAGCAAAGCCAAATGCAGCCGTATAGTGGCAAGGATATATTTATAGGCATTGTGCCCATGTGCAAGCATCACTACGAGATCATCAAGAAGGTTTTTGCCAATCCGCAGCAGGTCATGTCGAAGTTCATACTAAATATTTATCAACTAAAACTTCATCAATATGCGATGACCAAGCTGGAGGACAAAAAGGACGAGGAAAAGTATCTACGCACACTCTATGAACTCTACTCACAGTTAGTTAATGGAACGTTTTGAGTTGTATTCGTTAAACCAAGTAAGAATTTATATTTGCAGCACTTTAAAACTGTCTAGTGACTTGCAAGTGTACATGTCTACCATCGATGATGATCTGCTCCAAAAACTTACACAACAAATCTTCATGAAAAACCTGGCCGGATATGCTGAAATTGAGCTGAGGTGCCTGACGGCCAAGTGCTCAACGGAACTGGAGAAATTTTATGCCAGCAAAAAGCACCAGAAGACGCAAACAACGAAAGGCTTTCGCCGCAACATGGAGGTGCTAATTGCCACGAGGGCCAACATAAATATAGCTGTCATTGAAGATTATGGCGGCGAGACTTTCCTGTCGGAGGAGCTGGCAATTAACATGCTGCAAGAGGCTAAGGCATCCCTTAAACGCTGCAGATTGTTGTCCAGCGAGGCAGAACTTCCTGGGAATGCCATCAAGTTAAATGATATATTGCTACGCTTTCTCATGCATGAGCATGTTGACTATGCGTTAGAGGTCGGGTTGCAGGCAGTGCCGCTAGCGGAGGGAAAAGTATTTCCACAGTTGTATTTCTTTGATGTGGTCCAAAAGACCAATATCATTGTGCATTTGCTGGACAAATTATGCAATACGTCGGTTATACCCTGCGTAAGGTAACTTCGCTAGTATATTAAAACATGCGGGAATTATAAATAGTATTTGCCTTTACAGTAACACACCAAAATACTCAGATTATGTATTCAAAAAGCGCATATTGATGGAACAAATTGAAACTAAGCTGGACCAGGGTCTGGATCGATCTATAAGCGCAGTAATTGGCTGGGTTAAAGTCTATCTACAATACGAGCAGAAAAAGACGGACTACAAACCCGAAACAGATGTCGATACTATCTCATCGGCTGTAAGAAGATTCTTTAAAATTATTTCCATTTTTGTATTTAATATCTGTGCTCGTCTACATAGGCTTGCCTTCAAGTGGTGCAGAGTCTGCAACCTGTTATCGTGCAAATAAAGAAGTGTGTGGATGGCGAAAATCTGCAAAATGTGCTGACAGAATTTGGAACACGCCTGCATCGCATCATCTACGATCATTTGCAAACGATGCAGTTCAATACGGCAGGCGCCATGTGCGCCATTTGCGATGTGAATGAGTATAGAAAATGTATACGTGAGCTGGACAGTCCATTGGTAACGCAGCTTTTTGATATACTACATGCTCTATGCAATTTGCTATTGGTCAAGCCCCAAAACCTGCAAGAGGTTTGCACAGGCGATACTCTGGTAGGTACATTGATATCTCTATATCGCATTATGTCTAATTTTCAACTTTTTTATTGAAACAGAATTATCTTGACAAGTCGGTGGTGCGTCAATTCATACAACTTCGTACCGATTTTCGTATCATCAAGAACACCAACTATTTAAAGGGGATCATCGAGTAGCAACGGCCAATCCATTGCCGAGTCACATACCCAAATGTATCCCGTTCAATTTATTTTGTTTGTATTACTTTATATAAACATAAACATATGATCAAAACAAACAATATATATAGTATATATTAAGTATTACTTGCTGGTACCTTTAACGGTTCACTTTTCAATTAAAGTCAAGTGCTTCATATTTTTATCTGTACAGATCTATCATTTTTCATTACCTGAGAGTTTCGTCATGTCCTAAATACTGTGGGAACGTCCCAATAGTCTATATTTATCACTTGGTATTTGCTGTAGTTGTGTGCTGAAGCTATCGTTCACAGCCAATAAATCAAAGTTGATTGCTTAAGTATACACAAATTATTTATTTTTGTTTGCATTTAATGTCGCTCCCCTAATTGCAGATAAAAAAAGCTACCGATTGCTACCAGTTGACGGTTAGTGTGGCTTCAACCTTTAACTCAGTCAACTGCTAGCCGTGTAGCCAAACGTATCACACTTGGGGTATAGAAAGCGTTGCTTGTCGCGTGTCTGATTAAAATACCGCAACATTATCGTGCGCCTTTGTTATTGTCTTAATCAATTTTCAAACGCAGTCAAACGGTGAGCCATATATTCTAATCACAACGATCTTGTACCACAATCGATTAAGCCATGCGCGGCTATTTTGTTTACTACTTGAAAATACTCTGGGCCTTTTGTGTTATTAACGAAACGATCGCCAGTGCCATAAAGATCACCAAAGACGATGCATATAAGAAGTTGCTATCATTACGTTCGCTGGCATTCGAAGATTGCGGTGAGTTCTTCGCCAATTTTAGCAGTATGGACCCGATCGAAAAGCCAGCTGATCGATGTCAGGGACTATACTATTTATAGAGTATCTTTATACGAAATATTTATATATTTATATTTATTGTGGACCTCTATGTTAACTTAAATGGTTCTTATTTAATTTCACTGAACGTATAAAATATACCTCATGAACACCTTGGCAATAACGGTACGAACTGTTAACAAAATGTTTTAAGCAGTCGGGTCAAGTGAGTATTGAATAGAAGTCAAGCTATATACATACGTGCAATAATATGTAAATATATATATGTATAAATAATCTATTTAACACTCTGCCAAGCCTCTCTTCAAAGTGATCCATCTGTATATATATTCGAGCATATCATATATCGTATATCTAACTCCACATATGGAAGAATAATACTATATTGGATTACTCATCGAATTCTGGTTTAATTCTGGTTTGATATATGCCGTCAATAAATAATCAGCTAATGAGATCTTTGATAGTAATTTCGCCTCGTTCGCCAATTTTCCGGTCACTAAATTAAGACCCTATCAACATATATATATATATATATATTTATACTGAAATACAAAAATTATGACATTAATCAGTGTCAAATTTTTTTATTGGAAAAGTTTCCCATTCACAATAGGAAAAAAACTAATCTGAGCCGGTTTAGTTCCTTTGTTTTTATTTATACTAATCAAAAATTCTGACTAAACTAATCAATTTGCTAAGGTAGACAAAGTGAAATAAATCAGTTGCAACGCATATTGTGGTATCATCGTTACATCATATTTTTATTTAGCCCTTGAATAATGACTAAGCTTATTATAAAAAACTTAATTGTATACATATATATATTTCGTAATCGTTCAATAAGTGACCGTAGTATATTGGTTTTCAGCCAGGTCCGCCTGACTGACAGCTACTCAATCCCAATACTAATCTCGTTAATGTGATAGGACTAAAATTTAAGATTGTTCGGTATATACATACATAATGGGGCCCTACCAAATCAGGTTCTATACAATTTGAACTAGATACACTTTATACTAAATATATTGTCAAGTAGTCCCCAGAAATCTGTATATTTTGCTGTTAGCAGAATGAACTAATATTATACATCTGTGCGGGCTGGGTGTGGAAAATCGAGGAAATTTAGGATCACGTTTCATCCGCTACAAATACGTATATAAAGTATCTGGTAATATTTTGAAATATTTTTTTCCCTATTTACTAAATTTATTTGTTTTTATACACTGAACGAGTATTATGCAGTATGTTGCCTTGGACTGCAACTTGCTTACCTGGCTATTTTATAGATTGCGAGCAGAGCCAGTCCATTAAGTCTCTGAGATAACTGGTATTAAAATACCTAAGTTTGTATATCATTGCAAAATATATATAAATATAATTTATGTATTGAAAATAGATAAAAATATAATAATTCTATTTATAATAATATTTAGATTTTTATTAAAAAAGAAAAAGTAACATTCCGCGAACCCACTGACTGGCAGAAGGAGGTGCTTATAGAGTATAAACCAACTTGTCGAATGACTCGTGTTCTTCTGTTCATCTCCCTTGCTTGAGTTTTGAAATCTTCCATCAAATATTTATTTTCCATGAAATCATATAAAATCAATATAAAATTTCAGTTTTTGATCCACAACTTTCAATGTTTGGCATATCCAAGTAATTTTTAAGAGTTACACAAAATACTGCAATTAGCACTTGAGATACATGTAAATAATGATTCGGGAGTCCAATTATATGTTCCATTAGCTGGAATATAGAGGCTTATAGTACTTACAATCAGAGTGACAGATCAATTAAAAATAGGGAACAGAAGGGATCGCTCAGCATGTCGCAGCAGACTCAATTTTTGTCAAGATTTTTATCAAATTATTATGTACAAAATGTTGACTTGATCTTTCATTATATGTATATAATCTTTCATTATATGTCTTTAATCTTAAATACACTTCTGTATTTCAGCTTTCGGCAATTAAGCCCATTCGCAGCATTCACGTACTTACTTGTAAATAGGTTTCATTCGCCACAAGCCAACATATATATATATAAAAATTTGAATGGAATGCATTTGATAATATTTGTAATCTGATGGTATTTCAGGCTCCCTGTATAATGTGAACTACCTGAACATTGAAAACTGCTCGAGGGTGCCCTGTTCTATGGCTCGCGATTCCACTGTTAAGGTTACGGTGCTCTTCGATGATAACGGTAAATATATGCTGATAACGGGGGATCATGCATTCAAATTCTTTAATGCGCTCTCGCTAAGCTCAAAATACGAGGGTGACGACGATACGTATCTATTATATAAATAGAATATATACATACATATAGCTAAGGGTCGGAAGAGTATACAATCGACTGTGAATGGGGGGTGAAATTAATCGTGTGAATTGCCGAACAAGAAGAAGACTGTCGTAGCCGGCGATAATGTGCCATAAAAAATAATTGGTCAAATAGGTGTGTAAATCAAAATAATACCCAGTAATTTTGCATTATACGACATCATTTATGACATATACGTAGTACTACTTGGACGTACGTAAGTGTGTGTGTTTGCAAAGATAAGTAATACCCTACTTATAGAGTATATACATACAAACAGACGCACTTGGCTACCATTTCTGAATGCAATTGGGGCTAGCGATATGATTGATTTTGAATATATAAATAGACCAAACGGACCTTAACTGTGTTTTGTGTTTTGATTATTCAGCACAAATATTATTTTTTATATCGCGAATTGCACACTGGCCCAATACAACCTCCAAGACATTGAAGTGCTCTAATTTCTATTGCGAGCTATAATTTAAAATCTGAAGTGCTAAGTCAATTTACATTTGCGTAAAGCAACGGGAGTAGCATTCTTTCATTTTAAATGTCACCTCTATTGAAAAGCTCAGTTAATTGGTAAACTATAATAAATTGATATCAGTAATCAGAACTAAAGATCTAACAATTATCTTATATTAATTCTGTTTAATTTAGTTGGAATCTAATCATGTTTCAATTGCAGGCAATGGTGTTTCATTTCTAAAACACGAGGTGCGTTGGGTCTTCACCTACCTCAAGAGCGAGGCGGCCATATCTCCAGATCCTTGCGATGGCGATCATAACTGCATATTGAATGTGAATGAAAGCAAAAGCTATTGGGCCAATATCTATGTGAATTCAACATTACCAGTGGTATGTTCGATTATATCGAATTATTATCGAAATTGAAGCTTAATGACTTTATTCCATCTTACTTTATTCCATCCCTTACAGATGAAGGGCAGTATGCTATGGGAGGCCAAAGATGAAAACAATAAAAATCTCATTTGCTTTGAGGTGCCCGTTGTGATTACAATGTAACAACATACACACACACACATACACACATACACACTCACACACATATATAGTGAAAAGCTGTGCGTATGTGTGTGTGCAATGCAGATGTATATACATATATATTTATGATACTTGTGTAAAATATAATAAAATAATTGGTGCATGCAAAGACAATAGCAATCATTAATGGGGCAACAAGAACAACAACACATACCCACACACACATTAACACTCACACAGAAATACACACACACATGCATCCTTTAATGATACTTTGCATGAATGAACACTGCAGGAAGAAGAAGGAGCAGAGCAAAGAAACATAAATAATGCGATCTTTTGTTTTCGGCACTGCGCTGCGCTGCTAGCGGCCGCACGAAGAAGCGACACAATTGGAGCATGAGCGCCAGCCGCCGTACACATTCGCGAGCGCCGTGAGCGCCGACAGCGGCGAACGAGCGGCAACGAACGCGTACGAGCTGCTGCTTAGCAGCCGAGCGCGCACGAAGCATGTTCGGCTGTTCAGCATCCAGACGCAATGCAATTGGCTGTTCGCTCAGTGTGTCAGTCAGTCTTTGCGGGTGCAACGCGACGGTCGCGCGAGTATAAGAAATTATATTAAGGAGCAGTTGCAGTCGTAGCAACAACAAACTCATAACCGAACAGTTTAAGTCGAAACTTCATTAGCTAATAGCGCACGAGCGACAGTCGATCGATCGCAGGGAAAAAGCCCTACGCACAGTGTTGTTCGGGGTGTTGCCAAATTGTTGGCGTTTTGGGTGGTGGTGTTGGAGCAAGTGCCAACTTCGGTGTTCAGTGCTCGTGGCTTGCGGTGGTTGCCAGCAGTATTTCGCTTATTGTGCGTCAAGTGTAAGTACGAAAACAAAAACAAAACACACTGCTCTGATGTGCTCTGCACTGCTCTGCTCTGCTCGTTTGCTTGCCATTTGCGCAATTTGGTCGGCGTAAAATGAGATTGCCTTCGTGCTAATTGCGGCAATCGGTGGGGGTAAGTGTAAGTGGGCCGGGGCAGCGGGTAGCTGGGGTAGCTGAAGATGGGGATGCCATGGTGACATGCAACGCCACATAGGCAATGGCCATGGCAGGCAACACTTACTTGTCAGCGCTCCATGTCCATCGGCTCTGCCCTGTTTGCCGTCCATGGCAAAGTCTACACCGCCATACCCTTTGCAACGGAAGTAATGAGGTACCCATTGTCGTATCCCATTGTATCCAATGCCTCGAACCTGAACTTTGTGAACAACTGCAAAATTAGAGACTAGAATTTGAAACCTCTTGTTTCAGCTATTCATCGCTCGCCTGTGCACATGCTCAGCTGAGTGTTAAAGACCCACAAATGGCAAATGGATCCCGCTGAGTTTCCAATGACAAATAAGCCATGTTGAAAAAGAAAATAAACAAAAAATGATACCCAATATTATTATTATAAATTGCTGTGCATAACTAAAACAAATATAAACGTTGTCAATTTTGAACTTTCGAAATAACAGAGAGAATTCTGAATCTGTATATTATACTCATATATCATTGCTAAAAGTTTGTTACTTAATAATATGACTTTATTTTAAATTAAAATAGTTTATTTGTTTTTTTTTTTAAATATGAAAAATGAGGAAATATTTGCTTTGAGCATATTTGACTGCATTCAATGTTTTAGTGTTTCATAAATTGAAATTTGTAATAAACATTTTATGTTTATTTTTTAGAATAGACCATTATTATTATTTTTAATAGCAGTGCACATAAAAAGCCATAAACTTCTGCCTTAAATGCAGCATAACTAAAAAGTTAGTTTCGAAGATTTCAATTCTTCAAGTAAAAAATATTTGAAAAAATCTTAGACTTGCTTGAAATAATAATGTATAATATTATTATTAATATTAAGATTATTATTCTTGTATTTAATTTATTATTTTTTTCATAAATACTTGATAGGGCTCTTTTTTAGGCTTAATTAAAATTGAATCTTATTCTAAGCTACATCCTTAAAATATTTTGTATTTAGTTGTAGAGTATCCGTTAGTCATGGTAAGCCCTAAATTGAATCCAACCTCCCCGCTTAGCAGTTTACTTTGCTCTTCTTGCGTTTACTTAAACGTAAACACTTTTTATGTGCTGCTGCCGCTGCACTTGAGCAGCAGCAGCAGCAGCAGCAACAATGCGCTGTTGTTGTTGCTGGTTGTTGGTCAAAGTGTTAAACGATTTGCATCATATTACACACTGTTGTTGATGCTTCGCTGGCTGGCCATTGTCGCCAGTGGCACTGGTCTCAGTCGCTGTTGCAGTTGCAGCCTCTGGCTCAGCTATTGTGCTAAGGTCTGAAGAGCGCAGAGCCTGAGACTGGAGCCATATAACAAAAGCCACAACAGAGCCAACTACCACCGGCGATTTATCATAGCAGCAGCAGCAGCAGCAACGTCAACGAAATCGATCCGGATCTTTTAGATCGCTGCAATATACACATACGCACATCTGCGTGTGTGTGTGTGCTCTGATATGTGCATGTGTGTGTGTGTGCAGCATAAAAAGATAATTTTGAGCTTTTGAATCGTTAAAAGCAATTAATTGCCACTACGCAGCAGCGGACCAGACAGCCAGTCAGCCAGTCAGCCAACCAGCCAGCCAGGCAGCCATCCTGGCTGGGAACATCGACTAGCCTCATCAGTGCAGTTCATTCCATATGACAGAGCTGCTTTTGCTCGCTTTACTGCCCAATTTTGTTGCAAAATTTTGCGTTCCGCGGAACTTGGTGCATTTCATCTTGTTGTCATCAGCAATGTGGTTGTTGCTTTTTGTTTTTGGTGCCGCCGATCGTCGCACATTCATTTGTCGCTTAATGTCCCTCAATAGCGGCTGCGTTCTCGCCCCGCCCTTCTCCCCCGTCCTTCCCTCGCCTACTCTTCCTTCTCCCATAGTTTGTTGCTGTTCGCATTCCCCGCATCCCTCCACCTGCCACTTACGTTGCTCCCAGAGTGTCTGTATCTGTATCGTCTTGGCATGTGCGGCATCTGCTGGCTGGCTGGTCGGTCGGTCGGTCGGTCGGTTGACTGGGCTTCTGTGATGAGATCTCCGCCCGGCTATATGGTGGCTGCTGCGTGTGTGTGTGTGTCTGCCTGCGAATCTGGTGACATCCACTTGCATGCGCACATTCATCGTAGCCGCAGTTTTCAAGATTTTATTTTGCTTTGCTGCACATTCACACGCAACAGCACACACACACGCACGCACACGAAGATGGGGCACCATAAAACATTAGTTTCCCATTTGCGTGCTAAATACCCTATGTGGATCGCAAGCTACATGCCAATTGAAAAAGGTTGGCTAAGCTGCCAATTCCGAGCAATTGCCAGATCGCTAAGGAATGCCGTTTAGACTGACCAATGATCTCTCAACTACCAGGAATGACAGCTTTTAGTTGTAATGTAATTAATATCTCTAGACGTCACTGGCCAGTTGTTTCCTTATATGAACACGTATGCCTATGATATCTCATTGTGAGTATATTAGCCAAAAATAAAAGATAAGCCCAATATGCCTTAAATTCTTATTGTTTATATTATTGTTTAATGGAATATGAATAGTAGATTTTCTATTTTGTAATAAGTATTGCAGTTGATGTTTCACAATTTAAATCTTCAGAAATTCGAATCGTTGATCAAATCGTTATCCTTTTTAGTCTTTGTAATATTTTTCGAATTCTTAAAACTTTTTTTTAATTTTTTAATGAAAAAAATAATTTCATCACTTGCAATTTTTGACTGAGAAAATGAAGACATTTAGCTTGAATAATACGAAAAAAATATAAGATTTCAAAGTACGGACGAAGTAGACATATATTTAAAATATCCTTTTGTTATTTTTAATAATTAAAGTGCAGGTTAAATAGCAACAAAGCAATTTAGCTGTCTCCAAGCTTCTTAGATGCCGCTATCCCTTTAGGCTGAGTTAACACAAAATTTACGCATAAACTGATGCATATAAAAATTTGCTTGTATTTACTAGGGTATCATTGCAGTCAGTAGGGAGAAAATGTTGAAAAAATCTCGCAGTTTGTCTATCTGTCCGTTGCGTTCATGGCACGCACCGTGATGCGCGCTTTGAAGTCCTGTCAAGAGCTTGAGATACATTTATGTATTTTTGCATTTTCATTGCTTCCACCTTGGAGTTGGGACGATGGCTAGCGGGGCTCAAATGCAAAGAATGATTAGTTAGTTGGTCAGGCAAAATGGAATAAACCGGTTCGACCGATCCTTCAGCATAATCAACACACATAAATGCTGTTAATTATGAATGCACGGAATGCGTTAAGTTTAAGCGAGAAATATGAAAGGAGAGAGAGAGAGAGAGAGTGAGAGAGAGAGAGAGAGAGAAGGAGATATGCTCATGTGGCAAACATTTATTGTAGATTGGCATCAAGTGCTCAAGCCACCCTAAAGATCAAGATGCTGATCATGTTGGCGCTGGCGCTGGCACTGCTGGGCAGCCGTGCCGCGAATGCAACCATATCCATGTATCAACGCCAGCATCGCGACAGCACCGACATCAAGGAGAAGATCATCGAGCTGCAGTGTCTGGCCCGCTGCGAAAATAGCACTAAAACGCAGCGATGTCTCGATCAGTGCAAATTGGAGCTGTTGCGTGCACCGCGAGCTGGCAGCTGCCCCAGCAGCACGCTGCTCGCCCGGCAGGCGCGCCTCTTGTGTTTGGATAATTGTGCCTACGACAACGACTGCATCGAGGTACACAAGTGTTGTGTATCCGCGTGCGGCCCCATCTGCGCCGAGCCAGTGGGCGTGCGCAATGCCAGCCAGCTGCCACCCATACCGAAGATCTTGCGCTACAAGCTACCACGCAGCCACAAGGTGGAGCTGACCATTGAGTCGTCGCTGCTGCCGTATTACTTCCATGTGGAGGTTCGTTCGCACATTGGACGCATCTTTACGCCACGCAAGATGGGCATGTGGCAGTCGCAGCAGGTCGAAAAGATACTGGAGACAACAGACGGACGCAACAAATTGTAGGTACTCATTCCACGATCATATCGAAGCCGCATAAACACATCAACAATCTCCCTAGCATGGATATATTCTTCAATATCCGACCCGGTCGCTGGTATCAGGTGCGTGTGGCAGCAGTGAATGCATTCGGATTCCGCGGCTACTCACAGCCCTCGCATGCCTTCACCCTGCCCAGTAGTAAGTTCTGTGGGCATTCGCTATGTAACTAGCCTAAGGGATTACCATTTCAGATCCTAAGCCACCGAAGGCGCCCAACGCTATGAAGATCACCTCCCAGCAGTACGATGGACGACGCTATATGAGCGCCAAGCTCGTTTGGTGTCCTTCCAAGTCGAATCTACCCGTGGAAAAGTATAAAATTATCTGGTCCCTATACGTAAGCAGCAAGGAGGGCTCCCTCATAACATACGAAGCCTATGTCAAGGACGTAAGTCTCTTGCTTAGATTGCGACTAAATCATGTATATAGCTGAGGTATATATTTATTTTTATTGACTTGCAGACGCATCAGTTCGAGATTAAGAAACTGCAGCCCAACTCCTCCTACTATATACAAGTGCAGGCGATGTCCATAAGCGGATCGCAGCGTCTGAAATCTGAGAAGAAGTCGTTGTTGTACAACACAACGTTGCCGATACACGAGCTGGAGTATGCGGCACCACTTGACTGCAGCACACACCACAGCAGACACAAGTACCATCCCAGCCATGGGAACAGCCACAGTCATAGCCCCGCAGTGGAGACCAGCTCCACGCCAGCGATAAACATTAATGAAGGCAGCACCTCCTATGAAGTACGTTTCCGTTTGAACCGGAAATTTGGCATGATTGTGCAAATTTTGGGATTTCAGCCATACAAGGAAAAGTAAGTGTCGGAGACCCCCCTTTGACTCCATCGCTTATTTGCGCCGTGTTGTACATATGTTATTCATGTTATTTCGATTGTTTATAAACAATTTTGTGAAATATGTATATTATTTAATTTCAGGGTATACGAGCTGTGCCCCCAAGAAACGAACTGTGAACAGCGAGAGTTCAGCGCGATCCGCGTCAAAGTAAGTACAATGCGGGCAGGGGCGGAGTCTATGCCACGAGCTAGGTTCGTGCCTCAATAATCATTTCAAAACACACACACAAATCATTTGTCATTTTTGGTCAATTGGGTTTCGGTTGCGGCTGAGGTTGAGGTTTAAGTTTCATTTATTCCCGTTTAACACGGGAAACACGTTTTCGAACAGGGCGCCACGTACGTGGTTCAATTGCTGTACCAAGCCAATTAGAATGTGTCAATGAAACATTAGAAAGCGCAGTACCAAGAAATTTTCGTATTGGAAATTTTGCAAGATTTTTACATTTTCTAAATAACATGTTTCGAGAAAGTAAATTTAATAATATAAATGTGAATATATATATATATATATATATATATAAATATTATTTACATATATATATATATATATATATATATATAAATATTATTTACATATATATATATATATATATATATATATGTAAATAATATTTTTCGCACAAGTACAGTACACATCCATTCAGCATTAACTAAATACTAATCAAAACTTGAAGCCAGAACCTGTTTTTTTTTTGGCACTTAGAAACTTCAGCTCAGTCAATCTACAGTCTGTATAGACCGCAATCTGATAAGTAGTCTAGAGCATGCTTCAATGTTTGCTCTTTAAAACATTCAATGTGATTTTTTTCCAACGATTCATGATCGTTCTTTTTGCAACTATAGAGTATGGACGTCACTTAACTTGCAGACAAAGAATTATTTTAAATTTAAATTTTTTGCCTCTTTGCAGAAGGATTCACAGGAGTTTAGCAAACTGAAATTCAATACAACGTACGTGCTGAAAGCATTGCGACCCAGTCCAAATTCCGTGCTGGAAGACAATGGGCATCCATTTACGTTCACAACGCCCAAGTGTGAAAGCTTTCGTAGTCGTTTTCCCAAAATGCAAATCAAATGCGGCGAGTAAGTGCACCTTGTGCATGTGACGTGTTGCAGAACATGAGATTAAACTAGCTTGTAAATAATTGTATGTACCGACTTAAATTTTTACTTATGATTAGCTCTAAGTATGCAAAATAACATTGAATGTTTTACGTGGAGGGGTCATATTTATTTAAAAAGATCTTTGAACTCTTGTAAATCTCGCTGATGTTGGTTCATTGCCTGCAAGCTGGGCCCTAGTTGCAGAGCACCGGGCAATTTATTGGCTTCCAGCTTGATGCCCAGCTCAATGAGTGCCGCTATAAGCCGTGTGGTGTACAGCACAGGGCCGCCAACCAGATGTAAGAAGTCGTAGTGCTTGTCCCGGCGCGTGTTGAAGAGAATCCGCTTGGATACATAATCTCCATAGTTGCTGATTCGTCCGACGCAAACGTAACGCTTAAGCGATGGCGCATACACCTCTATGCTGGCCCTCAAACTCTCGGAAGGCGTTAGGCTAGCTGCTGCAACGTACACAATGCGAAAGGGGACATCGAGTGCTTTGTAAAAATTAATGGCCAGATTCAGCACCTGTTCCAGTTCTGCGTCAGCCTGTTCAGCCGTTTGGGTTGCCACAAAGCTTTGCACCGCATTTGTTTGTGTGGCTGTGTACAGACTTGGCGTAGGTCCATTGACCAGACCGTCCTCGCGGTTATAGCTGCGGCCACAGGCGACATACCGCAGTGGCAGTACTGAGGGATATACGCTCAGCTTGGTAATGGTGCCGAGGAAACTTTCGAATGCACCACCGCCTGTTAGATAAGCAGTATTCAGTTTGTTCAACAAATGTTCCTCGCGCACCAGATGGTATTGAGTCAACGGCGTCGCATTGGCCTCCAGCAGCACACAGCGCACAAAGTCCGGATTGCAGGTCTGGACGAAGTCGCCATTCGTTACGAAGTAGCGTGCCATTGCCTGCATGGCATCGACATCAAAATGAGCCGCCTGTTCCATCATGTAGTAACGATTGTTGTCTATAAAATGCACAAGATCCTTGTGATCTAAGTGGTTTGCCACCAGTGCCGCGTTCGGCGGTGGCTTATGCCTATAAATGAGCTTTTCCACATCCGTTTGTGGACAATGCGCATGCAACACATTGGGTAGATGCAAAAAGTCATGGATAAAATCATCTTCGATCGGATATAGTTTTTGCTTTAACGATTTCACATCGTTGCGCAACTGTTTGCCACGCGCCCGTAATTTATCCAGCAACTCCGTTGAGTCGCCTGATTTCGTAAGCGATTTGAGCTCTTTGGTTACTACTTCACGTTCTTCCTCCAATCGTTGTAAGTGTTTTTGTTGTGTTTGATATGCTGCATATTTGGTGAGCACTGTTTCCAGATTGATGTTCAAACCACGGCTAGCGATGCTCTGCTGCAAAGCCACTTTGTCGCGGAATGTGCCGGCAAAATCCAGAAATGGTTGCAAGGTTACATAGTTTTCGTTTGCCTTGTCACCGGTTATGTAAAGTGCTGAAATATGTCGCCTCAGAATGAAGCATTGTCCCACAATATTGCGAAGTCTTAACATAAGTAGTTTCTTTTTGTTGTTAATGAAGAAAAACAAGCTTATATATCCCGCTCAGCTGTTATCTTAGCTCCTCAGTCCCGCGCATCAGCTGTTCTTCTATAGCCATAGCCAGTAGTCTGTTAAGCCGATAGTGCTGTTAAACGTCAAAAATATGTTATACCATCAGTAAATTTGTATCGTGGCGCGATCTAGCGGATATTTTTGTAAGCACAACATTTAAAATTGTACATACTAAAATATAAGATTCATATATGTATACATAAAACCACATAATAATACAAGTTAAAGCCATGAAAATAAAATATGAATGAATATAAAAACACAACATTTAATAAACACTTTTCGTAAGTAATAACGTAAAATACAAAACAAGAACTTTCAAATATGCATATGAATCACATATTAGTACATAAAGTAATTAACGGACAAGTTTTCTGCTAGATTTTGAGACGCATTAAAACTACGCATGTTTTTGGCTAATACTTTGCAGTCCGTGCGTTATCATGTTTCATTTAATACTTTCCAAAACTGCTGCAAATGATGCAGGAGGTTTAAAATTGACGACTTCCTTGTAAACAAGTTCTTTCCACTTTTCCAATGAAAAATCCTTTTCTTCAAAGCTTTGATCGTACAAAGGAGATGTTTGTTCATCACTTGGTTCTGCATATTTTTGTAAATATGGATGAGCAAGCGCTTCCTCGGCTGTTATACGTTTATCCGCATCCAGTTCCAGCATCTTCTCTAGCAAATCAATAGCCAGAGGATTGGCATTCTTAAAAACAACTTTAAAGTCCTTTCGTTTCGTTGGCGGCAGCGAGTTGATATAATTTCGTGCGTTGTCAGAGGAGATCTTCTGCATGAAATCATCGGGCGGTGTGCCCAACATTTCCATGATCAAATTGAGCTGATGTATGTGATCAGTGCCTGGGAAAAGTGTGCGTCGCGTGATCAGCTCTGCCATGATACAGCCCACTGACCAAATATCGACAGTCTGACTGTAATGCATCCAGTTGAGCATAATTTCAGGAGCACGATACCAACGCGTGGCCACGTAGCCCGTCATCTCGAACTCAGTTGGTCTTGCCAGCCCGAAATCCAGGATACGCAACTCGCAGTCCTCGTTAACCGCAATGTTGCACGGCTTTAGATCCCGATGAATAACGCCAGCGCTGTGTATGTACTTCAGGCCGCGTAGTATTTGGTATACCAAGAACTGAACATGATCATCAGATAGATTCTGCATCTTTATAATGTTGTTCAGATCCGCACCCATCAAATGAGTTACCAGATATACGTGCTGAAAGTCTTCTAAAGTTGCGTCCGGTGGATGCGGATGAAAAATGTCCAACAAACCGATAACATTTTCGTGATCCATATGCTTCAATAGCATTAATTCTCGATATGCTCGCTTGGCGTGCACCGTTGATTGGAAGGGACGTGATAACTTTTTAATGGCGACATCTGTGTTGGTACCACGGATTCTGGCCTTGCACACTTGTCCATATGCACCAGAGCCCACTGGATGCAATTCCTGATATATTTCTGGAACTTCCCATTCCGTACGATTTATGTCCAATTTGTAAAATTTTTTTGTTTTACTAGCACTCATTTTAACAATGGTTGTAAAGAAATATTTGTTGAATTCACAGCTCCCAATACGAATATCAACTGATTAGTGTTATCTTGGCTCTACAGTCAGAACTTGAGAAATATCAGTTCTAACAGAAAGCTTCCAAACACTGAATGCATGTTGTTACCAATTTATGGGCGGTGGTACACTCATCAGAACATATTCGAAATCAGGGCGAATTCGCAATGCTCTACGGCTGGCCATCGAATGATATATGTGGCGTAAACAAACTTTCTAGGAGTTTGTACTACAAATTATCTTAGTGATTCTCATCATATTTCATTAAAATATATTTTTACTTCATATAAAGTCAGTACACTACAACTGAATACCAAAAAAGCGGCCAACATGTTCGTTGTTGCCTCGCTCATATTCAATTCCACAAAACAATAGCAATTAAAGCAATCGATATATCGATAAATTTGTTTTAGCGTTGCCAAAGCACATCAAACTTAAGCAGCTGATTCAAGTGTAAACATGCTTAAAATATTACATGAAGCGGCTCTCACCTCGCTCTTTCTCTCAACTATTACATTTGAAAAGTGGGTTTGTCCATAGAATAAATATCTATGTAGGTCTATATATACTTTAAATGCAAAATAAGAACGAAGGTACCTCAAGCGCCTGCGCGTATTACCTTAAACTTATCAAAAGCAAAAATCTAATCTCGGCGTAAAAGCTAAATTATTAGAACTGTGCTTTTTGCGTCAAGAACAGTTGGTTATTGAAGCCGCACTAGGACAGAGTGTGCCAATTCTCTCTTCAAGTTGTAATTAGAAAAATCTGTTAAGTAAGTAGACAAATATAATTTTTTTTTATATTTGCATATTTCAAATGCTAACAATTAAAAACAATTGGCGTTAGTGAAAGCAAAACTGTTCAAAATCGGATGCCATTAAAAACACTTCTCAGGGGGCAACCGTTGACCTTTGGAGCGGCTTTTAATCTCAAATATTCATGCAGAGTGCTTACCGTAGATAGCAAAGTTTACAAATCTATAAACTCAGGCAGAATATTTTTTAGTAACTTTCAATCCTCGATAAGATTAAGCAAGTTCAAAGTTTATTATCATAATGAAAAAATACCAGAAAATTTAAGCAAATTTATTCAAGGGGTTGCGTCTATTAAGGAATCCACCCTTGAGTACACTTTACGTAAATACTAATCGAGCATGTTTATTTGCAGCTCACAATGACTTCAACATTGTTGCCCGGTAATGTAGTTTATGGCGGCCCGATACATGTGCAGGATGCGCAGAATTATCACTCTTTGGGACAGTTGATAATGGATAAATACAAAAGCTTTGGCGACCAAACGGTTATAATTGATGCCGTCAGTGGCACTGAATATAGCGCAAAGTTTATGTACGATTCGATTGTAAGATTGGCCCAAATCCTCCAGAAACTCGGCATAAAGCACAACGATGTCATTGGGCTGTCCAGTGAAAATAGCGTGAGCTTTGCCGTAGCCATGTTTGCAGGATTCGCTGTGGGTGCAACTGTGGCGCCTCTAAATGTCACCTACTCCGATCGTGAGGTAGATCATGCCATCAATTTATCGCATCCAAAAATCATATTCGCCTCAAAGATCACCGTTGACCGCATTGCCAAAGTGGCCAAACAGAATAAGTTTGTCAAAGCTGTTATTGCGCTGAGCGGAACCTCCACGAATCATCCAAAAGTATATTCCTTCATGGAGTTAATGAACAATGACAAGTATAAAACAAAACCAGATTTTACCTCACCTTTGGCAAACAAAACCGAGGATGTGGCCCTAATTGTGTGCTCCTCGGGCACCACTGGTCTGCCTAAGGGCGTTCAGTTGACACAGTTCAATTTATTGGCCACGATCGATTCGCAAATGTATGTTCATTGATTTTTTAAACTAATTTTTCATTTAAACGGTAAATTATTGATTTTATTGCCTTCATCTACAGCCAGCCAACTATGATACCATTCAACGAGATCACGCTACTTACTGTCATTCCGTGGTTCCATGCTTTTGGCTGCCTGACGCTGGTCACAACGGCAACCATGGGCACGCGACTAGTATATTTGCCCAAATTCGAAGAGAACCTGTTTCTCTCCGCCATTGAGGTAGCTAAACGACTGCTCATATTTAATGGAGACAAACTATGATTCCACTTTAATTTTACAGAAATACCGTGTCATGATGGCCTTTATGGTGCCCCCACTTATGGTCTTCTTGGCGAAGCATCCCATTGTAGATAAATATGATCTGTCTTCGTTAATGGTTTTACTCTGCGGTGCTGCACCCCTCAGTCGTGAAACAGAAGATCAGATCAAGGAGCGAATTGGTGTACCATTCATTCGCCAGGGTTACGGTCTTAGCGAATCGACTCTGAGCGTTCTAGTGCAAACCGATGATTTCTGCAAGCCAGGTAGCGTTGGCGTACTAAAGGTTGGCATCTATGCCAAGGTCGTTGATCCGGACACTGGCAAAATTCTGGGACCGAACGAGCGTGGCGAGCTTTGCTTTAAGGGCGATGGCATTATGAAGGGTTACATTGGCGACAGGAAGTCCACAGAGACCGCCATTCAGGACGGCTGGTTACACACTGGTGATATTGGCTATTATGACGATTCTCTTGAGTTCTTTATTGTGGATCGTATAAAGGAACTCATCAAATATAAGGGCTTCCAGGTGCCACCGGCAGAAATAGAAGCACTGCTGCTAACCAATGAGAAGATTAAGGATGCTGCCGTTATTGGCAAACCGGATGAAGCGGCTGGCGAACTACCAATGGCATTTGTGGTTAAACAGTCGAATATCCAACTCACCGAGGAAGATGTGATCAATTTTGTGAATGAACGTGCCTCGCCCGCTAAACGTCTGCGCGGTGGCGTAGTTTTTGTGGACGAGATACCCAAAAATCCCAGTGGCAAAATATTACGTCGCATCCTGCGCGATATGCTTAAGAAACAAAAATCCAAATTGTAGGCCTCTCGATCCGTGTAATTACGTTAAGCGAACATCGTAAGTGAGGCTAAGGAAATAATTTTGTACTTTGAAAGAATTTACCATAAGTTCGCTTTACTAATTCTAAACTTTGTAATTGTCGCTTCATTTCGTTATATAAAAATACCAAATTGTTGGATTGTGTTTTTAAATATATATATATGTATACATATTTATATTTATACTTCTCTGTATTTGGCTTTTTTAAAGTTTTGTATTTTATTTAAATCTAAATAAAAACTATTCCATACATACACACATATTCGGAATCGTGTTACTACCTACTAATTAGTCGGTAATATACACACATTGATCGCTTTGTTATAATATCATCATGCAATTATTGAAATTCAACTATATAGCCACGCGTTAATTACATTTGAAGTCTGTCTGAGCTATCAATAACAAGTTACTTATATAAACAACTACATACATATATACTATATCATCATAATATATGTAAGCACGATCAACTCTTATAACAAACATTCGTATAATTTTCTTTTTGGTTTTCAATTGGTTTCATATTGTTTCGGTTTCCGTCTCCATAAACGTATATAAACGTATTTTCCATTATATATGTATATGTATGTGTATATATTTTTTAAATATTTAACTACATGTTCTGACTTGTAAATAGTTTTCCTAATTAACAATCTGAGAAAGAGTTTTTTGTTGAATTAATTTGTCTGTTTTTCCTATCTCTTTCACTGGTTTTTGAGGCGCAGATTTATATTGTGTTTGGTAAATATATAGAGCTATATATGTTTGTCTGAGTTCTCTAGCATTAGTTCACTAATTATTGTGTATGAAACCTTAAATGTAAGAGAAATGCCTTGGTTTCTATAACGGAAATATCGTAAGTATCGTATTTTGTGTAAAATGTCTAACGCTTCTCTGTGCCACGTTTCTAACGTAGCTTTGTTTGTTGCAATGTTAATCGACTTGGTGCTTGACTTACAACTAAACCTAGTTCGAGAAATTAGTTAAATAAATTCAGTTGTTCATTTCGTTAGTTAGTACTTAAATATATCAAAGAAATGGTGCTGTTTAAAATTAGCTATAACTGCTTCTCTTCTTTCTCCCTCGTTTTGGCACAATTTTGACATCGAATTTGTGAGACTGATTGTCAGTTGTGAGCAAAATTATTATATTATTTGAGTCAGTGTGTGTATGTGTGAGAGTGAGTGGATTTGAGTGTATGTAAATATTGCTAAAATTGTTTTTTGTGGTCCCTGGGACCAAGTCAAGAGACCTAAAAAGTACATGCGGATTGTTTGGAAATAAATATATTTCTTAAAAACTTGAGTTCCTAACTGACCGGACCCTCTGATCATGCCAAAGACTGTATCATCACACAATGATTTCCATGCGATTTGCCTTGCGCGTGACTTTCGGCGGCCCTTGTGCCAAATCGGATAAGCCGCCATATTTGAATGAGAAGATGACCGTTTGTTGGCCAAAATTTGCTTCGAATCTGTAATGAAATAAAATAATTGTCAAATTAAACGTATAATACATCTATTATATACTTACTCTGTACTTATGTGTATCTCTGGGGGCTTGCCAGTCGCATTTTGTATCACTAGAAACATCTTGGTAACAATTTCGATGACATGGCCCGTTTGGAACACAAAATCACCTTTCTTCCGGCCAAACTCCGACTGTATAGCAAAGAAAATTCATTAGCCTAATTAAAAATTGAATCTCATTTAAATCTACCGCTTTCACATGAAATACAGCAATATCATCTAGATAGGGGCTTAGAGACATGCGATAAATCTCCGAAGCAGGCACTCTGTACTTAATTTGCAGCGTACGCTGGTCGAGCAAGAGCAGTGATGACGTGGACAGCACCAGCAAGATTGGCACAAACTGAAAACGGATATACAATTATTTTTATCTATAAGTATATATTATTTATACATTAGAAGGGATAAGTATAAATAATAAATAATAATATAATAAAGGAGATTATAGTTTACAAACATACTTTGCCGCTGGAACGCGCTATCTTGTTTATGATATCGGCAAAGACAACATACTGATCATTCGTTTCGGCACATATCTTTTTCCACTGTTGATTGTGTCGCAATCGCACATAATCGCCCACAAACGGATGACCCACGCTGAAAGCCAAAGAATGATTAACAATAGCTTTATAATCGTTTAGTGAACACTAAAAGGCATACCTGCGAGCATAGGAAGCCTTGCGATCCTTAAATATAATGCTGGCAGTAACTTTTTCTCTCATGCGATTGCGTGCCGTTTGATCGAACGAATTGCGATATATGTAACATTTCCAACGATGATAAATCGCTCGCAGCAGACGGGATGCATCCGATAAAAAGCCGGGAGCCGTTGGCCATTCGGACGAGAGTGGACTCAATGTATTTGGTGGCAGGCGCAACGGAATGGTGAGCAAATACTGTCGTATCTTCCACTGGTGATAATACCGAGCAATGACGTCGACGGCCCATTTAACTTGGCGCTTGTACTTCAAAGTGCGATACTCCTCACGTGCCTGCCAGAATCAATCAACAGGCCATAAGTATTCATATAGCATTAATATTTTACTAGGTTAATGGGTATGAGAGTGGGAATAATAACATGCAATGCTTACAACACGATATAAACTCCACAAATGCCTACGGCCCGTGAAGGGAATGCCGAAACGGCACTCCTATATAAATATAGAAATAATAAAAATTAATATAAATATGTACAAAAATTATAATAGTTTGGCATGCAAATAACGCAGTGCAGCCACTACTTACACGCCACGTGCGCCAGGCACTCGAGATGACCATTTGGCTGTGTCGCATGCGCCTATATATCTTTCTGGCATGATACATACGAAACATCTTCTGTATAAGTACGGCCAGCTCGGAAATCCTTAGCCGACGAAACTGTTCCAGCTCGTAGACAGTGCGCGGACTACGCACGAACACATTTTTGGTGCCGAGCGTAAACTCGGCCGAGGGTAAAGGCAGATTTCTTATAATAAGAGCAATACCCTCTACTTGGCTGCCACCGTGAAAGTGCGGCCAAGTCAAACTATTGAGCAGTTTATAGCGTTGAAAGAACTTGACATGCGGCAAATGGTAGCAGTGTCCTGTGCGGCACAAATGCACGAGCGGCATGAGCGACATATAGCGCACTTGATGCTGTACTAAGGCCATATCAAAGTGATTTGACTGCTTGCACTCGTTGGGCTTAATGCAAAAGACATAATGAGCACGACGATGCTTCACAATGGCCAACAATGTTTGGAGCTGAGTGCGTATATTGGTGCTAAGCGTTGTTGGCTTTTTGCTAGCCTGTCGCCGAGGATTGCCTTCCGGGAAAAGACTTTGCACTAACGCCAATTGACTCTGATAAAAGCCAGCGCTTATATACTTGGGCAGCATGTCTGAATTCTTCTCCAGAAAACGATGAATGGAATAGTTAACAACATTGGCAAAGTGACGAATTCTGTGAATAAAGCAAATATATATTTTTTAATTAGGCTCTATCATTTCATAAACGGACTCACTGAAAGCACATTGAATTGCTGCCGCTCGTCATAAAATTTGGATGGCCTGCACAGCATTGCTGTATACGCAGCAGGAGCGCCTCGTTGTTATTTAGATGTGATTCGTTGATTAGACTAAGGATACCATAGCTAGGCTTATCAATTAGCTCACATATGGACTCGTTGTCAAAGTAATCGATGCGTGACCATTCCAAGCCCTCGCGTAAATACAGCTCCTGCTCTGAGCGCAGCACATTAAAAACAAAGTTCTAATTGAGATGAACAAAAAGTAAGTCAGAATATCTTAATCTTGTGTGACTATGTGTCTTGCCTGATGTATTTTCTCGGCACTGTAGTTAATAGCGAATTGCTCAAAAGAATTATGATCCAACACCTCAAAACCATAAAAATCCAACAGAGCGAGATTCTTTTCTCGCTGCGTAGACTTCATCGTTTCATTAATCTTATTTACCAGCCAAGTAAATAGACGACTGTAGAGCGTCCGACAGAGTGTGTTGCGATTGCTGGTTGCCTGTCTAGCGTCCATTTCACAGCCCACATCCTCTTGTGTACTACTCGTGCTATTCGCTCTCGTCAGACAATTGATTAATATTTGAGCTTCCAAATTTAGCAGCTGCGCCGTCTCTTGAACTTCTACAAAGGACAAGGGTATTATATGAAAGATTTTGTTTCTATCATTGAAAGCAAACGTACCATAGACATTTGAAACCTGACAGCCTTCAGTTCCATCAATGTTGGTTACTGGCACAAAAATAAAGTTGCCCAACTTTAAGACGACCGCAATAACCCGAAAAATTGAGTTAATTTCATCACAGCTCAAACCAAGAACATCGAGAGAGCGCTGTAAAAGACAATTCGGTTGTTATTAGCCTGCTCTTATAAATATATATGACTTTTAACTGACCTTAGTGTAGTGAAAATTGGCACGGTCCTCTTCCATGGCACTAGTATTACGAAGCAGCTCATATTTTTCCACATTGCGAAAGAGCTTTAGAGATTCTTAAAGACAAACAATTATTAACTAATTCACAAATTAAGGTGTGTACTATAGACACAACTCACTTAGCAATTGGAGATCAGCACCTAACAGCAATTGATAGAAAATGTGAAAATTGCGCTCGCCAATCATAGTATCCGTGATGCGTGTCTGTGTAAAGAAAATGAGTCAATTATTAATAGAGAGTCAATAGATTACTAATAATTGATATATGAAGCAATTCAAACCTTTTCCAGCATATCTTTTTTGAGTTCGGCATGGAAACAATTGCATAAAATTATATAGTTAATGTAAAATCTATAGTTAATCCAATTTACTACAATAATATTAAGAAAAGTCTACCCATAGTTACTTACAGTGTGTTATGTGCACGCCCATGGGATCACCCTTGAAGTCGATTTCAATGTCAAATAGTTTACCCTGAAAGCATGCAATAGCTAGATAAAATAATCAACCATAAACTAGGGAACATAAGCAACCCACATATCTGCTAGAGTTGTTATTCTTTAATGTGCAGGCATTGCCCATGGCCTCAAGGAAGACATCTGCGCAGGTGACGCATTCGCGCAGCCGCTGGTTAGGTGACTTGTGGCGTCGATGCAGCGAGGAGCTAGCCGAGGGCGTGGGCGAGACAGTGGTACTGCCGAGAACTTTACTTAGCTTGTGAGCATCGTACAGCGAAATACGTTGTGTGGAGCCCATGGACATCTGTCGCTCCGATTGGCTTTCGGTTGAATGCTGCCGTACCAGATTCGAGCAGCTACCGCGCTGTGGTTGCTGCAATTGGTGGGCGGTGGAGAGGCGATTATTGCTGCCCCGCAGCAATATAATAGCAGCTTCACGTTCATCTTTTTCCAAGCTCTGAGCGCGCGTGCATTTGCTGTGGCCGCACTGACGGCAGCCGCTGTGCAAATACTTAGGTGATGTGCTGGATGAACCCGTTTTCGAAGGCGTTACGGCCGTGGGTCCATAAGTGGCAGTGCAGGTGCTTGCTTGAGTTTGCTGGTGCTTAAAGCATGATTTCGTTGGATGCAGATGGGCATGTGCAGCGGCTGATTCCAGCAGCATGGTTATATTTTCGGAGCTCTTGTGATGCGAAAAGTCAAAATCAACGATTTTTTCACGCATATTGCGTCTGGCTTGACGCTCGATGCTGTCCGCACGCGTACGTGATCGCTGTGACGGACCTGGTCCCGGGCCCGGTGATGGTGACTGGCGTCGGGAATTACATGCGCTGCCTTGGCTTGGACCTGAAGCTGCATTGTTTTTACATATGATGAAATTGGCGGTACCCGAGCAGCTACTGGAGGCCCGCCTGTGAGCATGCATAACCATACCGCTCGTTGAGCTAGTCGAGGACTGCTTACGCAATGCATTAGGAGTGCCGGAGCACATCCCCCGGTCCTGTATGTGTGTTAGAAAATTGACAATCATTTTAAAGGTCTCTGTTTTGCCAGCACCTCCTTCGCCAGTGAGCAACACGCACTGATCCTCGCTCTGATCCTTAAGAGACTGGTAAGCCAAATTGGTAAGCCCATATCTGTCAATTATTTTATTTATGAAAGAGAACCGTATAAAAACAAACCCACTTACATGTGTGGTGGCAACTGAAAAATGCCCTTATTGCCATATTTGCGAATATTTTCCAAAGAATGCTCAGATATGTGATGATATGGATTTAAAGCCACAACAGAAGTTCCAATGTAGGTCTATAAAGCAAGGAACAATATAACTTTGATACTCTGGACCGATTGAATTACTTACATATATATGATCGCGCTTGTAACGCTGATGTATGTTGCTTATGAAGCTGTCCTCGGACAGGTTTTCTAGCAGCACTGAGTCCCAGGTACCAATCTCCTGTTCCATTTTGCCTTGTCCAAGCCCTGACAACGTGTACGGCAGTAAGAACAGCAACAGCAACAACAACAAATGCAAATGCAAAGCAAAACATTTGAATTTATCAACTGCAACTGCAAAGGCAAAGACAACAGAGAAACATTACAAATGTGGCATATTTGCATAAATTATCATAAGCTCTGTGTATGCATTTGGTCAAATTCGTGTTTTGATTTTCTGATTGAATTATTGATTTTAATTTTCAGCCTCAGCAAAGGCAGCAACAGTGTGTAATACATTCACATAGGCTATTAGATTGATTAAATCATGCCGTTATTAATAAAAGTATCTGTTATGTTGCTTAGCTAAAATTCACCGGATTGATATGTTTTTATTTCGAACACTTTATCACTACAATAACTTTGTTTACCTTTTCACACAATATTTGGGCATTTTGTAGCGAAATGCAATGCACAACGGTACTTACGTACCTACGTAATAGCAAAGTCAGACACGTAACGCGAAGCATAACGTAGCGATAACGAAATGAGAGAGCTGTGAACGCATTAAGAGCTAACATAACATATGATAGACATTTAACATTAAAACTAAAAGTTACAATACAGTTAGAGCCATAATAAGCACGCAGTAATAGTTAACTGTATGTATGAACATTTTCGGTAACTTAAAAACATATTAAATGCATTACACTTATATATTATATTGTTGAGTCTAGTTAAATAAAATTACTAAATTAGATTTTACTTTAAAATTCTCTGTTGTTGCTGCTCAAAATGGGACCAGAGTAAAATAAATACCATTTTACGATATTTTTATACAGAATTTCGATATTTTTTAGATCATTTCAGGTTGTTATTGCAGGTTACCAGCTTTTGCTGTCTCGAACGAAGTAAACAAACTAAAAGGAAAAGTATCTGACAAAGCGTATTTTTTTTAAGATGACTACAGATGAGCGCAATTTTAGGTTTACCTATTATGAGAAAGTAGGCTGTATTAGTGTTGAAGAGAAAAAGTCTCTCAATAAACTACTACAGGATGATATTCGCAATCTCTCCAAGTTAAAGCACTTCGCATATACTTATACGGTTCCAGCACAGCAGCGTAGTCTGCTCTGGAGTCTGATAATGGGGATACTGCCACTTCATAAAAGCATCACTGAATATGTTCGGGAGCAACGCCACCAAGTGTATGAGGATCTGCTACGGGCCGTGACTGTAATGCGTTTCGTAGAGGGGGATAAATCCAGACATTTGGTTCTGCACAAAATGTGGCTATTGGAGAACAATCGGTTGCTGCACAGCAATGTACGAGCCGGAAGTCAGATAGATGACAATCATTTTATTGAAATTGCACGCACACTACTTGACATATTCGATGATGAAATGGAAACATATTGGATAGCCAAGGAGTTTTACCAGTACACACGTGACCTGAAGAAGGAATGCGGCAAGCTTAAGGAACTTACACAAATACTCCTAAAGCGCGAAGACATCGCATTATTCTAGTATGTTGCCTATATAAAAATTATTATTAGTACAAATAACTTAATTTTTATTACAGTCGCTTGGAAAAGCTGGAACTGTTTGATGCCAATTCAAAGCTATTGGAAAATTGGTACACAACTTGCTTTGCCGGGGTAATTTGTGAAACAGTGTTGGTCAAAATATGGGACAAGATATGTGGAGGCGCTAAGAAGATAATCGTATTCGTCTTTGTAGAGATGGTGAAAGACATTAAGTCTTTGATATTTGATCTGAGATCTCAGGAGGAACTAAAAGCGTTGGTCGAAACGGTATGATACCTTCTTCTGATGATTTATTTGTTTATAAACGCCTTCTTCCTTCTAGATTAAAGATCACGATGGTGTCATAGTAAACAAAGCCATAAAATCGTGGCACAGTAATAACAGTGAAGTCGAATACGTTCATTGAGTAATACTACAAAATGTGCGTACTAGTAGTATAAATGTATTGGCGAAACAACTAAAAAGGCATATGAACTAAATGTATTTAAAGACCACATCCTTCTTATCGGCCACCGTCTGAAACTCGAGCGTGACTGGACATTGCATCCAATATGACAGCAACTCCTCCGTATAACCAATGAGGAAGTACATCTTACGTTGGGCAATCGCCTGTCGTATTATAGCAGCAATACGTATTGTATTATGCTGTCGCTTAATAATAATTTCGGAACATACAAGGGCATGCCATGTGCCAGTTATAAATTTACGAATGAACACATCCTCAATGGCTGTTTGTGATGGACGCAAGGCATCCTTCAGAGTGGCTATAAATTAATTTTTTGACATTTTATAAAATTTAATAAATACAAATGCAGAAACTTACATGTGTTCCAAGAATTCCATGACTTGCGGTGTCCAATAAAATGCGGTGGATTGGCCATTTCGTAGGTGAGCGGCCTGTCCCGTTTTACGGTTATGCGGTAACGTCCAGACTGCACGCGACAACAAACTGAGCTGGTGTGTATTGCTGAATTATTGCCAAGACTGAGATGGGCTTCCGCCTTAGGCAGCACCTGCAGAGTTACCTACGAATTTAACACAAATGTTAAGCAATTATTATTAATAATTTTTTTATTTACCTTTTTAAGAAAATTCATCTTTTTTGCGGCAGACTACTCGTCGTTACCAGCTGGGCAGATCAGCTGTTATGCATGACGTAACAGAAGCTACCTAGCGATGGTACCTAACCAAAATACTAAAATGTATTGCAAGAAACCGTAAATATTGTTTTTCTTACATTTGTGCAGGCAATGCGATATATTCTCAGTAAAATGCAATATAATTAAATGTTTATGAAATACAAAACCATATAAAGATCGCAACAATAGGGAAGTATACTCATACTAAAAGGTAATGCCATTTATCATGATTGTATGCTTATCGATTACTTGTTGCTATTCAAAGCCGATAACAGATAACAACATCCAAACAAAGGCAGCTGCTTCTGCGCTGTAGGTTGGTTTTCCGATGCCATAATGAAATACCAAACATCATAGGATATGCCAGCTACCTGCTTGCTAATAGTGCTTCATAAAGAGGCAGGTAACATATAGTTCCTGGAATACACTTAGGGACAACGCGCAAAACAGAGTGTTAGCGTTAACCCGGGCAAAATCAATAAAGTGGAAACCATTTGTAAACATGACGCTGAACGAGAGCGACGCTCACAAGCAACTGGAGCTGACGCGAAACTTTTTGGAGCTTTCTAGAAATACGGACACCTGTTCAGCATTGCGCAGCTCCGACTGCATCCAACTGTTAGTAAAAATTCTGCATGCCAACGATGACGGAGCCGGCGCGGGCGGAGCAGCACGAAGGAATGCCAGCCAAGCCCTGCATAACATTGTTCAAGGAAATCAACGGGAGGTGAAGGTTTTGCGCCTTCTAGATCAAATACGTGACTATAGTTGCAATTTCTTGCGTACGCAATTGCAAAGCGGTGGTGAATCAATTGCCGATGATGAAGAACGTCATCCATTGGCAGCCATGAAAATGCTGATGAAGGCTAGCTTCGATGAGGAACATCGCCAGACTATGTGCGAGTTGGGTGCCTTAAAAGCAATACCAAACCTGGTTCATCTCGACCATGCCGTTCACGGGCCGGCAGCGGGACGCGAGCAATGTAATTTGCTTAGACGCTATGCGCTAATGACGCTAACAAATCTCACCTGCGGCGAAGAAAACAACAAGTCACTGCTCTGTGGACAAAAGCAATTCATGGAAGCGTTAGTTGCCCAGCTGGACTCAAATGCAGCCGATGTCGATGATCTGCTGCAGGCCACTGCTAGCGTTTTGCGAAATCTATCTTGGCGCGCGGACAAACACCTGAAGACCGTATTCAATGAGCTCGGGACAGTCACGGCTCTTGCAATGGCCGCAATGCACAACAAGAGCGAGAACACATTGAAGGCCATTCTGTCCGCACTGTGGAATCTGTCAGCACACTGCAGCACCAACAAGGCGGAATTTTGTGCCGTCGATGGTGCATTAGGATTTCTAGTCCAAATGCTCAGCTACGAAGGCCCAAGCAAGACACTTAAGATTGTCGAGAATGCCGGCGGCATCTTACGCAACGTATCCAGCCACATAGCTGTTTGTGAATCATATCGTCAGATCTTAAGGGAGCACAACTGCCTGGCCATTCTGCTGCAGCAGCTTAAGACAGATAATCAGACGGTTGTTAGCAACTCCTGTGGCACGCTCTGGAACTTGTCTGCACGTTGTCCCGAGGATCAACAGTTTCTTATCAATCACAACGCCATTCCGCTGCTACGTTCGCTCACCACCTCCAAAAGTTCCATGATAGCTGAGGGCAGCGCCTCAGCGCTCAAGAACTTGGTAAATTATCGTAACGCCCTCGAGCTATCAACCAACAACGAGTTGCCTTCGAAGGAGCTAGCCAACGTACATGGATGCACACTGCCTCGACGTTATAGCTCCATGCGGTTGAGCAGTAATCCTACGGGTTCACTTAAGAAGGTGCGCAACGGGACGGCAAGCAGCAGCAATGGCAGTAGCACATTGATTCGCAAATGCGAAAGCCGCGAGTCAATATATTCCGGTAAATCGGATTCCGATTCAACAAAATTCTCAACTAAGTCGGACAGCGCCTTTGAACAACGAAAACTGAGCACTAGCACTGCGCAGACCCATTACAGAACATCCACGGAGGAGCAACCCATCGACTATTCTATGAAATACAGCTACAGCGACCACAAACCAGCTAAGGCCAGCTTTGACAATTCCATCGATTTGGATCAGCCCACAGACTTCAGTGCACGCTACAAGGAGAGACGATCTGCGCAAGCTGCGAAGCCACAGCCAGCAACATGTGAAGAAAGACAGCAAGAGAGTAGCGAAATATTGCTCATTTTAGATGAAAGTGGAAGCACCGCTCCTCCAAATCTGGCTAAATCAGCTTCGGCATGTGAGCTAAGCAGCGATCAAGTGGAACGCCCCAAAACACTTAACCTTCGCAGCAGTGCTTTGGAGAATCTAGCAATCGACAAGTCCGATGGCTGCTTGCACACGCCCGAACCGGAGCCTGGTGAGCGTCCGATTAACTATTGTGAGGAGGGGACACCCGGATGCTTCAGTCGATTCGATTCGCTCAACAGCCTTATGGATGTGGGGCAAGGAAAACACGAGAAGCAGCTAGCTGCTACCAAGGAAATCAACAACCAACAATCAGTTGTCGAAACGCCAGAGCAAGCTATTAACAATAATAACAACAACAATAAGGTTACAGCTTGCCAGGATTCCGCTCTGGAGACCCCTCTTATGTTCTCCAGACGCAGCTCCATGGATTCGTTGGTGAATGATGAGACCATTGGTTGTGACGATAATGGCTCTGTAATAAGCGAATACAGTCGTATGCAAAGCGGTGTAATCTCACCCTCAGAGCTGCCAGATTCACCCACGCAGAGCATGCCACAGTCGCCTCAACGCGATCGCAAGATAAAACCATCGCTTCCACCTTCAAGCGATAACTGCAGAAGCAATGGGCACGACCTCAATGGCAACGATGCGCCTCGTAATTACTGCACAGAGGACACTCCTGCTCTGCTCTCCAAAGCGGGCAGCAATAGCAATCTGTCGGTGCTGTCAATAGCCTCCACAGCCAATGACCACAATTGCAATGGACAGATGAGACGTCCAATGCCTCAAGTCCCAGATATTGCGATGAATATTTCTGAGGATGCCATTTCCAAGATGCGCTGCGGTGGCAACGCTTTACCCAGCTATTTGCCAGTAAAGGATGAGATGAACAAATACTACGTAGAAGACAGCCCCTGTAATTTCTCCGTGATCTCTGGACTCTCCAGCTTAACAGTAGGTTCTGCGCAAGTGGGGCCAGCCCGTGCACTGAAACCACCACTTCTGCCGAGGAACGCAGAATCCGCTCCAAAGTTGCCACCTCGACGAAGTGCTGTTCTTGTAGAGTCCGAGTCGCGTCTCCTGCCCAAACGCAGCGATTCTCTCAGCTCATTGTCAATGGATTCGGACGATGACTCCAATCTGCTCAGTCAAGTAAGTAATGCTGAAAAGCCTTGTCATGCGTGTCATGTAATACCTGCTCCTACTTTTCAGGCTATTGCCGCTGGTAGTTGCAGACCTCCACCCAGTGGCGCCAGCACTAGCTCGAGTCACACAAACACGCTGCCCAAGCCAAACAATAACCATAGACGACAAACGATTGCTGGTGCCAAGACTGACTATAGCTCCGATGATTCACTGGACGATAACCAGTCCACGTCCTTGTTTGAGCAGTGTATATTGAGTGGCATGCACAAGTCCAATGATAATTTGGAGAGCGAACGCAATGAACCCTCCTCCAATGATCGCTTTGTTAGCAATCAGGTGCGCCAGATCGAGTCTATGTTAGCCACCACTGTTAGGCCAACGCCGCCGCGCTCATCATCCGGTAGCCGACAGCGACAGCATCACCACTGGGTCTAACTAATTAAGAATTTCTAGCTTTTAATTTGCAGTTGGTTGGTCGTTTCTTTTTAAATATTTTCTAATGTAATGTACACACTGCAATAATATTCTTACGTTCTCAATTCTTCTATAGTTCAGATTAAAAATGTTTACTTAAATTTAACAATTGCCCATTTGTGTTGCCCGTTGCGTCGTTGTTTTCCCTATTTCACAATTTCATAACGAACATCTAACAAAACCCGGGTAATCTATATAACTTATGAACAAATATCGAAATGGGTACATTCAATATAAATTAACTTTAAAAGGACTCGAAACTTGTCAGCTGCTGCTTGTAACATGATGTTTTGGTCGACTATACCTAAGTTTGGTTGTTTGTTGTCGCAGTTGTAGCTGTCGATTTCAGTAGAAACGTTTTCGTGCGTTGCGATCCTTGTAATATGAAATTGCAAATATGGCCACACCAGCGGTCACCAAGACTACTAAGAGCAGTATGAAAAATATTTTGGCATTTGACATTCCTGGTTTCGGATCTTCTTTGTGTTCACGCGGCGCTTCAAATGTTTTGGCATTTGGAATAATGTTGCTGCGACGCAAGATCTCATCGTGCTGCTTTCAATATATATAAAAAACATTAAGAAACTGACTTGGAAATTATTCTATATGTAATACTTACACTGATAGTTGTGTCTATATCGAAGAACTTGAAGCTATGAATGTCATGGTTATCGGACAAATCTCCCGTTGTTGCAGACATGCCAAAGAAATAGCCAGTGGGCAGCTCCACATTGTTGACCACAAAACAGTTTTTCCATTCGTTTCGATCTTCGAGATCCGTCGAAACGGACAGCACATCGTTCTCATAGCGTATGCTTATAAATGTATCGTAATCCACATTACGGAAGCGCACTTCACAACCAGCCAGCTGTGTGTGCGTTCCGTCTCTATCGTGATCGTAGCTCCAGGTGCCGTTGTTAACCATCGCACTCAAGTATGGATGCTGGTGCTATATGCAAAAATATAAGTGAGTGCAGCTGTTCTCCAAGAGCTCAAATGCGCAAAGTACCTACATTATGTGGACCATTGTGATTACTGTAGGTATCCAATATGATTGCTAGTCCAGAGAAATGATCTTTGCTGCCAAATACTGGACCTGTTTGCATACGATCTTTTGTGTACCAAATGGCAAATCCGTCACCAAACAGTTCATTGCCCTTCCCGTGTACTTTGAACCCGACGTGAACCTCCCAATTGCGTCCCATAACGGGCTGTGGCATACAACAATATTAGCAACGATTATTTGTTATATAAAGTGTCATGGCCACATACCGAGTAGTTCCATAGTGCGCCGCTTTTTGATTGCAAATCCGGGGTCAGTCTTATATAGTTACTGGTGACCATGGTGTTTCCTAAAAAATCCCAGTGGGGCAGTATAACGCCAACGCCTAAGATTGACAACAAAGCAAGCCATGTTAATACCATTCATTTCGCATATTTCAGATATGCATCATAGAAGCTTATCATACCTTGAAATGGTCGTACTAGACTGTGTTCCCGCTTCATGTACTCATTGTTTTCCGAGCTTTTTACTAGCTCCAAGGCTACAAGAGCGCCGAAAAATGCTAGGAACCAATTTGTGTTTATGTGCGTCATTTTAACATGCGTTGGCGTCTAGGCTACAAAAATTTGGTTTAAGCTTGGGAGAATATTCCTCGCTTTTTCAGTTGTGATGCCGGTTTGATGAGTGGTTGCTTTTTGTTGGCTAGCTGTTGGGACTATCGATAGTCCCAGCCGTACCGTACGCTAACGATAGGTACTAGAAACATCGAAAGTCTTTAAAAATACTAATTATAAAAATGTTGTGAAGTCGCTGGTAAATATATCGATAACTTAATACGGATTCGATATATTGCAACCGATTTCTTTTATGTGTATTGCAACACTGTAATTTGTAGTTGTTATATGTAGCATTGCCAACGTAAAATTAAATGGGAACCGCCAAAAATTTGCATATCAATAAGTAGCAAAAGGCAAGTAAATACTGAGTATGCAAATTGCTGCTGTTGACAAGTGAATAAATTGCTAAACTCTTCCCTATCGAAAGTAGTTAAACGGCAACAGACTTTACATCTGCAACCCGTTTCAATTAAATCTCTTGACTGTAACACAGACAGGCTGTCAGTTTGTCAAAATTATGTTATGCGTGGTTGCTGTTGTAGGTATTGCAGCGGCTTATTGCGTACGCATATTTACGCCTTTAATTGACGCCAAATGGACTACCAAAAACCAGTTCCAGCATCAAGAGTTTTCTTCCTTGCAAGCCGCTGGAGCGTGCGTTAAGCGCACACATTCACAGTTCTGCGGCGCGCTGCTTTTAGCATTGCCAAGGTCGATGTCGTGAGAATAAACGCTAAACGCTTACACTTGCATGTTTGTGATTGTGTACGTATGTGTATGGTCTTATGTGTGTGCACGTATAATGCAAATCGAATTTAAATTGGACCGGAAATTTGGAATGCTAAACATTTGAACTTGCGCTCGCTTTTCATAATTCTCTATGCATATTTGGGCACAATTAGCTAATTGCAATTGCAATAACTGTAATATATAAATATATCGTTAACCGTCTAAAGCAGCATCAGCCTTAGCGTCGCTTCCTCGACACGTTGCTAATTGGAATATAACGTATCTAATTATATCAGAAACTAAGTGCGACATCGTCATACACTTAATTATTAACTCTGGAAGGTCAATGAATCACATCGACAACTTTGGGAGTTAAGTGAATGCCAAAAAGCAAAATGCAATACGAATTTTGTAATCAAATATAAATGTTATTAAAATCAAACTCTAATTGCACTTTGAGTGCAATAAATGGTAAACCATGAAAATACTAAGTGAATAATAAAATACGCTTATGCCTATTATACCACTTTCTATATGTTGAGATATGAACTTTAAGAATTTTTTGAGACCCACGAGTAAAGTACGTATCTATAAACAGTTCTAATTAATGTGCTCCATGTCATTATAACTCGTTTTCCAGTTACATGATTTAAAAAAAATTATCATTTGTAATAATAGACGATTAATCGATTGTCATCGTTCACTCATTCTTAACGCTGATCAGAGAGTGTACGTAAGTCGCTATTCAGGTGGGAATAATATTAATCGAGTTAAAAAATAAAATATTGGGCAATGTTATTGCACTTCTTGAGGTTTTGAACTCACTTGCAGTTGACTTCCTTAACAGCAAGTGTAATGCAGACGTTCATATTAATATAATATATATGTAATTTCTTGACGGTTTTGAGTGAAATGATTATGAGCTGACTTCACTACTTGGACTTTATAATTAGTAGCGCGTGTAGCCATCGGCTGTTAATGGGCTTGTAATTCTCATTGATTGACGCGCAGTTGGTAAGACAACTGATTAACATGCAAATACTTGGTCTATCGTATCAGCGACTATTTTTAGCGCGTTTAAAAATCCATTAATTTGAGTCGGTCGCTCATGTGCAGACAAGTTTGAGCCCAAAACAGTTTCCAATTCCTCAAAGTGGCATTAACCTCAGGCCGAACCAAGCCATACTGAGGCCAAAAATTTGCACCAATGATTGATAACTACTGTCAGACATTTAACTATTTCAATTAACGAAACAAAACAAAAGCAAAGCAAATAGCAACAGCAACGAAAAGAAAGCCAAAGAAGGCAAACGCAAAAGGCAAAGTACGCGCAAGGCAATTTGTTAATTGTTTAGTCGATCAGCGATAAATCAATGGCAATCGGCAATTAAGCGCGCTAATTGTTCCTCAGCTTACAACAATTGCGCTGGCCAATTGGCCAACTGAACTTGACCCCAACGCCAACTGAAGACAATACAAAATATGAATTATACAATTCAATGCAATTCAATTACTGCGGTTTTCTGCGACTTGGGGCATCAACAAAAAGATAAAGTTTTTGCGGCTGCCACTCTCAAACACCTGACAGCTGAACTTGAACTTGGTTTTAATATCGATAATAATATCGATTGGCATATATATTTCCTCTCCTCTCCTCTCCTCTCGCATCCATCATAGCCTTCGATTAAGTGCGTTGACTGGCGGAAAAAAATCTAACGCATTGCTTGCATTGCTGCGACAAGTGTGCAATTTGTATTTAATTGGGAGCATTAGTGACGAGGGTCGTTAATTAAGTCATAAAATGATTTATAACTGTGTTTACTCTATTCAGTTCACCAAATCCTTATCATGCAAGACTTTCAGGCAGACACACCTTTTTGATTTATTAATATTTGGCCATTTTATTTATAAGAGATCTGGCAACGCTAAAAAAGGTAACTTGGACAGGATGCCAATAGATTGAATTTAACATACTACAAATACAAACCGAAATATGCAACAATTTTAGAACTGCCCTCGTAGGCTGTTAAATGTTTTTCAGCTGAAGGGTCGTAAATGTCAAGCGTATTATGTTGCACACTCTAAAGTAATATCAATTGTAACAAAAGATCGTAATTCACAACATGCATGTTATATACAGAAATAACTTGGCGGCTTGTGGTTTAAGCCTTCTGTTTAGTACTTCCGGCAGGCAATTCGTGCGTTATGATTATGATATGCATATTGCGATTTTTAATCGTACAATCATACGAATATAACGTAAATTGTCATTTAAATCAAGTCAACGACGTTCCTCACAAACGGCCAGAAAGCTGAGCAACAGCTGCAGCAGCAACAACAACAGCGATCAATAAAAAGACCAACAGGCCAACAATCACACGAAATTTTCACGGTCAAAACGACAGAGGCGGAAGAAATTGCCAAAGCTAAAGTTGCTGACAACACAGCAGCATTGTTGTTACTATTGTTGTTACTGCTGCTGCTGTTGCTGTTGCTGTTGTTGTCGTTGTCGTTGATGCAATTGTTGTTGCTGTTTTCACCTGCAATCAAGTCAAGGTGTTTGCCAGCTTTCCTATTACATTTGCATTAGATTTGCATAAGCGCCTATCGAGACTGATTGACCCGAATGAAGTGCAATTCATGCTGAAACTGAAACTGGTTACCGGAAAGCAGCAGCAACAGCAGCAACCAAACGCTAGAAAGTTGCCTTTTATTTGCCACTATCTGCCCAAGAACAACGACCATCACGTGTCGCACGTAGGCCAGCAACAACAACTCGCTCAAAGGCTCTCTCACTCAATGCTCGAGTGAGAAAAGAAAACAACAACAATAAATAAAAAACTCACTCAAAACGCAGCAAACAAAGCAACGACGGCCACGTCGACGTCGACAACGGCGCACGCTTGCCATGCTTTATATAAAATCAACTGAGCATTTCTGTTGGAATTCATTAAACGTTTTACCGCACAGCTCGACGTACAAACTTACGATCCGCCGAGTCCGATTCCGATTCCGATTCCGAGTCCCCGAGTCCGAGTCCGAGTCAAAGCCAAAGCCGAGCAACCCAGGCAACACACACAATTTTTAAATACAGCGCAGCGCAGATTCGTGTAAGCCAATACCAAGTTGACAGCCAAACAGCATCCAGCTAACAGTTCCCAGCTCATTGTTAAAGCCAGCGAACGCGTTTGAATTTGGCTTTTTTGTTTCATTTGACTCGCGTGCAAGCGTTTACAACAATAATAACAATAATATAAAAAATAATCCGAAAATTAAACCGAAAGAAATTACAAATTCAAAATTAGAAATACCAAACCAAAGCCAAAAAATCATTTAATAAACCAGCCCGTGATTCGTGTTGTAAAGAAAAGTGTAGTGCCTAATAAATCAGTAAATTAATTTCTAAAATATTTGTTAACTAATTGCAGCTCAGCGTGTAATTACACTCTATAATAACAAAACAAAAGCTCCAACAAAATCATCATGAAATTCGTAAGTACACCAATTCGCATGAAAACAGAAGTGAAGGAAACAACAAGAGTTGCATTTTATTTTGCGTATACGCAATTTTCAGCAAGTTCGTTGCCTAAGTCTTTTGTTTTCGCACTGCCCATTGCCAAGCGACAATTTTCACAGCCTTTTTATTTGATGCTCACTCACGCTAATGCGAATGCAATAGTCGTGAGCCAACACACTTTGCCCACCATTCACCACAAATTGACCCAAGCCAAGCCAAACTCTGTGGCTATTGTGGTATTCAGAATTTTTATTGGGCACTTGAATTTATGGCCAGCCGCCAGTTGACTGTGGTCCGTTGTCGTGTGTCAATTTTTAGCGGCAAGCATTTTGTCGGCATTAAAGACATGACAAAGCCCGCCGCGAGCATATATAAATGAACATATCTATCGTAATCGTATTTAAATAAACACACACACATACACACTCGCAGAGATGCATATATGTAACTGGCTATTAAGCTGTTAAGTCGCAGACAATGGTCTTTGGTTGAGAGGGGCGTGCTACACATACAGCATCCAGGCCATAAATTGTATATGATTTGCATAGCATACGAACTATAATTATGCAGCGGAGCACGCACTTTCAATGTTTCCGCCTAACCAATACTTACACACACATATGTGTGTGTGTGAATGCAGAGAGCAGAACGGGCAGCAATTAGATGTTATAAACCAAAACAAAATGGGGGTAAAGAGAGAAGTTCAAGTTCATGGTGAAGGCCGCAGCCGAACCAGACAAGCGCCAGACACTTGTTTACAGATCAAGCCAAATGCCAACAACAACAGCAACAACCACTGGCAATAACGCAATGGCAAAACTGCAAAACGTGCTTGGGCATGCGTTTTGTAACTTAATTGAAAAGTGCGATACACACGCGCCAATATCCCCAAAGCCAAAGCCAAAGCTATGACCAGAGTCACAGTCAAGTGACCAAACTGGCGCTGCTGCTGACCAACTTCTTGGCCATTGCGTGCTCACGTCTCGGCGTCCCGCCAACTCTCGACACCACAGCATACAACTCACGACACTGCGAATGCGCGCATGTGCGTGTGTGCGATGGCTATAAATTAAACAACTATGAAAAGCTAGCGTTCAATTCATTAGAGTCTCAAAGTTATGCAACGGCAATGGCAGCGGCAGCGGCAACGACAACTGCAACTGCAACTGCAACTGCAATCCAGCTGACTGCAGTCGGCAGTTGCCGTTTCATCCCAAGCACTCAGCAGGCACTTGGGCACCCTGGGAACCGCAATCAGCGTCTGGCAAATCGCTCTCGATTAGGATTGGGTCATGCGTGCCATGCACTACAGACACACATACACACACACACACACAGTCTATTCGAAAAAAAAAAGATTTATTAATTGCTCGACAATCGCCTTAATTCATTGGTTAATCGTTGCCATCACCAGCAACAACTTGTCCTCGTCGACATGTTGTTGCATTTTACACGCTTTGCGTGTAGAAATTCAAATTAATTGCCATAAATATAAAATTGCCTTGCGTTGCGCTTGGCTTGCTCTGGCCTGGCCAGACCAGGCCATGTCTATGGTCTCAGCTAATGAAGATGCCGCCGCGTACACTTACATGTCTTTGCACAATACCAACAAACACACGTGTACTTGTCATGCATAACTGTACTGTGTCTAGGCCAGCCTTAAGTATAGAGAGGGAATGTAAGCCTTAAATTAATCAGATTTGCGTGAGTCCCAACTGAAACGAGGCTAAGACTTGATCAAGTTGGGGCTTTCGATTCACGCACTCTTGAGATACTTTGCAAAGCATCTTAAAATTACTATATTGGCATAAATAAGTCTGAGAACTGGATTTACATAAGCTATTTCATTATTTAGACTTTTTAGTTTTCAGTTTTGAGTCCTTTGGCTAGCTGGGGCGCTCCTCTCAATTTGGAGCAATGAAACTAATATTTAGTGCCTTTGGCATTATGTGCTGTGCGATGTCATTTGATATCGTTCATCGCATCAGTCGCTGTTTTCAGTTTTTTGGTTTGGTTTTGGCCATTTTATTACAATTCGCTTAGTGCGACACGATTAGCGTTTGCTGCAAAAGCGCAGCTGTCGCAATCAAAGCTGGAGCCATGTCTTGGTCTGCGAGTTAGTCAGTCAGTCACTCAGTTAGTCAGTCAGCCAGTCAGTCAATGCGCATGGCAAGTGCCTGGCATACACATGTTCCACATGTCCAGCTACAGTTGGACATTAGCTTGAAGCTCGGAGAGCGTGTGGTGCTGCCCACATGCGAACGTTGCGACTGGTGCGAGCGGTGCGAGTGGTGCGAGCGCGAGCGCGTTTTTGGCTTGCAAAATAGTTATGTTAGATTTATCGCCGGAGTGGACACGGGACCGGGGCCAGGCCATTACCATATTTATAAGGTATGGGCAGGCTGGCAGGCGACATGTGCGTTGTGCTTGGCATTTTGTCATGCCTTAAATGCTACAAATTTCTGCTGTTGCAGCATGAACTTGAACTAATTTGCCTACTGCTGCCGCTGCTTGTTGTCGTTGTTGTATTTCATTTGGGGGCCGCATCAGCAGGAAAAGGAAAAGTGTTTCAATTCTCACGCTGCCAAACGGCAATTGGCACTTCCTAGCCAACGAGCTATGCCAAATTGATGGCTAATAATCGCTTGGGCAACAAACTAATAGCTAAAGCAATCAACGGACAGCGGGTAGCGGGCATCGGTCTCCAACTGGCCCGTCATGGCCTGGCCTGGCATCATTTCCAGCTATTAAACACAATTCAAAGTAATTTAAAGCAGCGACCATGTTGTAGCAGTTGTTGATCTTGTTGCACCTACTAAACACAGCCGACAGTCGCGCTCAATTTTGGACTTTAGCTTTGGCAAACGCAAATGCATCCAGACGGGAGCCAAAAGTCTAGAGCCGAGATTCGAGTGGCGAGCAGCGAGCGGCGAGAGTTTGGATTTAGCAGCATGCTTCCGTGTTGAAAGTCAATGAACAGTTGCCCAATCGAGCGTTAACCTGGACAGTTTTAGCATCTGAGAGCGAGGTTGCCTGCTCCCGCTGCCACCGCCGCTGCCGGTGCTGCTGCTGCTGCTGCTGCTGTAGGCGTTACAATCATTAACAACCGATAACAATATCAATTTTTTGTTTTCTTTCATTTGTGGCCGCGTAAACTTGAGCGCAGTTTCAATTGTTCAACATTCACTTTTGCAATGTTCACATCAAAATTCGTTATGCTCGCTGGCTAAATGACAAACCATTTAAATAAGATTAATTAATGCTCCAGCTGTAGCCAGCAGGCCTCATTTTTCCCTCTTTCTGCCTGCTCATGACTCACTCTATGCGCATGCAAATTGACTTTAAACCTGCGGGAACAACTAATTGAAAGTTAATTTTCAGTTTACTTTATGCATTTTGTGATATTTTAGAAGAAAAAATAAAATAAATAGGGTAACCTGTTCGAATGGTTTTGTCTAAGTTTTATTTATTTTTTTATTTTTGTCTCTTTTGCTTGTAAAGTAATAAAAAAAATAATTTATTTTTACTGCACATTTGAGCCAATCAAAATCTAAACGCCAATAAATGCCAGCACAAAAATGAAAAATCTGATTGAAAAATAACTGAAACTGGTGCAATCACAACAGCTGAGATACCCTGCAAAATAGAAACAAAAATAAAAAAAGAGTTTAAAAATTAAAACAAAATTTGTAATAATTTTAACTTATATTTAATCCGAAACTTTATCTAGGCGATTCCCATCGTCAGCTCTTGTACGCCCTTTTTTAGGTTTCTAGAGGGTATACTGACTTGTTGCTAACAAGCCAATGTTGTTGTTTTGTTTCGCAGTTGTCCAGTTGTTGTTGTGATTTTTATTTAGGTTTTGTGCGCTGGCACAGGCACGCTCACATGTTGCTGCACTTAATCATTGTTGTGGGTGGGTGGGTTTTCGCATGAGCCGCCGTTAGCCAACAGTCTCGACTGCTGCTGCTGTTTGTTGCCATGTAGCAGCAGCTAGCGCCGCCCAATTACGAAATCATATCTAAGGTCATTTGTTCAACTAATTTGTGGCAGCTTCGATAAGAGAGGGCGCGGGGCGAGCTGCCATGAGGAATGATTGCAATTTCAATACAAACTGTTTTGTTCTCATATCGCAGAGTCGAACAAATTAACTTACATTAGCGTGCGCTCCACGGTTGCCAGTGCAAATTCTCATGTGGATTCCTTGCGGCTAACCGCAAAACAAAACAACAAATTATTAAACTAGAGCTGCGCTTAATTTATTTTAATTAGCTTAAACGATAACTTTCAAGCCCGCTGTCTGCGGCTCCAGCTAGTTGTCCGCAGCTATGCGAAGAATGTCCAAATGCAAATCTGTGGAAGCCTGCAGAAAAACAAAACAAAAAGCAGAAAGCCTGCCTCAGGCCACAGCTGACGACATTTTGACGGTTTACATGTGTAGCATGCCACAGTGTGCTCCAGGCGTTTAGGCACTGTACACTGCAAGAAATTATGACTAATTTGAACGAATGAAACTGACATCAGAGCTCCAAGATCGAATATAATAAATATAACTGAATGGCACTGAAAGAAAATATAGCTAACTTAAATGAAATTGAAATGATTTAATTGTCTCAGAGTAGAGAAATAGAAAATTCTTAGAAGAATAGTGAACTGAAATAAAACCATTTTCTTCATCTATAAGATCTGATCAGTCCACTTTTATAAAGCAACCTAGAGAACGAGCCACAGCTGTAATTGTTCCTTGATGATCTAGATCTTAGATAATTTGCATGCAATAAACGAGCCAATTCAACAAATAGTCAATTATTTTTTCTCAGTGCAATAACAGCTGTTAGTTGTGCTCAAATTGCTTTAAATTGTTGTTTCCTTTTTTGGATTTTATAGTCTGATTTGAATTTTTTTTATGATGGATCAAAAAAGTTTTTGCCGGCTTCCCATGGCAATTGCTGGGCTTCAATTTACCTGTCTTATGACCAGAAATTTGTGCAGCTTATTGCCGTTTGTTAACACCGCCCACAGCAGACGCTGTGCTTAATCACTTTCAGATTGGTCTCTCCTATGAGAATTTGCCATCTTTATCGCATGGCTTCATCTGCTCTGGAGCGCTGTTTCGCTGTGATATGTGGATTCGAGCCAATATCTGCTGGTCTCGTGTGGCAATAGACGCTGTGTCTGAGCGGAGGACAACAACAGAGCAGTGCTGCAACAACAACAACAAACATGAATTAATTAAAAGCATTTTCACAAGTTTGCGAGACTTTAAAGTCTAGACAAGAGTCGCAGTTGCTTGTTGGCAACTGGTCGCCTTGTTTGCATATTTTTTGATTATTTAGTCTCAAGACAATTTGTGCTGTTGTTCTTGTATATATATGTATATATATATATATGCATATTTTGGCTTATAGCAATTAGCGTTGTTGCTGCTGTTCTTGTTACAGCTACTTGTGGGTATTTGATTTTTGTTTTCTTTATTTTATATATATATATATATATTTGTAGGGTGCTCGTAAACACTTTGCTGCATATTAAATCAATTGCAGTAGCAGCAAAAAGTCAACAAAATGCCTGTAAAATTAACATGCGCTGCAAGCGCTCGACCAAATATTGCGCATACGCCCTGCAGTGCAATGCAGATTGCAGGCGCGGCCCATTAGGCAATTAATGAAGCAAAAACCTTTCAAAGCCACAACAAGAGAATGAAAATAACAAAAAGCAAGCAACAATTACATGGCAATATGAATGAATGTATGTGGGCAGAGGTGTGATTACTAGCCATAAAACAGCATATGGACTTATTCAGTTTGAAGTCTGTTTCATATGGGCCAGCTTGGGTTTCTTAATGCGATCTATTAAGTCTTCGCGGCCCTATGATTAGTGCCTGTCCAGTTGTCCAGTCTGTGGCAATTGCGTGACGGTCTTAAATAAGGCATTGGATGCAGCAACAACACCCGCAACAACACTTGCGGCGCAGTTGCCAATTGCAGCTGCCAACTGCCAGCGCCAGCATGTCGAGCATTCAATGGGAAATCAATAAATTCAAGCGCCTAGCAGACAGCCAGCACTTTAATGTTATATATACACATATATATATATATTTATATATACATATATATATATATTTATAACCACAAAGCCAATTTGCACAGCATGCTGCATTTGGGCCATTGATGCATGCTGCCACAGCTTCCATAAAGCTTGACCACAAGCGCAGCTCATAGTTCCTTAACGAGCTAAAGCTGCACGCTTATCACAACATTAGATTCGATGCATTTGGCGCTGCTGTGGCTGCCTCCGAATTGGGTCAGCTTTCGAGATCAATTGTGAGAGAGTTGAAAATATTTGAATAGCATTTTAAGTCGCGCTTGCAGCAATTGTCGTTAATGTTGTTGTGTGCAAATGCCGCTAATTACGCTTTACAATAGAGATAGGAAGAGAGAGATAGAGAGAGAGAGAGAGAGAGAGAGAGAGAGAGTGAGACGTGCTAGACAGCGCTAAGAACTGAATAGAGAGTATTGGCACTTGGCACTTGGCGCTTGGCTCGTGCTCGACTCAAGTACACCTGAATGGCATTCTACTATGGTACGCCAGCAGGCTTAATTGTTTTTCATATGCTTAGCTACGCTGGCATTGACACAGATTGCAATGGCTTAATCGTTTTGACCGTACTTACCAACCGTATTACCAACATGTAGCATGCGCGCTTAATCATATCAATGTCTGTATTTCCATTCTGTTTGCAGTTAGTCACCATTGCTGCTCTGTGCCTGTGCCTGGCCTTTGCTGCCGGCCAGCAATACTTTCTAGGACAATTCCCCAGCCGATCCCGCTTCGCTTTCGACACGCTCTCCTTGGCACAGCCCTCAGCTGCGCAGGTGCGCGATCCCCGCCAGAATCGAGGTAAGCTCTTCACACAATCACCTTTCCATATCACGTACTTGTAAAGCTGTTCGCTACTTACATGTCTTTCTATTCTATATTTTTGTGTTTTTCACCTTGCAGGACCCGTCGTGTTCCCACCCTCGCCCCCAGACGCAATTGAGGAGTCGAGCGGTGTTGTTGTTGGCGCCTCTGGTTTCGGTTTTGTGCCACCACAGCAAAGTAATTCACTCAGACGTACGGTCTAAAACAATAGTGTAGCCTAGGCCATTGTGACTCACACCAGCACACACAATCACACACACTCACACACACACATAAAGCTTTATTAGTGCAATTGCAGTAGTGTTTAAATGTGGTTTTTTATTGTTAAATAATTGTCCTCCAACCCACGTCCAATTCACAGGCACAATCTTTGGTTAACTGCACACACACACACACAGCCATAAGCACACACACACATACGCACACTCAGTTACAGCACAGACAATGCCAAACAGCGGAAACGGAAATACGCGTCACAGTTAATCGCAATTTGAACGTTCGCAGCACTTAATCAACTTCAAACTAAGCACCACAATCGGCCACAAAAACAACAAGCCTAACCCATCCTACACCCACACCTACACACACACACAAGGCGCACTTGCTAACACAATAACAACAACTATAATATGTAATAACACTATTGTTTATTAGCAGTTATTTAGTTTAATTATTGTTATTTAGTTGCAAACACAATAATTTACTTTTTAATTTTGCTTTTTATTTTGTTTTGCCAAATCTTTTGAATATTTATGTTTCTTTTGCATATTATTTTTATTTTGTTTAATTTGTAACTTAAAATTTATTATTTTTAATTTTAAAAAATCCAACAACTAAATTATAAATAAACAAAATATATTTTTAAAAAAATGTTTTTTTTTTTTTATATTTATAATTAGATAATTTTTAAATCATTTCGGCCACACAACAAAACAAATTTCAGCAAAAATTCAACTTTTTTTATTTTGATTTTTTCTGTTTCTGTTTTGTATTCGTTTTTTTCGATAATTATTTTGTAGTGTTTTGAGTTTCACATTCACAAATGCAGCACTTTGGCTTTTTGATATTATCGTACAAGTATGCTTATGATTTCTTGTAGCAATTATTGTAAGTGCACACCAAGACAAGCGTCTAATTAACAAAAGCCACCTTTGAAGTGCAGCGACACAAATCGAACTGCGTCGGCCTGCGCCACGGCCAATCCGATGCTAAATCCAACAACTGTAACGACGCGACGTAGGCAACCTACACACACATACACTCTGCCTCTCTCCACCTCTCCATCTCTCTCCTTCTCTCCCGCTCTTTATCAATAGCTTCACATTAGAGTGGGCCCACAAAATATTGACATGCTTTCAAGCAGTCAAAATGATTTGGGCTGACGAAATATTGTGACACTGAACGAGCTCTTGAAGGAAACACTCACTGGATTCAATCGAAATTGAGCGTGAAGATTGAGTAGAGCAAGTCTTCTGTTACAATATATTACAACTGCTCAGCTTAAATGTAGTATAAAGAAACTAAGAGGCTTATTTAAGCAGCTTAAACCCGTCTTAGTCCCTCAAGAACTCCACACTAACACGCTTTAAGCTTAGACTCCGCATTGGTATTTATTCCTATGCGTTATATAATTTACTTACTTAAAATATGAATGAATACGACAGCTCAGAAAATCACTCTTAGATAAATAATTAATTTATTGCCAAGATAAGTAATTCAATCTATTTTAAAAAGATTGCATACATTTCTGTTTAAGCTGAAGTTTTTCATTAGTCTTTCCGAGTCTTACCTTAGACATCGTTAAATTGATAGATTGAACCTTTTTAAAGTAGCTTCAGCTGTAAGCTATTGATAACAAAATAATTAACTGAAAGCTGGGGCAAATATTTTGCTGATTCATTGCTTGTTCTCTGCCAATGCTATTATCCCCTGTGATGCCTTAAGTACCCCACAGTGGAAAAGAAATATGAACAGTTTTAACGACAAGCAAATGTGTTGAGCCCCAAGCAACGCCAACAACAACAACAACAACAAGAGCAACAGCAGCAACAGGTGCTGCTATAGCAATCAAGACTTAAGCCGCATAAGGCAATGTGTCTGCCTGTCTATAAAGTCAATGAGCGCATGCATATTTGCATATGAGAGAAAGAGAGAGATAGAGAAAGAGAGAGAGGGGGTGCAAGAGAGAAACACTCAATGATATGCGCGCCTAATGCTGTGCAAAAAATATGTGAGCTGTTTGCATTTTAACCTTTTTTATAATACCCTGCAGTCATTTGAAATGGCTTAAAGGGTATGAACGCATCAGAAAGACATGTGTCCTAAGCAAGCTGCTAAAAAGTCAATGTTAGGCAGTCATCAAGAAACTATTAACTTATTTAGTTTAGAGTATCTTCAAGTCGACTATTGAAAGCAGTGCAATCTTGCCAGCTTTATTTTATAGTTTTCGTCATTTGTTTTTTGCATATCGCTTGAGAGGCAAGAAATGCAAAGAAAAACGAAATGGAGCAACTTTTTTCCAATAGCTTAGCCTAGTGTGCCAGTAGGCCAGGCCAAGCTAAACCAAGCCGAGCCAAGTTAAGCCAGGCAATCGGGCAGCCAGAGGACTTGGACTCACTTAGTACACAAATGCAATGGAAACACATTTCACAATGAACGGAGCAAACAAACGAATAAGCGAACAAACGAACGACACTAAGTTGAGATAATTTTTACAATTTGACAATTTATGCACGATTGGCCCAACTGGTAGCCAAATGACCGATATCGATTGGCCGGCCAGCCAGCCAGCCAGCCAACTGGCCATTGTGTAATTAATTTTGCAAGTCCAAAAGTTCTCTGAACAAAATACAATAAATGTTACGCAGCATTTGCTTCCTGGATGAGGACTGCCTGTGGCTAGGCAGCTAGGCAGCTTGCGGCTGTGGCAACAAATACAATGATATGACGCAAATGCTGCACCACAGTTGCCGTCGTCATCGCCGTTGTTGTTGTTGCAGCCGCCAATTGTCAGCCACCCACCATAAAATATGTATACGGACAGCTTACGACGGTCGGCTAATGTGGCCAATCATTAAACGGGGCATTCTAAAAAGTAAAGCCAACGCCCCAAAGGCAGCAACTACAACAACAACAGCAACAACAACATCGACCATTGCAGCTGGACACTTGCCCAATAACACTTGACGACATGATTGACGAAGCGCCTAACCTTCAGCGTGTTTTGTCAGTTGACGACGCCCACAGTTGGAATTTTGTTACGAGTTGGCAGCGAAGTATCACCTACTAATCTCAAGTGCACACGCCCAAGCCTAACAATAATCTTAATTGTAATTGTGTTTGTAATGTAATGCCAAAATCCGAATGGCCGCCAAATCAACTGACATCGTCTCTACTTTTTTTTGTTTGTGCCTCTTCTTTACTGTTCAATTCACAGCGGTGGCAGCAGTGGCAGCGGCAGCTGGCGGCGTGGATCCAACATACTTCAGCACCACATTTCAAACGCCCGACACATCGTATGCAACATTCAACTATTACAGCAGTCCATACAATACGCGATACACATACATCTAAGGCGACGGGGATGCCAGCCCAACAGTCGAGAGCGAGTTGGGAGTCGAGTCATGTGTAAGTAGTCAGTTAATGAGGCGCCTAGGCAAAATATCTAAAGATGTTGTAAATAAATGTGTAAAATATGCAATTTGTGTTTAACTTTTGTGCGTCGTGTTGTCGTGCAGTCGAGTGTGCAGTCATATATTTTGTTTTTGGCTGTCTTGCAGTTGTTAATGCATGCACAAAACGAAAGATTCAGGAAACGAACTTAAACGCGGGCAAGCGTTAAGCGAACAAATCAACATGTGTTATCACTGCTGTGATATTTGCTATTGTTGCTTGTTGCATAATATTGTTTATGTTATGAAACACACACATAAATGTATATCTATATATATCTATATGTAAGGCCAAATGATACTTATTGATTGGCAACGCCCACGCGAACAGTAGCTTAAATCGTAACGGTAGCTGACATTAAAGTGTGAACTGAATACGCGTCATCGTCATCGTCATCTGGCGTGGAATGTTTATGTGCTTGTTGCTCTTTGATTGCAAGAAATCTGTGCAAGCGTTTGCCTTTGCCTTTGCATTTTACAACTGCATTTCATGCCGCCGTAGACTGTTGCATGCTGCCATTATATTGTTGCCGTTGTCGTTGCAGTTGCTGTGGCTGTTGTCGTTGGCGCTTGCCATTGTATGTTAAATTACGTAGACGCCTAGAATAGGCCAAGCCGGTGCCTGCGGTGTTAATTTCCATTGACACTGGGGCACATTTCCAACAACGGCAAATAAAGCCCCCAATTTTTGTATTTCTTTATTTATTTGCGAGTGTGTGAGTGTGTGCCGCAGTTGTCAGAAGTTGCAGAGCAGCGACGAAATATGAAAAAAGGCTACAGTTCTCTAACGATTGAGCAACAATGCAAAACAACAACAACAGCGCCGCAAACAGATCATTAATACTGACGGCTGCATGATTCACAGCCCGAAACTGGAATGGTCAAATTGTGAATGCAGACGAGCCGCATGACGGGGCGGGCGCCAGGGCCTGTCATAATTTGTATTAAGTGCAACCAGAACGACAAAGGCCAATCGCAATCGAGCACTGCCAATTGGCAGTCATCGCGCCGTTGATAACCTTGTTGACCACAAGAATTTTCAATGCAATGACAATTTGCTGAATGCAAGTAATATTTATGTCTTGTCGCCGTAGGTAATAAATGAAACTATAAGCGTGTCCCACGTATCTAAAAGCTTTATATGCATGTATATATATATTTATATTTATATGAGTGACACATAAAAAAATAATGTTTGAAATTAAGTCTGAGCCTTCAAGCAAGCAACGAATGGAGTTTTGTTTGAATTCGTTACCATTCCTGTTTTTAATTAGCTTTGCTACGTGACTCACAATTTGTCAGCGCACACCTTTTTGAGTGTTTCGTCTAGCAAATCCTGTACATTAATCACGTCGTTAAAAAAAGCTGAACTGACCTTCGGTACATTTGCATTAATTGATTTGTATTTTAATTCCGGTTTCGACACATACCAAAAAGTTTAAAGACCCTTTCGAAATGAGCCCGGCAATTCTATATATAATTAGCATAATTTGCATTGTCTGATTGTTTTAATTGTTTTCGTTGCGCTGATTGCCTTTCTAAACATTCATATCGTGCGAATTACGAATACCGGTTTGTTTGTTCTAAACGAAGAGAAGAAACGGAAAAATCAAAAAACCGTTTCTTTGACATGCAGACGTTTTTCAGCACTCATACATTGAAAAATAAATTATACTTTAAAGTAAGTTGGCAGCTTCAGCAAGTAACTATCGACCTGCCTCCCCATCACTTCTTATTTGGCGAAGATTCTAGACCACAGCGACGAGAAATAGTTATAAAATATTAAAGAAAAATATGGAACAATGTTATAACAGAGGTTGTGGCCAGCTGTTTGACCCAGTCACCAATTCTGATGGTAAGTTATAGATTTAAATATAATATAGAATAGAATATTTAATACTTACAGCACGTTGTTGTCACAGATTCTTGCCGGCATCATCCGGGGGCTCCATTTTTCCACGATGCCTACAAAGGATGGTCATGTTGCAATAAAAAATCGGTGGATTTTACAGAATTCCTTAATATTCAAGGCTGCACATTGGGCAAACATTCAAATATTAAACCGCCCGAACCGGAAAAACCTGCCAAAGATAAAGATGAGGACAAGACTGTGGAAGTTAAAGTGCGAGCACCCATTAAGGAATCACTGCCCAGACCAGCGATCGAAACGCCTTTTACTGTCCTACAACCAACAGTAGCTTCAGCATTGAAGGATACCATTGATGCATTAAAAGTCGGCAATGCTGCTGCGCCAGTTGCAACAACAGGCAGCGATGGGTAACTAGAATTTCAATTTAAAATTGTATAACACTATAATATAATACATATGATATTTATGTATATATTAACATCTTTTAGAGCCGTTGCTGTAGGAACAATCTGCAAAAACAATGGCTGCACTTACTCCTATACAAGCACAAGCAGCGATTTTGGTGAATGCACCTATCATCCTGGAGTCCCCATATTTCATGAGGGCCTGAAGTTCTGGTCATGCTGTCAAAAACGTACCTCAGATTTTGCTCAGTTCATGGCACAAAAAGGCTGTGTCTACGGCCAACATAAATTTACTAAGGATGTGAGCTATTTGAATACGACCAACTGCAACTTTCGGCTAATCTATTACTCTTTTGCAGGACGACGACAAAAAGGTAGTTCAATGCCGATATGATTGGCATCAGACAGCTTCAAATGTTGTTGTCGCTGTCTATGCCAAAAAATATCATTACGCGGAAAGTGTCGTCGAAGTAAACCCTATTCGCTTGCATGTTATGCTGGTCTTTCCAGAGCAGGAAAATGCCAAGTTTGACTTGGACTTGGAACTACGAGGCGTAAGAATTCAAAGTCTGAAATACGTCAAACTTGATTTTACCCACTTCACTTATTTGCGCAGATCATCAATGTACAAAAGGCCTCCGTCCAAATGTTCGGTACTAAGGTTGAGATTACATTGCCGAAATTGGAGCCAGGATCATGGTCAAATCTTAATTTTCCACGAGATGTGCTTCCAGCAGCAAAAAAGGATACTGATCAGAGCAACCGAAAAGCAGATGACAGCGACGACGAGTTCTTCGACTTAGACGACATTCAACCTGTTCAAAGTTACGGACTTAAATTGTCTGAAATGAGTTTGGAAAATCCCAACGGATTGGATTGATAACACGCTAGCATTTTATTTGTTAAACTAAATAGAGCCACCATTGAGAGTTAAGCTGTTTTGTTTACAATACACAAGTATGCCTTACATGACTTTTATTTTAATATCGCAGAATGGCTTAATCATCATCGTCATCGGCTCCAGGCACCCAATCCTCATCGTCGTCATCATCTAAATCCAGTTCACCAATATCTTGGAACAATGTTTCATCAATTTTAACATTCTCAAGATTTTCGCCGGCCTCCAACAGAAATTTGATGTCTGATTCGTTCAATGTGTTATCGCACATAAATAGCTCCCTCCCTGTTAGTTTCTTGCTATCATTGTTCTTCTCTCGCTTGGCAGCAATACCCGTGCTCTCTTCAAAATCTAGTTTCCATTTCATAAATGTCTCGACAGACACTCGCGTGCCCTCAAATTTCTTTCTTTCCGCTTCTTCGACTTCTTGGACCTTGCGCGCCCGTTCATCCTCCTGGGTTTTCTTGTGTTCGTCCCACTGCACATTTAGCCATTCCTGTGCACTACTCACTAATGAAAATATCATCTCCATGCCAATGTTTTCCTCAATTGACTTGCGCAAGTGTTCCAGAAGCTGTGCTTCGAAATTGTCTTCAAAATTTTCAGCTTCGTCAATTTCCACCAACGGCGCTTCATCTGGATATATTTCTGTGTACGTAAACACAAGTTTGCAAGCTAAACCTTTTTCACTGTCTTCCGCTGCATCGGCATTGTACTCCTCCGTGGCAATGGGAATTTGAAATTTGTGAAATGGCTCAGTTTGGAGAACTGCAAAAATGAGTTGATGATCATACTTTTGTTTTGCTTGAATTCAATTTGAGTTACCTTCCATTTCGCCACAATAAATGGAGTCAAGGGCTTCAACCTCATTGACCTGATCTTCCTTATAGTTTCGGCTCATTGTAATTATTATTGTATACAATTAAGAAATAAATAGAAAAATGCCCGAGATGCCGTTTGTATTCGGTTTACCTTTTAGGTTATTTGGTAGAATAGTCTGGCAACGCTCAGACGGTATGATGCCACATGTCAACAATCTGATATGATGCTATATACTAATAAATATTAAACTTTACTAAATAGAAAAAAATTCTACGTAAAACAAAAACAAATAAAATGTTAAGTAAAACAAAGAGTAATATTATTAATAAATAAAAATTACTAAAATACCACTTACAATAAAACATTTCTTTCATGCAGCTTGAACGTGACAATTTTGCGCTACCACATCAGCCAACTCAGAGTTGCCACACCAGTTTATTTTTATGTCTTAAAATATATTCAAAAACTGTTTAAATGAAAAACTACATATTTCAACTTATACTATAAACTACAAATCCCATGAAATTAAATAAATATTATATGAGTACGTTTTTTCGTCAATTAGTAAGAGCAGTCGTCCAGCAACCAATGTTTGGAAAAAGGAGCCCTATATTACCGATCTGGTGTTTCCAATCTGAAAAAAATGGTAAATCAGGAATTATATTGGAGTAACAAGTTAAGTAAACGAAAACTTCAAATATAAATATACTTACTTGTGTACTGTAATAAGGTGGTTTGCATCAACTTTCGTATCTTGTGGAGTTAAGAAACAATACTGTCTGTTAGGAAAATCCATTCCCTCTTGAATCAGCAATTTTGTAATAAAAGTTCTATTCACTTCATCCTACAAATATACAAAACATAAATAATATAATCATGGGACAATTTGATTAAAATATGCTTGATACCTACAGTAAAAACATCGTATTCATCGAGGAAGTAAAATGGATGTGAGGATGTGCTCCATAGTCCTTTCAGTAAAGACACCGTGGTAAATGACCTTTCCCCGCCGGACAAGCTTCTCATATTTGAAGTCCTATTACCACTCGGTGGGTAAACACTGATCTGCAATGTCTTATCTCTATGATTGGGTTCCAGATTGCCTTCAAATTGACGACAGACTAGTGCTTGCTGCATATCAAAAAATATTATAAAGTTGTACATTTAATCCACAAGGCGTATTTAAAGATATTTACCTTGAAGTGAAACTCTACCATGGTGAAGAAATGATAACGTGAACGCTGAAATCGTTGTGCTCTAGAATGATATTCAATGCGTAACTTCTCTACGACACATAAAATATTGTCCAAAATATCCGATTCTGTTTTTAGAATATCACGCAATTTGGATAATTTTTGCTCCACTTCTTCACCATTCAATTTCATCGATTCGTAATGTTTTATTTTTGCTTTATAACGACTAATTTTATCACGGATTTTTTCTTCCGACTTATTTGTTTCAATAAAGTCACCGACTTTCTGTGCTTCCTGGCGCGCCACTTCTAATTCAGCTTCCTTCTCTTTTTTATCTTTTTGCGTTGTTTTAAGTAGCTCGTTAGTTTGTTTTAAGCGTCGTTGGTTTTCCTCAAAATGACGATCCAAGTCTCTAACTCTCCTTTGTAATTCCTGCGATTTCACGTCAATTTCGCCAATTTTTGTATTAAGACTGTCGAGAATACTTTGTTCTTTTTTAGCGTTTTCGTTAACTTGAGTGTTACGCTCGTTTATATCCCGAAGTTGATTTTCTAAGATATTACGCTCTTCGTTAAGTTTTTCTATTTTCTCACGGCTGGTCGTTAAATGAGTTTCCTAAATTGATTACGAAAAACATTATGATCGATTTAAATTAAAGACAATTTCGCATCAACTTACTAGAACGTCAAAAGCAGGGAATTCCCGATATTCAAAGTTCTCTATATCTATAATTTTTTTCATCGCTTTTGTGTTTTCAGTGTGATATGCATTAATCATAGCGCTTTTCGCGCTTATCTCCTGTGCGTCACTGTCCAACTTTTGCTTTGCCATAGCACACTGTGGCTGTAGATTCGCAGCACGCTCCTGCAGACTATTTTGCTCTGTCTTCAGCTGCCGAATGCGATCATCGACATTTACCTGAATAAATCTGGCAGGTGTTATTTGAATGGAGTACATGGCATAGTTGGGGGATGGAGAATATTCAAGCCCCAAGTTTGGAACTAATATGCGAGTCAAATTAGGTGGCACGTTTTCCAAATTCGATGTCAGAGATTCGGCTGTCTCTTTAGATTCTGTCAGCAACACCGTCTCAATGCGTATCGTATCAATAAGATAGTTCATTACGACAGGATCGTCACATCTATCAGTAATAAGAGATAAATTTAGTAAAGATATCTGTTTGAAATCGTAAAAACTTACCTAATTTCATCCATCAACACGGTCGTATTTGAAGATCTACATTGCACTTTATACTTGGAGACATTATAAACCCGACTTGTAAAGGCACTGGTAACAATGGTTGGCATATTGCCACCTGCATACGTTTTTTGGAGCAGAGCTCTAAGGGACATTCTCTCCTTGTCTGTGCTAACTATATACGAGCGCAGGCAATGTGATAATTGATTCTCTATTAGATCCCTATACTTTGGATTAGGTACTGTTATGTACATGCCAATCGGTCCACGCGGCATTAGGTTCGCTTTGCTGCCACTGTATTGAGCACGCAACGTATTCGCCACTTCCATTGCGTGCTCGCCATAAACTGACATTTTGTTTGATTTGTTCCGCAATAGAGACTCCATTTCCCATTGCAGGCTTTCTAAAATAATTATTAAAAAATGTTAAATTAGAAAAAGCAAATAAGGATTCGCATAACGATATTTTACGTACGCTCAACTTTATGCAATTTGCTTAATTCACTCTTTGCAGACTCCAAGCTTTCTTTTGTTGCTGGTAAGCGGTTTCTCAATTCGGTTTGTTCATCCCTGAGCCTAGCAATAAGTTCATTACTCTGCGTCACCTTCTCTTTAAGACTCGCGAGTGCTGCAGCATTCTCTTCCCGAAGCCTTTTGACTTCTGAATAGTCTGCATGGTAGTTATTCATATGCTTTTGACAGCCCTCATAGTTTGTTTGCTCCTCCCTCAAACGTTTCTCTACATTCTTAATGCTTGCCTTAAAGGAGCTGGCTTTATAAAGACAGTCTTGAGCAGTTCGCTTAGCTGCTCTAAGCGTAGCCTCCTGTGCCTGATAATTTTCCATAATTCGCTGCTTGGTTTGCTCAAGTTCTCTAAAAGCAGATTTTATAATATATAAATATTATGTAAAATTAAGCGAATTTGAAGACTTACTGAAGAGCATGAGCGATCCCTTCTTGTGTGCTGTTCTTCTGGGTGGTTTTTTGTGACAGATCAACATTCTTCTTCTCAATTATTTTAAGGGTTTGTTCAATTTTAGTGAGATCGTCCTGGATCTGAGTTACTTTTAACCAAGCCAGCATTGCTGTAGCCTCTTTCAATTGAATCTATATTGGTGAAAATGAAACTTTACGTTTTGCGCAAAACAAAATATTGTACTTCTACCTTAAGTGCCTCTTCATTTTTAATGATTGCCAACTTTTCCTCTTCTTCGTGGCATAAATTTTTCAATTTTTGCATTTTCTAAATATTGTCAAAAGAAAATTATTTTATTAAGAATTAAATTTAATTATCCTTGACATTGCGTTTTTACCATTTTAAGCAGCTTTACATCGTAATTTATATGTTCTCGATGTTCGTGACATTGAGTTAAGCTATTCGCGCATAAATCCAGCTGCGTTGCCTTCATGAACAATTTGTAATTCGATGCGGGCTCTAGACTGTTGTGTTTTGAAATGTATCATTATGTTTGAAGAAGACTTATTAATTATAAACTCACTCTTTGAGAAATTCACGCGATGCTTCCTGATTGAGCACAAAGATCGGATTCTCAACACTTATGCCGAAGTAAAGAATCAGCCGCCGTATCTCATCTAGTTTTCTGGATACTGTTCTGTTATGAGAGTCTTTTATCTCATATGTCGAAGATGATTGACGAATTTGCCGTACGATCGTGATGTGTGGGCCATAAATGTCGAACTTAAATGGTCGATGTCCCATATTGGATAGTGTAAGCTCAATGGATGCATTTGTCTGTCCATTTTTTATTAGCTCTGAAACAAGATAATTTTAAGTTTATCAAGAGTGCTATACAATATCTATTGAAACTTTTAAAATGTGTCTAGTTCTATTAGTTTACGAGACAACAGATGCTTGATCACATTAAGCTCAACGTACTCTGTATGCTGCTTGCGCGACTTGTGTTGCGTGCACTGCCGGCCAATCCTAGGGCAAGAGCTGCGATCACTGCGCTTTTGCCGCTGCCATTGCTGCCAACAAGAAAATTAATATTTGGTCCAAACTCAATGTACAAATGGGAATGGCACATAAAATTTATTAGACGTATAGAAATAATCTTTCCACAACTTTTAAATGCACTCCGAGGCGTCACTCCGTACTATAAAAACATTTAATTAATTGAATTTTTATATGAATATAACATATGCATTTACCGCAGGATGTTCCCAGGAAGAATTTGCATTAGTTGTTTGCTTGCGAACCACTCGAGATGTAGATGAGTCCATGAGCATTTCATCGTCGTCATTGTTTGCTGTGCGCCGCTTTGCTTTCTTTTTCTTTGGTGGCGAAGTTGAACCGTCACTCTCTGATCCTGAGGACAAACTTTTATTCCGAACTCTAGTGCGACGCATCTTTGGTTTGCCTACAGGTTTTTTTTGAAAGAAATTTGCGTGAATCAGTTTGAGTTAGCATTCGTTTGTTTATAAGCGGCAGCCACATAATTTGCGCGGGAATTTTTGATTATTTCGTTCTTTTGGGCACATTTAGTTGTATTTATACACATATCTTATATCTTCATTAAACTTACGCTATATTACGATAACTTAGAAATCGGCATAAGCTATGCACACTGACCGCGTTATTTTTATAATTTAATACGCATTTCACCAAACGCCGCCACAAAGATTGCAAAATGTTTACAAGCTGGGTGTGACCAGAGTACATAATGATGATAATACTGAAATTAGCAAAGCAAATGCGTCCTAGGTCTTTATTAAGCACAAATCACTTAAGTTTATAAAGAATAACGGCTTTATCATATATATCTTTCCTTAAATCTTAATTTTTACACTTTATTTTAAAATTTATTTGTAATATATTATCATAAACTATTAAGGATTATGGAAGATTTCTCTGTTCAACAACGAAACTTGATTTCAGGTAAATACAATGCAAACAGAACTTTTGTTAGTAACGGAAATATATATATTTATATATATATATATTTATACACATATATATATATATATATATATATATATATATTTAATAAATGTATTCAATTTACATTAGTACAAAAACAACACTTTCACTTAATGGTTTTATAGGGAAACTCCCCGCCAATTGCATTTTGCAGATTTAACTTGTTATGTATATCACGCCATGTAGATGATTTCTGTGCCAAAATCTTCATATTTCCAATTATATACAAGCCATAGCGGGCACGGGACATAGCTACACAAATTCGATTCTGGTCAGACAAGAAGCCTATATTTCCATGTGTATTACTGCGCACCAACGAGAGTACAATTATATCTGCCTCCAGTCCTTGGAAACTATCCACAGTAGTAACGAAAACGTCTTTTAAATTTGTTTTCTTTGATAACTGCAAGGAAATTTGGGTTTACGTTAATAGCTTACCGATATATTTTTAGCAAGTCTTACTTTCTTTTTGATTGACTCGACCTGCATGGTGTAGGGTGTGAGCACAACAACTTCCGTGTTCTTGTAGCCGCTCACCTCGACCAAATGATGCACAATTTCAGCCACTTTTTTCGTCTCATAGCCATTGCATAAAAAACCATCATGCACTTGGGTCTCAAGCTCTTGATGTTGAAGGAAATATAGATTCAACCACATATTGCGAACAGAGGGAAAATCATACACCGAATCATGACTCAAAAGCTTTTGATATATTAGAGGACAGAGCAATTCGGCAAATGTATTACGCATACGATATTGAATATTCAAGACATTCACATCGAAATTCGAGCGTATCAAACGCTCAAATAATGAATGAGATACAGTTGATTGCTTCAGTCCTTTTATATAGCTTGTATATGGCTTTAGCTGCATGTGATCACCAATCATAATCACATGCTCGGTGTAGGGTGTTAAACAGGGCAATGTGTGAGCCTCTAGAATCTCCGCAGCTTCCTCAAATATAACTGAAATAGAGCAGAAATAACAAATCTTGTTCATTACATACATCATTCATTATTCGCTTACCGATGCGAGTTTTCAAAAACCGAAAGACAAAATTCATGCGCGCAGCACATGTCGTAGTCATGGCCAGGACATTCTTTTTAATAATCAAATAATGCTGGAATATCATTCGTATACAGTTGAGCTTCTCCTGTGCATTCCAAACCAAGCGCTGTGTAGCCAATATTTCCGGATAGGCCTTATCGGTATCATTAAAGGTAGCATAGAGTGTCTGTAGGCGCTTGAAATGTTCTTTAATCTCCAGATTTACCATCCAGTATAGTCGCTTTAGCCTTGGATTGATCAACTGCATGTTGGTATCGGCACGGGAATTAAATTTGGCGATTTCCGGCAGCCGAGATTGGCAACCAAAGCGGACAATGCTGCTGGTGAACGAGCTAAGCTTCAGCAAAAACTTATCCAGTGAATCGTTTGTGTATGTAACCACAACAATGGGCGCGCAGAATTTAGCATGCTCCAAGAAGGTCTTTATCAGCTGCAACGATAAATGTGTCTTGCCCGTACCGGGTGGACCTTGGATTAGATTAAAATTCGTATTCAGAACACGTTGAAAGGCCTCGTGCTGGGACAGATTAAGCGGCATTTTGCGTAATTTGTTCACAAACTTTTGACTCTCGTAGACTTTTGGTGGTTGTGTGTGATTCAAATATGCTGGTGATTTAGTTCTTGTCAGACCGTGCACTATATAATCAGACATAGGGAAGTTTATAACATTGCTGTTGGTCAAATATCTATAGGCCTTCTGATACGGCTCAAAGTAGACGGGTGTTTCGAACATGATCAACGATTTGCCATAAATGTTGCCAATGTTAAACTGATGCACTATAGTGATAGCAATCTGAAAGATATATAGCATACATAGCCAACATATAATATAAAAGTTTTCTAGTTGCATTTGTCGTTAAGTACTCACGTAGCCTCGACGAATCTGTTTCACATCAGTACCGACTACAGTTGCCAGTATAAGATTATCAAAATCGTAGCTGGTTGTAAAGCAAAAAAGAGACCCAGTCTTAATCTTTAACAGAGCCTCCTCTAAAGATTTCTCGCACTGAACAGTCTGATCAGATGTGCTATTACGCTGCGCTGCTAAGACATCAACAAATAGGAGCTTGCTGCTATGAGCATTCGGAAAATGCATATTCAGCTTAATTTGAACCTCCTGGAAGGCGATTTGTAGCGGCATTACATTCTGAAGACTGCGCTTACGATGAATCAGCCGTACCAATTCACGAAGCGGAAGTAAAAACTGCTGGCGAAGAAACAAACGTTGGCTGTTTATGTACTGAGTCGAACTAATGTAGCTCATCGATAGTTTCGCTGCATGAAGGCAGGTGTCGCCATTCTCCTTCAGCCACGATTTAAGCTCTTCCAAGCTCGGGTATATCTAAAAGATAAGATAGATTAGATATTGTTTAATATGCAAGCAAAACTTACCTCGGCTGCAGGATTTGGCTTTAATAATGCATCCACATCAACACTAAACAGACAATGAAGCTGTCGTAGAAACTCTCGGCATATCGGACGCTCCTCTATGATTGGATTATTATTGTTTTTTAAGTTAGTCCAAATTTTAAATAAAATGTCCATGCCGTTCTCATCCAAAACGCCAGCCCTTTGAGCCTGCAGCAAAAGTGTTTGCATATGGCTGATAATGCTGTCCACACGATTCATATCAGTCCACATAGTACGAAAGCTTTTAGTACACAATTTACGCACCAATTCTTCGTAGTGGACTATGAGTGGAGTGCAAGCAGCAAATTTATAAAGCATTTCAGTGTGAAAGCCAGGCAATTCGAGTTCGCACAATGTAACCAAAATGCGAGTATAAATTAATACGCGATCGATATTATCGTTAGGCCCTATTTGATCGATAAAGAAGTTTGGCTCAATTTCAGTGGCCAAGTAAAGAAACATGCCCAAGGGCTGCAGATTAAGGATCTCCTGAAGACCCTCGGTTGGAATTTTGGATGGCACTACCGTTTTTGCATGATGCCAATAATTATAATAACGCCTGTGTCCCTGCACCTGATGTCGATCGTTGGCATTCTTGCGCGTTAGACTGCGCAATATTTTTTCTTTATCTGCCTGAAACCATTCCCAGCAGTCGTAATCTTCGCCAAAAAGCTCAACCATCGTGATCGCTTAAATTCCGGTTTTCCCCTTTAAACAAATTAGTCTATTGGAAGTATAATGGATAATATAAAAGTATAAATAATTTGTTATATTTGCAGCGAAAAAATATGTGTTCTGACTTACAAACTTGACACTTGCTCTTCTTTATTATTAACTTAACAGTTATTGTATTATAAGAAATCTTTTAATATTAAAACTTGTCAAATCTATAAATACCGCGCACACATTGATCGCAGCAAACAGTTTTTAGTGTGACCAATACTATAAAAACGAATATAGAACAAAGTTGATTTTACCTATGCCAATTCGGTGATATATTATATTTGTAAGCACACGAATCACAATATGCAAAGTTTACTAAATTACTTTATTTCTTCGACTGAGTGAAAGTTCATAAACTGCTATTAAATTAAATGCAGCGGTGCTTTGACAACTTCGGTAGAAAAGTAAATTTTCAAAAGTAGTTATCGCATTCATGAACTACTTTAAAAATTATTGTTATCAATATCGTGATCGAAATATGGCACTTCGCTATTATCTAAAGGAAACGATAGGCAACTCTAAAACTGCATGCGAAAGCCGGTATTCCCATTAAATTTGTGGAACTGGAAGCACGTACACAATAAATTCTGCAATGTCTGGCTCCGATGACGATTGGTTTAGCAAGGACGAGGATGAGCTAGTTCAAAATCTAAACCAAAGGATAAAGCAACAAGTTGACAATGAGACACACGAAGAGCGCATTGACTTTTGCAGCAGACCTGGTAAACAAATAAATAGATTAATTTAATTTTATAATATATAATATACATTTTAAATAGATAATTATGTCCAGCAGCTTAGTTTGGAAGAAACTAAAGATGCTAAGAGTCCAGCTCGTTTTACCACTGTTGAGTTTGCTAAGGCACTGAAAATGACGGCACTCGAAATGTTTCTCTATTTTATGTCCGAGAACCGTGATCTCTTCAAGGATCAGATAATGCCCAATGACTCTCACAAACGGGTTCTTCAGTATGTGCAAATACTGACGAGACTCTGTCAACTGGAAATGGGCGGTTTTGATGAACAGCTCCTTTCTGGTTTTGCCAGGCAATCAGTGCTGTTCGACCACATGAAGCGCTTTGCTCTGAAAGTCTTTAAACCACGTTCTAAAGATAGTTTAGATGACGAAAGTCAAGTGCTGTTGTGTGGCATAAAAAATTTGCTAATTCGCGCTCACAAGATGGGCAAACTACAAAAATCTGGATACGAGCTAATCGAGCATTTTAAAAAGCTAATCGCCCTTTGTCACACGCCTCAACTATTGGAGCATCCGTTGTGTGTGGGTTTCGCCAAGGAATTGGAAGTCCTGCCCAACGTTTCACATGTGAAAAACGAAATATATCCCAAACTAGATCAATTACTACGAACTGATGCCGTCGGTACTGAAGCAAATATTGCGCCTGCACTCGACTCTGCCGACGTTGCTCGCTATATAGATTGCCAACGGCAACTGCTTTGCGAGGACTTTACGCAACCACTGCGTGAATACGTTCAGCATCTTCGTTCCAAAAGTAACATCGATGAATTGGTGGCGGAACAACTACTTTTCCCGCATACACAGCTAATGTTGAATCCAGAATTTGCCGAAGCACAGCAACATAGTCTAATTTTCATGCAATTAATGTCACCTCGACAAGAGGAAATTAAATATCTAAAGAATGTTAAGGGGGGAGCTTTGCTGTGCTTCACCACCAGTTATGATTTCGATAATCTTATTTTGGCCACTGTTTCATATACTAGCCGCCTAATGTTAAATCAAGGCTATGTAAGTTTGTTTTAATAACCCTTTACTGACCGACTTATTAACTGAAATATGTTTTAGCTAAATGTGGAGGTTGTCAAGCAGTACAATATTGGTAATATCTATGGCAAACCATTAATCATGTTCGAGACGCCGGTGTTCTTTGAGCCTTATTTGCGAGTCCATAACTATCTAAGTACCTGCAGCGCGGACAATTTTCCTATGCGACGCTACATTGTCGAGGGCCAAGTGAGAGCGGTACTATAAGTTTGATTATGGAATAATTAATTGTTACAATTTCGCAGGTTGATATACGGCCGCCAGCTTATATCCGTCCAGACTTCCAGCCGCCTCTGCAGACGAAACTGAATGAGTCACAGCGAGCGGCTTTTGGTGCTGCTCTTCTCAACGAATTCTGTCTTATACAAGGACCACCGGGCACTGGCAAAACACATTTATCCGTTGAGCTGGTCAATACGCTCTTGCAGAATGCCAATCGCCTTAAATCGGGGCCCATTATTGTGCTGACGTACTCAAACGACTCGCTGGATAAGTTCCTGCTGAAGGCCGCCCAGTACACGGACAGCATTGTACGTTTTGGGAATCAGTCGCGTTTGCCAGAAATCGAGAAATATAATGTGCGCGGACTAACCGATGATCAGCTGGTGCCGCCGCGCCTCAAACGGGTATGGTGGTTGGCCAAGTGCGAGTTTAAGGAACAGTTTGAGCAACTGCAGACTCTGCATGCCGATTTTGATGGCACCGATCCAGCCTATTTGCTAATACAGTCCAAGCTAGAGCAATTGCAGGTGGTTGGTGAAAAAATTAACACGCTGCGCGCAATATTTCATTTCTATCAGGCACGCGATAAGGCTCTGCTAGCAATGACGACATCGTGTGCTGCCCGCCTCAACTTTTTGTTCCGTCTGCTTGAAAGCAAGTGTGTCATCTTTGAGGAGGCCGCCGAGATAGCTGAACCGCATGTCCTAGCTTGCCTAACGCCTTACACGGAGCACGTTGTACTGATTGGCGATCACAAGCAGCTCCAGCCACATACAGGCAATTATACGCAGCAGGGACTGCAAGTGTCGCTCTTCGAGCGCTTAATCACACATAATTTTCCGGCAAGTGTGCTCAATGTGCAGTATCGTATGCGTAGCTGCATTGCTGAGCTCCTGGTACCCATATTCTATGATAAACTAATCAGCGATGATTCGGTAAACGCCTACGGCAATGTGACAAAAATGGCAAGCAACATGTACTTTGTCAATCACACCCATCCCGAGGAGCAGATGGTATGAAATACTTTATTGATTATTTACCTTGTTTGCTATTGATATTCTTATAATTTATAGGTGGACATGTCTTTTATAAACAAACACGAAGCTGAAGAGTTGATGAATCTATTGAAACACTTGAGATATGACCCCAGCAAAGTTGTGATACTATCGCCCTACAATGCCCAAATTGAATATATTAAATCGCTCCTAAACAGAAAGAAGCTATACAAGTACTTGGTTACAAGTGTGGATAGCTACCAGGGCCTTGAAGCTAACATTATTCTATTGTCGCTGGTGCGCAGCAATCCGGCCGGACAGATTGGATTTCTCCGATTGCCGAATCGCGTTTGTGTGGCCCTGTCGCGTGCTCGTTTGGCGCTCTACATGATTGGGAACATGGATACGCTGCAGCATGGCAATCCCAAACTTTGGGGAGCAATCAATGCAAAGCTGCGCGCAGCAAATGCTATTGGCCCTGCCTTTCCATATTCCACAGAAAGCGTGGCTTAGACAATATATTGTGACAACGGCTAAACGCTGCTCGCATTATTCTATTCTTGCATTTTATAAATAAAATATATTTGTTATTTTAGTTGTTTTATGTTTGCTTTTTAATCTAATTGCAGTTTCTTTTTCAATGATTTTAATTTTCTAATCAAAGTTTGCCGCAAGACGAATGAAATTGATGAATTTGATTTTCTGTCATTAGTTATACACTTAATATTCACTATATTGAACCTGTTGTTGCTGTCAAACCGATTTTTTCTTTCGTTTCTTGTTGTCATTTTTGTATCTTAACGCACGTTTTGTTATTGTTGCTATTGCTACAATTTAAGTGGTACTTTTGAAAAATTGTACGTATGCTGCCCGTTTGTTTTTTCTTTGTCTTTGATTATACGATATTATACTGCGTGTTAACAATATTTAGAATTTGTTGCTGCTCTCATATAGATTGTATATACATAATGCATATATACATATATATATATATATATATATATATATATATATATATATATTGATATATATATATATATATTCTTTTGTTGTCCTGTCAACTCTTTATGTACTATATATTCTTATTGTAATTTCTTAGTTTAGTTCAAAATTGCAGACTTCGTATCTGAAGTGGCGGCCACTATTAGATATAGTATGTAGGTATATATATATGCATAAATCTGAATGTACATCATGTTTCGAGAACGCAGCTCTCTACAACTATGTATGTATTCGTTCAACGTTTCTATGATTATATATATATATATATGTTTGTATGTATACATAGTTTATATAATCATTTATGTGGCCCAGTTATTGTTTGCGAATTAAGGCAATTTTGAAAATTATCATCAATTGTATTTTTGAATCGGCTTTTTTCTTGTTACTTTGTTTTTTTTTTTGTTTTTGCTTAATTTTTACAAAATAGTTTCTTTTCTTTTGCATTTTTTACTTATAGTTAGCTTATTTTGTTTTGTTTTGCGATTTTGTGTCTATTATGTATGCATGTGTGTGTGTATGTATATGTATGTCTGCGAGTCAGCTTATGAAATATACTACATTTTGTTTTACAAGAACGTAATTTAATTATGTGTATTTATATAGTTTATTCGATGCTAAAACTGAAACTAAAATTGATAAAATAGAACGAGAAACGCGGCGTGTAAGAGCAGCAAGTAAATTGTGTTTGTAGACAGTTCCGCTGCTCCGTGTGCGTGCCAAAGACTCTCCATAACATAATTGGTCGAAATTTTGGATTCTCATCCATTATGGGAGGTAGCATTCTGAACGCACTTCGACGAGCCAGCGCACAAAGTAGCGGATCCACTAAAACTTCGTCATCTTAGAACTCATAAGTGAATGTAACTGAATTATGAATAAACGGCGACTTCGACGTCGAAGTTGGTCGTTTTTTGTTTTTTTTTTTGTTTTTGGTGATTTATGGGGAAAAAGAGGTATGTTGTGTTTTTCTTTCGTGTGTTGTTTTTTTCTTCCCTTTCTAGGCTCATCAAATTGTTGGCGTGGTTTGCGGTTTGCGTATTGATCCATGGGTAGCTGGGCGGTGGCTGCTGTTGCTGTTATTGTTGTTGTTGCTGTTGTTTTGATTGTTGCTAGAGTTTCTGCTGTTGCTGTTGCCGCTGCTGCTGCGTCCCCGATAACTGAACTGCAGCGATCCGCCGCTGCCGGAGGCTGTCCGAATGGTTGTTGCTGTTGTTGTCACCATATTCGTTAGCCTACCGCGCCGTGTCTATTGCTACCGTCGATTGATCAGCCCATTAGGTGGCGCCTGTTGGCTGGCAGTGTGCATCAGCTCCAGTTCCACCAGTAGTGGAAAATGATCGGAAGGTATATGCGGGTGCGGACAGCCGACCACTTTGTTTTCTCGCAGCCAGTCAGTGGAAACAGGTCCCAGCAGGCCCAACGGCACCATTCCGGTTTTTGTGTAGAAAATATAATCAATGATGCCCTTAAAATCGAACGTATAGTTGGTATGCGGCATAATGTCCTCGCTGTAGGCGGAGGCAAGCTTAAAGGAATGCGTAAACTCGTTGGTATCGTTGGAGAGTAACCGTTGCAGGCATAGCTTGTAGCCCATGTCTTTGAAGTCTAAATGATCCATTGCAACACGCCCCTTGCCTAAAAACTCCACCACGCCCGAGTCCGGCAATGAATTGAAATCGCCGCAGAGTAGCAACTGAACACTGTTCGAGTCGTTTTTGTGACCCGGCCGAAAGCTGTGGCTGGCTTCATCGATGATCGTCTTCAGTTCGTTGCTAAGCATCATCGTCTGTATGAGTTTGACATCACAGAATTCGGGATCCCAATGTATGTGGGCGGTGCACACGAGCAGCGGCTGTGAGATCTGCGTTACCTCGGACATAGGCTCCCAGGCCGTTTCCTTCACTTTAAGCAGGGCGGCCAGACCAATGTTATCTTTGGGCATCACACGATTTAGCATGTTGTCCGAGCCCTCCGCATTGGCCATGGCCAGCTGATTAAATTCAATTAGGTGTTCCTTGATCAGCGTAAATCTGCAAGTAAATTCAATATTTTCATTCACTGAAATCACAAATTAAGTTCGACTTACTTTGATGTTCGGAAAAATATCGCACATCCGTCAACGTATTTTCTTTCTAGTTCCGACATTGTCTTAGCGCGCGACTTGGGCGAGAAGATGCCCTCGTATCCATCGTTCTTTAGCTCGGGCAGGAAAAAGTGATAGAACTGTTCAGTCTCGATCTCCTGCAAGCTTATTATATCCGCCGCATAATGCCTTATCTCATCAATAATAGACTTCTTCCGATACTCCCAGCACAGTGCCCACGATGGACAATATCCGTACATCTGCCGCGTCGCATACTTGTCACAGAGCACATTGTAACACATAACCGTAAATATGCCTATAAAAGAAACACATTTAGTGGATCATACTTATCTTATACTAGTATACTAGTAACATGAAAAAAGTCTACAAAAAAAGAGATCTTTGAAGAAAAGGATTTTGCACGAATCAAATGTAAAATTAATTAAGCAACAGATATTTATATATTTGAATTTTTACTTTTTTTAATTATTAATTCCGGGTATGTGCAAATACTTCACGATAAATGATTCCCGATCAAAGTTAAGGTTGATATATGGAAGTTTCAACTCTAATTTATATTTCCAAATGATTGAAAAAGTCAGATTTCCGAATAAAATTAAAAATAAAAATGGCAATATATTTATATTCGTGTTCAGATAGCGCGATACTGAGCGAGACCTTGAGCATTCAAATTGAAAAAATTATCGTATTATCGATACATAAAATATACATCGATACATAAATATTTAATATGTTCCTATTTGGCTTTAAAGGTTTGCATAAACTTGCATTGTGCATTGAATTTTACTTTGAACAGTTACTTACAGGCTGGTCGCGATTTGTTGGGCTTGGCGAGCGGCAGCCATGGCCTCTGGGGCGGTGGATTGACAGTAACTGTAAAGAAAAAAGAGAGCAAACGTTAGTCGCATATTCAATGAAATGGTTGGGGGGAAAAGTTAAAGAGACGATTATGAAATTAGCCCCCGTACACCCGCACACAAACACACACACACACACATACTATCGCACACCCCACTGACACACTGCGGTCTCTTCTTCGTTGCCGTTACTGTTGTAGTTGTTGCGATAGTGTTCGCGAGCGGTGAAAGTGACATGCAAAAGCAATCAAATAGCTTCCGCCTTCGGTTTGCTAGCAAATGGCAGGCAGGCAGGCAGACAGATAGACAGGTGGCGTCGTCGCTGGCGTTGTATTTATTTCCACTCTACCTGGGTTTCTCCAATTGCTTGCGACCTGTGGCTGCGCCTGTGACTTTGGGTGCGCGTGCGGGTGTGGGAGGGCAACGACGCAGCGTGCCACCCCACCGCCACCAATCCTGTTATTCGCCGTTTTTGTTGCCGTCAACTGCCGCTGAAGCTGCTGCAGCGGCTTACAACATTTTCTTTGGGGATGTTGCCGTTATTTTCGCTATCGCTTCTTCTGCTTGCCGATTCTATTATCGCCTGCCTATTTGGCGCCGTTATGCGTGAGCGTGTATTGTATGTGTGTGGAACGTGTTGCTGCAGTTTGCTGCTGCTATTGTTGTTGCTTGGGTCGTCTGCTCAGCAGCTGATCGCGCGCTCTTCGTACTCAATTGACTCTCACGAACGGGCACCGTCGTCGCCGCATTTGTTGTTTGTCTTTCTTTTTCGCTTTTGTTTCACTTGGTCTGTGTGTGTTAGTGTGTATGTGTAGTGTGTGAGAGTTTGAATTTTGTTTTGTTTTGATTTGGAAGACACTGCGATTGTTTTTCGTATTTTGCTTTTCTGTTAATTTTGTGCAAACGGACGAAAGACGATGAAAAACTTTCACTACTTTTTTTATTTGTTTTTACTTTTTTTTTGTTTTTTTTTTTTAATAAACTTTGTGATTTTTCATAATTTTGTTGTTGCTTTGGTTGATAGGCGATTGCGTTTTGTTTTAACTTAGATCTTAATGCCTTTTGATCATTCAACTGCCTCCAACGTCCACGTTAACAAAATTTGAATTGCATTTTAATAGCTCAGCTTGGTGGAGGATACTCCTCAATAGATTTTTTTATATTTTTATTATGGTTTCACAAGGTGCAACAAATTATTAAATAACGAAAAAAATAATGTAATGGTTTTTGTGGGTGTATAGAAATGTACATAGCAACTAAATAATAATAAAAAAAATATTTGACAAAAGACTTTGGCAATAAACTCAATGCCAACTATTTTACTCAGTTTTTAGGAGCAGAGGTAGCGCAGAATTACGAAACCAGCCGCAACGCCCACACAAAAACAGTCAAGTCGATAATTTCGCCAAACATATGAGTAACTACCAGAAGAAGTGAAAAACACAGCAATTTTTTCCTGATTGGTTGAAACGCTTTTGACGGGGGTGTGAAAAACTTAAGCACACAAATATGACTATACCCAGATAAATGGGTTACAAAACTGTCAAATATATAAAACACTAGTGGCGTTTGCGGTCGTGCTAAGCGCAAAAAAAAAAAAACACGCATTAATTTGAGGAATGAATGGATTCTTAGAGTCGCATCTGTATTGGCATGTGTCATATTCTCCAAGAGCTATTTCTTTTAGTGAGTAACTGCGGGTTGTATCCCATTCTGACTAACAAGCCAGTAAATCTTAAGTATATGTACTTTTAACGAAATGAAACGTGTGCTTTGTTCCACATCGGAGTATGGTAAGTCGAGAAAAAAAACTATCTGAACTATAATATACTAATATACTTTTAAGTATATGCTACAATTTAAAGGCTAGGAAGCCAAAATTATGACAAGTTAATTGACCTCCTCCATAGATTGATTAAAATTGATCAATTTACACCCAAAGGGGGCGTGGTAATTAAATAATAAAAAAATATTTATGCTATCAGAATCAATTCTGCAGATTGACTCTGTTGATAAGCTTTATAGATAGAGCTGGTTTACTGTTTAGCTCTTGAATATTTTTTAAGAGCATTAAATATTCGGTTCAGGGTTGAGTTAATTCCAACCGACTTATTACAGTTTATTATTAAATTCGAGTAGGCATAAGATCACTTTTAGTCTGTTTAATACCAAACATAATTCTCTCCTTTAATATTCTACTAAAAGAAACAATTATCTGGCGGATGTTTGATGTAATATGTCGCTATAACATATATTTATATATAATTCTTATTTCTTTTACATATATTTTTAACAATTCACTCATTTTGATAAACTATATCAAATATATATATTTACATATATACATACATATTTATATAACAGATATCGGATCTGATTTTTTGGTAGGTACAACAAGAGATTATTTTTATGGCTACCACAGCCCTTTCTACAAAAAATTTTTCATGGTCGTTGCCTGTTGCTGCATTCCCGAACAAAAGAAATTAAGAAGAGAGTGAGGGAGAGAGAAAGAAAGAAAAAAAAAACAAAAGTTCGAAAGGCAAAAACCCAAGTGAGCGTATCGAAAAAGAAAGTGAAATTCAAATTGAAATTTGGTGCGATTAACAACAAACGGCAACTCAACTCGGGTAGCCTGATCGCTGGCTTGGGCTTTGGCTGTGGCTGTGGCTGTGGCTCCAGTGAGTGCCGCCTGTAACCCGACCCTTCCTTTCCCAGCAGCAGCTCGTCAACATTTTGTATGCACAACATGCGATGACGACGACGACGACGACGACGTCGATGTGGAGAAGGCTTGCTCTGAATAGAAAACAAAAGTCAACTCGCCACTTGCCACAGTTTGAGCTGCAATTAGATAACCCGTTTCATTTGCACCACTTTTTGTGGCAACAGCAGCGACGGCGGCAGCAGCAACATCAACTGCAAATGACTGCCAATGTTCAATGGCGTTGGCCGCCAGTTGATCGCTGCGACTGCTACAACTAAAACCCAATCTTGCATTGAAATCATAATAATGAAACTGAATTTAAGGTGCACCTCACACACACAGAGACACACTTCCATGTGTGGCAAACGCAACACACAAACCAGTTGAACAGCATTTTTCATATAACATGCTGCATCGAGGCTGTATCAGTCCCCCAGTCGCCGCCGAGTGTTAAGTGGCCCACGGCTGCGACTACTTTGACGACACGAGGGTCGTTTATTCAGCAACAAGTTGAAATCAATTATGAGTCGATTATAAAGTTACCCAAAAAATTTTCCAAGCCATATTTCCAGTTTCATTTGAAAAGCAAATCAAAAACGAACACCGAACTTTGGTATGCAGCAAGTCTCAAAATTATCAACCTTCATTTAAGAAGTCTTCTTAAAGTAGATCAGCTTTCAAGTTTCGAATATTTATTATAGTCTGAGAGTCTGCGTCAACATTGGATCTGCAGTCCATTAGCTAAAAGTGTAAATTTCGCAAGTATTTTTAGTGCCTTAAACCTAGTCAATTGTCAAGGTATTAATTAGACCGATTGATTGAAGAAATGCCAGAATTATGATTGGAATAGTAGATATATGTTAAGGAGTCATAAAATCAGTTCATTTGGCAAGCGTTTCATAACAAGTAAATGCAGATCGATCAGCTCTTAAATTCATTTAAGTTATTTTAGTTAGTCATAGATTAGTTAATTGACTGACGACTATTGAAGGGGCAACCCTCGTGCATCCGTTGACGACTGCTAACTTACTGGCTTGTCAGACTCTCTCAGGTCTCAATGGCTCCTCGCACTGATGATCGTGAGCGCCATATTCAAAAGTCTAACAAAATAAGCCCGGCTGAGTCCGGTGCGGCCCGGCAAGCAAATTGTGCTGCGTCACATGGAAAATCAATTGAAAGAGTTCGCTCCATGATTATGCAGACACGAATTGTGGACACTGGTGGATGCTGGCTGCTGGCTGCTGCTGGTTTGATGGCTGATGCATTGAGGATGCTGCTACGTCGGCTACTGCTGCTGTGTTGGTGGTGCAACAACACGAGCGAGCAACCGGACGACGCATTCGCGTGGGCTTTCATTCGACAGCTTTGGCATCTTTGTAGGAGTAGTTGTTGCTTTTGCTTTTGCTGTTGCTGTTGCGGTGGCTGCATCTGCGTCTGGGGCTCACGCGATGCTGCCACGCGGTTTGGTTACGTTTATTATTATTTTTTTCTTCTTTTTTCTGCCGCTGATCCACTTTCAGCTCTTTTGCGCGTACTTTCTCCCCCAATTGGAAAGCAAGCAACAGCGAGGCTGAGGCTGAGGCCGAGACTGGGACTGGGACTTGGTCATTGGATGCAGCAAGCCTGCCGCTCTTGCAAAACACCCAACAGAGCGAAGACTTTTACGCGAGGGCAACCCTTAAAGTCACAAATTGGCATTTAAAGTCGTTTGCCTTATATGCGAAAAGGAAAGCAGCACAGCAGAAAGCGCTTGAGGCCTCCTTCTTGAGTTTAATGAGTGCATCACTCGCTATAAGACTAAAACTGGCATATATTTAGTGGGCAAAAAACGGATCCATGGCAAGGAGTTATACTCAAGAAGGAGGCAATCAGATGAAGACTTTTTTATTTTTGATTATTCAAATACCAATACCTTTTTGTAGTCATTTCGATCATTCGAAAATGATAGGATACTTTACTTACAGATAGATTTATAGACTCACATTGTTACATTAACTAATCTTTCGCCCTCTGGTCCATTTCAAGTAAGAGTGCTCTAGTCGAATGTGCTCGACTAGATGATACCGGCACCATGAGCTGAGCTGCTATGGCAGTCATTTTACTCTTCTTTTCAGCACACACGCACGACTGCGCTTGGCCCTTCCCAATTTCAATGGATCCGGGCTATAACAAGTTAACTAAATGCATAGACGTGTGAGCTTTGCTCAAATAACTGAAACTCGATTACAATAGTCATCTGCAAATTAAAAGTTGAACTCGTTTTTGTCTAGTTGTGGTGAAACTTTTAAATTCGCCCTCGTATGCATCTCAGG